ATTAGTTGGAACAGTTGTTCGAACGGACGAAAAATGAATGAATGAATGAATGAATGTTGGAAAAAAAGAGTATATCATTTTGCTGTTTGTTTTTTGTGTTGGGGTCAATTTGAGGGGGAGAGCAAGCAGATTTCATTATGTTTATAAAAAAGTGCACAATTCCAGATGTGTGTTGCGATATTTGATAGGTTTGATGTGTGAGTGGGTGATGAAAAGGATGAACAAATTATATATTTTTCCTAATTCACCCAAAAACCTGTCAGACTCAAAAAAATCACAGTCGTAAATATCAGAATGTCTCGAATTTTTATAAAATACTAAGTCCTCTGATATTTTTCGATTGTTTCTAATTGTAGTAAATTTTTCATCTTTCAGTCTGATCTTCAGAATACTATCCAAATCACTTCTCTATCAGAAAAATGTTCTATACTCTCTTCCAAATCTTCAAATCAGATCATAAAGTTGAGACAACCGAAAAATGTACTAATTTCTCTCCAAACTAATCAAACACCTAATTACAATCATTTCTTTCATCTGTCGCCAATCTCACACACACACATACATAGAATAACTTCCTATTCTCTGTCTACAAATCAAAAGTTCATGCTAATCAATCAATCAACAGTCGTTTTTTCTTTCATCGGTTTGCTTCATCGAAAAAGTGCAGAAGTATACTTTTTTCTCTTGATCGTTTATCAATTCAATGTGATCGTACTATTATCAACGAAACACACGCCAATGTGTTCGCTTTTTCTCTCTGTTTTTTTTTGCAGAAAGCAGAAAACACTTAGAAAGGGATTGAAAACTTTTCGATCTTAAGATTCACAGTCCAAAAAATACAAATCAATAAGTACACGAGAAAAATCAGATGATTAATTAGTCTGACGAGTGTTTCAAAAAACGAAGGGAAAAATGAAAAAGATTTTGAGATAAGTCGCAAAATGTAACACGCCGACACTATGTTTTTTGTTTCGCTCAAAAATACTCTCAAGGTTATTTTATTTTTGGGCTGAAAAAGAAAAGAAAAAGAAATTTGTATTGCGCAAGAAGTTTTTGATGTTGCCGACACTTTTTCAGATTTTTCTGTTTGTTACAAATTAGGTTTCAATTAGTAAAGAAAATATCTATAATAAGTACTTTTATGGTCTTTTGGTATTATGTGAGAAGAGAGAGGAAAAAGTGCACGCCATTTTAATTGATAAAAAATGTTGCGTTTTATTGTGTCTGGATGGGAAAAACGAGATGCGTTTGCTATTTTTTCAGGAGAGTTTTGTGAGTTCAAAAAATTATTTTTTGACGGGGAGAAACGCAAAAAGATACCGGGGAAGGGAATGGAACATTTCCAAAGAAAATTACTCAGAGAATAAGAACGGAAATCCAGTGGACAAAGTCCTCCGCTGGAGTCCCAAAATAGCGAATTTCGGAATTCCGTCGGAGAGATCTCTCCGGCGGACTTCCAGATTTGTTTTTTGCCAGAACGACAAAAACGGACTCCAAAACTTGGAAAACCAGTGGAGAACATTGTCCGCTGGAGTTCCGGTATGATTTTCGGCTTTCTTTTGGAATTCCAGCGGAGAATTCTCTCCACCGGAGTTACCAATTGTGTCCAGAAAGACTACGGCGGAGAGAAGAAGTGAATTTTTGACTTTTGAGTTGAAACTTCAATTTTCATGTTTTTTCCATAAGGTTTTCGGTTAGAGGTTGAGGAACAAACTTTTTAATTAGACGACCAAAGTGTGAACGGAAAAATGAATATTTAAAAAGTTTTAGTTCGTGAAATTAATGAAGTTCTTCCCAACTTCAAACACTGGAAAACAGTTGCCTCATTATGATTTTACGAACTAAACTTACTCGTTTCTGACAGAAAAAAGTTGTAATGTGATTTCTATATAGAATATTGTTTGAATTTCTCGCATCAAAGCTATTGATAAAAATTAGATTCTGAATTCAATAAAATTATAATTTTTCCTAGTTAAAGTCTGGTATAATTTCAAGGAAACATTTGAATACAGGTTCAGGAAGTTTTATCATCTCTTTTCTTAAAGTATTCATGAATTAGAAAATTTAAATCAGCCTGAGAAAATGTTTCGTTACTTTTCAAGTAAAAATTATCAACACATGTTTCGAAAATTGAAATTTCAGCACTATTCTACGAACATTTTTAAATCAAAAAACTTAAAATTAAAATGTTCAATTTTGACTCTCTGGAGTTAAAAACATAATTTTTGTATGTTTTTCAAAAAATATTTGGAAAACTAGATAAATCTCATATGAAACAGCTTTCAAATAATTAATTGTAATCCTCAAATATCTAATTCATGGGTCAAAAGTACGAACATATACAAATTCGGCTGATACTAATTATATAAACACCAATCGCCGCTGGTGTTTCTATGCGCGTGGATGGTGTATTTGGGTGAATGGCTGCCTATTGATCCACCCTCAATAGCCAGGTTCGATCCCCGATAGTGGCAGATCAAAACAGACTACTTCGAAATCAAACCGACTTATCATAAATCAGTTTCAGATGCTTCAAACAGGTTCCAGATGACAAAAACAGCTTCAGATAGAAGCCCCATAAACCTCATATTTTCCTTTTTAATTTTGAAAATTTTGCCTCCCGGAGCTCCGGCGGAGAGTTTTCGGACTTCCAGCGGTGGTAGAATGGAATTCCGGTTTCTCTCCGCCGGAACTCCGAAAACTCTCCACTGGTCTTCCGTTCTTATTCTCTGAGTTACTTTGGAATCAAATTTGTACCAAATTTTCTGAATTCCGGAATGAAATTAACAACAACATGAGCTCGGAGTCATTTTCCAAATGGTTGTGTTTTTACTCCAAAACAATATGAAAATTTCAAAAATATCTCCAAGTTAAAATTAATTTTGTGAAATTTAGAAGAGTCTTCGTTTCGGAAAAATAGGTGAAATTTCAACACTTCTGAAGCCAAACTACTTGCAACAGTAGAATTAGTCTTTCAAAAAAAATCTTCCGGTTCAGCTATTCTGATTTATTAGCTTCAAAAGTAAGCTGCCACGCTATAACACATGTTCAAAGTTCTAGAGTTCTGGACTGCAACTAAATTTTAAATGTTTCCCATCCTAGTGTAATATTTTCCTATCCTCAATTCACAACATGCTACAACGTTACCACTACTGTAATTTCACAAAGCCATCAACCTTGAATAGTATACGGTATCAAAAAATATTCAAAACCTCAAATTTCCGTCCGTTTTAATGTGTCTTTCTTCTTCATCTTCCATTCTAAACCGTATTGTGTGTATCCGTCCGAAAAAAAAGACAAAAACATGGTTCATCTAAATAAATTCGGCGCAAAATAAAAGTGCAAACTCATAAATTTGTCTTTCTTTTTCTTCCGATTCGAATCTTTTTTGCCTTTTTTCCATTTTCTTCATGTGTGGTCTTTTCTTTTTCCTGTTTCGTGCATCTCATTAAACAAAATGATGTTGCGATATGTATGGAGATGATGACAAGGAGAAAATCATAAAAACCAGCAGGGTGGCCAGTCTACGTACCTTTCACATTTTAGATATTTATTTATATTCGTGTTTCCCAAGAGGGGTTTCAGATTCTCACAATTACAAAAACTATTAATACTTTTTCCAAAACCAAATGCGAGGTTGGGGAAATACAAAAGTGCAAAAGGATTTTTTGTTTTTGTCACAAAACATGTATGAACAAAAAAGTAGAACTAAATACGATAATGAGACCACCCACGAAGGAATCGACCACCGTCGCAAAAAAACGACAAAAAAGAGGTGCGTCGACTAAAAAAGTGCATGACTAAAAAAATGAAAAAAATCCGGGGGGAGCGGAGGGCTACAAATATGATGCGAATATAATTTCGCGCGCCGCGCGCGAGAGAAAACGGCTGCTCGTTTTTTTGTTTTATAGCTACATTTTCGGCTAAAAGTGCACGGATTACGGTGGCTGAGAATTTTCGTCGTGTGTGGTCTTGTGATGTGTTTTTCGGAGGGAAATATAAAATGAGATGGGGAACTTCGGAAATTTTTCAGAAATGAGAAGCGATGTGAATTGGACCATATGTCTGAAAACTCCAACCCCAAGAATTCTGTGGTTTTAGTTTCGTAGAAAAAACACTGTTAAATTATGATGCTAACACAACTAACATAAAGTGAAAACTAATTTTTTGAACTTCAATTGAAAAATTACAGTGAGATGTGTTTCTTACGACACTTCACTTGATAACTTATTTTCTCATGTAACAAATTTCGCAATAAATACTAGAACAATTCTCTGACTCATATTGTAGCTACATTTTTAAATTAAAAGTGCAAGATTACGGTAGCTGAGAGTTGTTTTCGTGTGTGGCCCTTTTTATTTTTTTGCGAGAGAAAGAGAGGAAACAATTCTGAAATTCTAGGTCACCGGTCCATAACTTATAAAAAATTTCTAAAATTGACTGGAAATGTAATAAATTCAGAAAACATTCATAGAGTTGTTCTGAAACGTATTTTTCCCTACTCTTTTACAGTTCTAAAACTCCATCTGATACAAATTGATCTTTCGATCTTTTGATCTCTTTCACCCTCAACAAATTTACAATCATGTCACAATATTTCACCATCTTCTCTTTTTCTTCTTTTTTCCTATCATAAATGAGCCCCTAAATCTTTTCTAAACAAAGCACAAACTCGTCGTTTTTCCTACTCGAATTTCAAAAAGAACAAAAAAACATATGGTTGTGTCGCGCAGAAAAAAAGTACAACTCGGCCCATTTTTTTTTCGAAGAATTCTCTGGGGACTCTTAAATTGGAACATGAAAAGAACGTAAATCGGAATGGGTGGTCGACGAGAAAAAATCGAGATATTCACAAAGATATTGAGGGGTACTGTATCCAAAAGGAAAACAGAAAAATTGGTAGAATTTTTTATGTTTCGAAAAATAATAATAATTTTTTAATTGCTATATTTTTCTGATATAAAAAGTGTATTCCGCGAATAGTTTTTCTAGAATCAAAAATGAAAAGTTTTATAGTTTTCCTAATTTTTGTAAAATTCGCTGATCAATGTGCAATTAAACCAAAACTACGTAAGTTTGCCAGGGAAACGAGGCACGCCAAACAATGCAGATATTTTAGAGCAAGATAATGTGCAAAACGAAAAAGTTGAACTTGGTTTGAGTTCGGGGGGAGGCGATTCTGGAGATTGTTCAAAAGAAAAACAACATTTTATCGGTGAAAAAGATTTCTTCTTGGAAGAATTTTACAGGTAAACTAGATTTTTTTTTTGAAATCAGCTCCGAATTAGAATTTGTTCAAAGAATTAAAATTACCCAAAGTCTCTGAATAAAGTTACGTGAAAACTTGAATATTTTTATATTAGATTCGGCTAAGATAGGCGTATCTCAACTTACAGATAAAATTAGAAGATTTCAATAATATCCTCGTGGTTGTTACCCACATATTTCCCCAATGTGAAAATATAATTAAAAGCCTTGGGACAGCTAATTTAGTTAACCGAGACTACCCACGACGAATAAACTATATATGAATATAGCCGTTTCTAAAAATTATTTTGAGTCTTTGAAAAAACTATGTGCGTCAGTTTAATTGAGGCCACTTCGATTTGACACAAACCAGTGAAAAAATACATTTTGAATTTTTTAACCAAACTTGTAAGAATTTATTGGGAATTCATAAGAAATCGAATTTCGATTTTGTTTTGTTATTCAAAACCTTAGATTAAATCAGATTCATAATTTTCTGTGACAGAAGTATTAATTGTCAAAAAATTCTCTCATTATGTTTCAATCCATTTATCTCAAATAATTTTCAGTCCCAAAAATGCCACATTCAAATGTGAAAACCTCAACGTTGTCATTCACTTCAATTCCGAAACTGATTCAAAAATAAAAACCATTAACACTGGAGAATCAGAAGTATCAGTTCAATGTATCAATGGACTTTATCAAATCCCACTCAAGGATAAGAAATTGGAAGTTTTCTAGGCTATAATTTTTGATCACTAAAATATTACAAAAATTTCAGAATTATTCGTCAAATCGAATGCAATGTTTTCTCACCAAAATCTACTGGTTTCAAATTTTGGAAACAAAGATTTTAAGTGATTGAATATCATTTTTTTTTCTTGCGGGATATAAAAATTTGTTAACATTTCCTTTGTTATCACAAAAAAAATTCTCGAAAATCCAGTTTCATTTTGATTTCCAAAAAAATCATGATAAATCTCTCACTTATTTTTCTAATAATTTTATCGATTTTTTCAAAGTTTACCTATCAAAATACGATTTGTTTACCGGAGAGACGAAATTTTAAAGTCTATTATCCTTGTGAACATCCAAAAGCTCAGAGTGGGTTTTTTTCAAGAAAAATAAAGAATAAAAATGGAAGAGTGAGAATTTAAGAAAATGATCGAATGGATATGGAAGCTATGATGAGAGGAGAACCTTCAGAATTTGCCCGATCTGGATTCTACGACAGAATGTTTAGGTGAGTGAAATGAGCCCTCCCCAAAACCCCAAACTCACTGAATTCTGATCCTTTGAAGAATTTATTCTTGATCGGGTTTTCTTCGAGCAATACTGACACATTTTTTGATTTTTCGAAAATTTCATCCAAGGTTGACGTCTTAAGAATGTTTCGTTGTTCTTCTGAAATGTTAAACATTTTTAAAAATCATCAAAAAAAATGTGCAGTCTGCGGTGTGGTCGCGCTAGTACAAAAGATTCAGAGATAGAAGAGACGAAAAGATAATGAAATTTCTCAACTAGAACATATTTTTGAACGACAGAAAAAATAAAAGATGGAGCGAAATGGTAGATCAAAAAAGCAAAGACTGAATTATTCCCTTTGTAGAACATTTTTAAAAAGAATTAATTTTTTTTGTTTTTTTGATCTACTTTTTCGCTCCATCTTTTATTTTTTCTGTTGTTCAAAAATATTTTCTAGTTGAGAGATTCATTCCACGTTCACAATATATTTTTGAATTATTATTGCGAAAGGTGCCAATAATTGAAAAATAGAAACGTTTTTGAATTTTTCTCGCTTTTTTTTTCTCCATATTTTAAACATCTCATTTTTCTGAGCCTTCTATTTAACCCAACTCACTTCTCACAGAACTTTTTAGTCATCAAATACTTATAAAAATCAATAAAATCAGAAATAACCAACTCCTTGATCAAAATTTGACGTGATAATATTATAAAAACGTGGTTTATTATTTTTTAAACACTTCTTTTTTCCCCATTTCGATTTTATTTCCAGACAAGCCAATCTTCCACAAGTCTACGATGATAAATATATAAATTATCCAAACTATGGCTATAATCCAAATCTTCAATTAACTGGACCTTATAGATACAGTAATTGGTATTATCGAAACAATTGGAATCAACCATAAATTTCACCTCTTTCACTTTTTTTTCCCAAAAATATCAAGTTTTTTATTGAAAATAAGTATCACATTCAGCATAATAACAAGAATTACTACAAATATTCAAACAAAACCCCACCCCAATTTATGTATTTCCTCTTGTCACAAAAAAAGAACTACAGGTTTTTTCATTCTTTTCAATGCAAAATGACATATAACCTTCTCGTGTAAGTGTGTAGGTGTAACAATTGAGGTTTTGTAGCTTGAATAAAATTATTTTGGTTTGGTTTTTTCTATTTTTTTCTAGTTAGACAAACTGTGTGTTGGTTTTTCTGTTAATTTAGTTAAAAAATCAAAAGTGTAACTGTTTTTCTCGTTTTTTCTTAATTTTTTCCTAACAATTTTCTCACACTAATCCTGCCCGAATCTCGATTGAGAATAAAAGACCTTGAAAAAACGTAACCAGTTTTAGTTTATTTTATTTCATTTTCATTTTTGATTCGATTCGAAAACTTTATTATTTGACCAAATATTTTTCTTCTGTTGATAAAAGGACTATTTTTTGAGAACTTGTTTTTTATTAACTCAAGTTGTTTTTTGTTTTTTTTTGGAGGAGGGCTTATCGAAAAGGAAAATCATGGCGCCGGAAATATTGACAAATCAAGAGGAGATGGATTTATCGGCTATTGAACAGGTCAGTGATTTTTTGAGGGCCGATTGGAGGATTAAAAACCGGAAATGTTTCAAATTTTTTGAAATGTAGGTTCTACCTAGTTTCTGACTTCTGAAAAATAAGAAATGTACTGTTTACTGTAGACAAAGATGTTTGCGGACTCATACACTAAAACTAAAACTAACATTTTCAGCCCAAAACTTTTCGAATTTTTTCAGCTTCGTCAACAAGTTTCTGATATTATCGATCCGAGATATGATACAAAATTTAATATGCTCCGCTGGCTTCAATCCAACAATTTCAATGTTCCAAAAACTGTTCACATGCTCAGAAAACATTTGAAATGGCGAAAAGAACGAAAGTAATTTATTCCTTTTTTATTTTTTCCGAACTTCATTTTTTGCAGATTGGACGAGCCTGAATCAGAATCACTTTTACAATTCAGTGAAGCTCGTCGGAAATATATGCCAATTGAAATAATTGGTCCACAACGAGTTAAAAATGGTGATCGATTGATTGTTGTTGATCAAGCTGGAAGAATTGATGTTGGAGGATTGTTGAAATCAGTGCAACCAACTGAATATTTACATGAAATGTATCGAAGTTTTGAAGATGTTCAGAGAAGACTTATGAAAATGGAAGAAGAAACGGGAGTTCAATGTTATATGCATTATATTTTTGATTTGGAAGGTTTAACATTTGATCCAACATTGTTAGGTGTTGTAAATGGACCATTTCGTGTATCTTGGCAATTAGTTGGATTGAATTATCGAGAATTTATTGATAAATTCATTGTTATAAATGCTCCAAGTTATATAAATGTTTTATGGTCTGCACTTTGTCCATTTATTCCTGAACAATCACGACATCGAATTATATTTACTGGATCAAATTGGAAAGAAGAATTGGCAGAGATTTGTGATTTGGAATGTTTGCCGAAACGATATGGTGGGCTTATTGATGATGACAAATGTTTGAAGTTAGTTTTTTTTGAAAAATAATTTATTTATTCATTGTTATAATTTTAAATATTCATTTAAAATGCCCCGAAGTTTCCCGTAAATCCAGTAGATTGTCCTGAACTATCAGATGAGAAAACAACCAACATATTGTTCGAAGTTGATTGATAGATTTTATCTTGATAAGTTCCAGTTAAAGTGTCCAAAACTGTTCCGGTTTGGAATGCACTGTCATAAATTCGAAGATAGTCAAAGTTTTTCTCAACATCGACGTTTTTCAAATATAAATTGATTCGATAACCTCCAGAAGTTGAGAGATGATAGAGACATTCAATACTATTTGGATAAAAACTGGGATAATTTGGAGATGTGATTTGTGCGGGAGCAATCAATAATGTAGCATTGCATCCTGATGGATTATTTGGGTTTGGGGTTACTGTAACACTTGGATTTGTTGGTTGAATAATTGTTGAAGGTTGGAAATTAGCTCTCCAATTGTATGTTTGACCATTTTGACAATTTGAAGTGCATGGGCGGAAAATTACTTTCATTGTATTGGTTGATGAATTATACCAAGTATTAGTTGAATAAAATTGTGATGTTAAAACTTGGAAAGGTTCAGTATCTTCAAGTCGATTGTAAAGAGCAATCGAAGCTTGCTGAAAATATAAACATTGATTCATTTTCAAATTGAACTCACATTATCCAATTGGAAAACAGGGAATTGAATGATTGCATTTGTTCCAACTGGAGTATCCAAAATATAACTGCATGGTTGTGATTGGAAACCAACATATGTTTGCGGATAATTTGGTGAATAGAAAGATCCCGAGTTATCCAAAAACATTGGACCATTACATTGTCCATAAGTTGATGTTGGGCTTACAGTACTCGTTGTACATTGTGTTCCTTGTGGTCGTTTGCAAACAAATGGAAGAGCAGTGTCACATTTACTGCTAATCCATTTTCCAGCATTCACAATATCATTTACTAGAGCCATACTGTAACATTGTCCCAATTTGATATTATCATAACCAATATTGTTGTAATCGAAAGATGTTCCATCTGACCAAATATGAGTTCCGTTGTCAAAAGATTTTGCACCAATTCGAATGTATGTTGGGATGTTTCCACTGAACAATTTGCTGACAAAATCATTTTCTCCGGTTGAATGAATTGATACAAGATTTCCACAATTTGATTGACATGCATATTGTGCTTCTTGTTGACTTAATTCCGAAGTTAATGGAAAATAACAATTACCATTATATGTGAAAGAACAAGTTGATGTATTTGGATCAGTTGGTGCAACTTCACAAATATAATTTAATGCTGTTGATCCACAATCTCCACTCGACCATTTTCCACTCAATGTTCCCTGTGTCAAAAGATATACACAATTTCCAACTTCAATTACTGGATATCCATTGCTGAAACTGTTATAAGTTCCAGCATTTCCTGATTGATCATCCCATTGACATGAAGATGGAGTTCGTGATTGTGTGCATTTCAAGCCAAGCCAAATTGGATTTGAAGCAGTTTGTGCAAGTTGAGTGATAGCGTTGTTATCAATTGCATTTTGAATTGAGATAAGATTTCCACCAAGTTGTGAACAAGCTATTCCTGCATTCAAATGAGTTGCTGCAGTTGTAAACAACTGGAAAATTGATCATTGGAATGATATTCATTTTTGGAAAGTTTTGAGAACAAACCTGAACACATTTTTTATCATTCAAAGCAGTGAATCCATTAGGACATGTGATTGCAGAAACTCCGGAAACCAATAAAATAAATTTCACAAAAAACCACATTTTCCAATCACTCCCTAATACTTTTTAATAAGATGACACTTGGTTTTATACCTGGCAAACACCCACACATAAAAATAATCTTTTTCTTTTTTTTTCGCTGATAACCGAAATGACGAATAATTACATTGCAGAGAAGTGTTGCCAGTGCCAAAAGAAGTGTATTGGAAACCGAAAGAACATCATCCACCAGCCGAATGTTTGCACAAAATAACCATTCCAGCATGTGAGTTTGTTAGATATAATTAAATTGATGTCATTTGACAGTTTATATTGGAGAGGAAAAAGATAAGATGAACTTTTGATTGAACGGCGATGAAAACACAAATTAACTTTTGATTATATTAGTTGAAGATTGAACTGCTAAAAACAGCAAATATTGATGTGATGATTTTTTCTTCATTTCAGCAAAAAGTCGAACATTGGTCTACAAAGTTGATAAGCCTAATACACTTATTTTAATGTATTCTCACAATGAAGCTGATATCACAATAACACTCTATTATTCAAAGGAAAAGGTTCTATTTTCTATTTTCTATTCCCATTTTCTTAGATCAACTCAAATAATTGCAGAATCCGGCTGAAAATGAGCTTGAATTAATGGTAGCCGCAATTCCGAAGTGCGGTCTTCCTGCAATGGATTTATTTGATTATATGTGTGAAGAACCTGGATATTATCATTTGCGATTAACAAATGAAGCATCTTGGCTTTTACCGTCTTCTTATAAATTGATTATTCTGGAAAATGGAACGAGGAAAGAAATTGAGGCTGTAAATATGAATGAGAAATGGGTGAAGAAAGCGAACAAGAAAATGAAATAATTTTGTGCTTTTGTGTTCAGGATATTTTTTGTAAATAATTGTATCTATTGGAAATTTTTCGAAATTAATTTTTAATTGTGAATTTTTTTGTTAAATTCTAAAACAGCTACATATAACTATTTAAGAAATGATTTTGGGTAGAACTTTGAATACAGTTTTTAAAATCTAGAGGCCTTCCCTGATTCTTTCGATTTTATCAAAATTTTTGGCCATTTTCACAATCTTTACAAATTCACAAAAAAATAAGAAATTTTTCAAAACACTGTTTATTTACAAGAAAAGAAATTGTTTATGGATTGTATTCGATTGGCAAATTCTTTCTGCGAACCATACCATCTCCTTGGAACCATTCACGACGGAATTGTTTTGCAGCACCATCTGGAGTATTGGTCCATTCAACAGTGATACGATCATTGTTGGTGTCTTCTTGTCCATAAGCAAAAGCATCACATGAAACGGCCAAAAGAACAGCTTCTTTTGGGTCCAAAACTCCACATGGTGGATCAACTCCCAATCTTTTCATGTTGGTTGTCTTAATACCGTATCCAATACGACGAGCAGACGAGTTGATTACCTTGATGTGGTAAGTGTGTTTGTCGTCATATGGGGCATTGAAGACGATTTTGGCATTTGGTTGAGTTTGGATATCTCCTGGTGGAACAGATTGAGCCATTTTTGGATACTCGATGGTTTTAATGAATCCAAGGCTCCCCTTTTATACTGTTCTTATCTGTATACGTGTAGATTTCCACGTTGAGATAACAAATATGTGTCACGTTTCTATTTCGAAAAAAAAGAAACCAATTTTTTCATTTCGCCCTTTTATTATTTAAAATCCCGTAATGTGAAATTTATTGAGAAATGTTCACTTTTCAGTTCAAAAAAGATGAGTTCAAATAAATTTTAACACTGTTAAAAAAATAGAGATGAGTTCAAATAAATTGTTTAGTATTAATTTTTTATCAATTCATTCTTTTCAAGAATTTTTAATAAGTGGAAGAGGTTTGAAATAATGATGGAACTCTATTCTTTTTGCACAAAATATTCAGATAAGTTGGATGTTGAAAAATCATAAAAAGTGTTCCTGGAATAGGAGAACCTATAAAAATTGAATGAGCAACAACAGTTAAATCTGAAAAAATAGTTATAAAACAATGTTTTTGGGAAATCAATAAACAAACAATTGATATGTCCAAAAGGTTCGAATAAATATTGAAAAACCAACCAAAATCCATAGCTTCCCAAAGTAAAACACTTCAAAGTTGATGAAATAGTGAAATCGTGCATAACTTTTCTTTGATAATTTTTTTGAATTCGGCTCATTTGATTTTGCTGTGATCGAACTTTGGAGAAAATAACATAGCACAGATAAATATATAGCTGAAATTTTATTTTAATAAGAAAATAATTGAATATTTATTTTTGGTGTATTTCTAAAACTTACTAGAATAGTTATAATTACTGCTGAAAGTGCAATTAGAATAACACCTTTGAGAATATTTGGATCAGTTATAATAAGAATACCATAAATATTTGAAAATTCAATATATTTTAAATATGATTCTTCAAGTATTTCGAATGATACATCATTTGAATAAATGAAAAATATTGAAGAAATAGTAATGGCGAAACAAAAAGTAACAATGAAACAAATATAAATATAATGATTTGACGATTTTCGACTTATAAATCTTTCAACAATTTTTAATCGAATAATTAAAACAGAGAAAAATAGAATGAAATGAATAAGAAATAATAGAATCCAGAAGAATGCTAGGGTTACTGTAGAGAAATAATGGGAAAGTAAACCAATTGAAATTGCACCAGGAAATGGAAAAAGAACAATTGTGCATTGAAATAAACCCCAATATGATTGACAAATAAAAACAGAAAGTTGAGAAAATATTAAAATTATTCGGTACAGTTTATTTTCTTTTTTTTGAATGATAAACTAACATATGAGTTCCAAATAAATTAGTGATAAAAGATAGAAAAACAATGAAACAAGAAGTTTCCCAAAGATAATTAATTTTAAATTGATTAATAATATATTCTTTCATCAAGCAGTTTTTCAAATTTCCATAGTCCAATTCAAAAACTAGTTGCAGATTGTTTTTTGAATTGTTATACAATAGTTTATTTGCAAAAATATACGAATTTTTAGAAATATTTTCAAAGAAAAAAGCAACTTTTTTTTTTGAGAAATGTGAGTTATACTTTCTAAAATAATAATTATCACCTTCATTTCGAGACTGATGTTTGATTTCATATCCATTTTTTCAAGCAGATTTAACCCTGATGTGTTGAACAATTTGTTTGGAATGATTCAATGCTTTGAATCTTTTAAAAGTTTCGCATCTTGCATGAAATAGACACATAATAAGTCCATCAATTGTATGAACAAAAACAAGGGAAAATGTGTAGACAAAAAATTGGCCGAAAACTGAATTGACTTTGAAAAAATTGTGAGAATTAATGAGATCCAGGGTATATAAAGTATCTTGGATCATACATTGAACAAAGAGTCGGATTGTTTTTCCACGCTGTATAAAAGAATTCGATGATGAACTTCTCTGAAAGTGAGAGAGGATCAATTTTCAGAGTATTTCAATAGATTTTTATACCATATGCAAAAGCCGTGCAAAAATTGAAACTTGACAAAGTGTTGAAATAAACCATAAAGTGTAACATAAAGTTGTGAGAATTTTGAGATTTATTTTATCACAAGACGAGTTTATAACATTGTAGTTGAGAATTTTGATCGAATAAAACACCCAACAATTATTTGGATATGATATAAACATGAAAAGTGTTGAGAGAGACCAACAGAAAAATAAGGAAACCTGAGAAAATCAACTTAAAAAATCACAATAAAACCAACTCATACCGCGTACCTTTGAAAATTGATATCTCTGATGTTCAGTTACACTCATTGCAAAAAACATGATCAGAAAACGATCAATAGACATAATAAGTTGAGAAAATGGACCTAAACATGTTCTCAATAGTTGTCAAACTTCAACTTCTGAAAATTCAAATTTACCCATAACATAGAGACCGTACTCATTCAATTGACCTAGAAGACTATTCCAAAATGAAGGTAGAAATGAGGAAAATCTGAACTTCAATGATACCAAATGAAAAATGTGTTTTTTTCAAAACCCACAAAATCGTTGCAGGACCTGTCCAACATAAATTAATCAAACAAATCAAAGAATTCGAAAATGATTTTGAGAAACAAATTAGGTGAAAACCAGAAGTGTTGGATGAAAAAATTGAGACAAAATATATTGAAAAAATATAAAAGTTGAAGAAGAATCCAATTAGCGAAACCTAATTTTGCAAATTTCTTTCATTATAATTAATACTGCTGAAAATCTAAATCTGAAATAAATCTAATATTCTTACCGTAACCAGTAAAACTCCAGCAATATAAGCTTCTCTGACGAAATCAGTTTCGTTCATTTTTTGAGGAAGTTGGATATGATTGTTTTTTTTCCGAGAAAAAAACTTCACATCAAAACAAAAAAGCAAAAAAAAAATTAATTTTACGTGGGAACGTGTGTTTGATTTTTTTGAGATCATTTCTAGATATTTTATTATTTCTTAAAATAAAAATGAACGAAACGTGTGAGATTTGTGTGAAAGTAAATTGGGAGGAAATTCCGAAAATTGAGCAAATTATATTGGATAATTTGAACAAAGTTGGTGTTCGAAATATTTCAACTGCTGATGTTTTTATACAGCGACAATCGGATGATTTGATACTTAGAATTGATTTGAAACCATTTGAATTTGCAAATACTTCAACTACAAAAGCAACTCAAGCAACGATCTTGAAATTGACTAATGAAGTAGCTATGATGAAATCAGTTGGGTTTCGACAGGAAAAAGAAAATAAGAAAATGGTGAAACGTGTTTCGGTTGGCATTCAAACAACTTCGATTCCAAAGAAATAATACAATTTGATGAAAAATAAATAATTGATACTATTTTAGAATTTATGTTTTCATTCATCAAAAAATCATCGAATTAGATATTGCAAAAAAAAATCTGAAAACAACTCATTTCAAACTTCCTCTTCAATTTTGCAGCAAACACGCCTTTGCGCACATCATTGACGCTTTTCTCGCCAAACACTGGCACACAAATTGTAGTTTTCATTATTTTTTGTTTTCTTGTTCCCCTCGTATTCTTCCATTGATTATTACGAAATATGGAATAAACTATGAATAAAGCGCTGAAGAAAGAGGTGAGTGTTTAAGATAATTTAAAAAACGCAAAAAATCGATTTATTTTCAGAAAAACAATTCAAAAAATGGGTTCGCCACCCGAATTGTCAAAGGCGAAACGCGTCCGTCGGAAATAATTACACTTTTTTATAATCCAAAATTGTCAGATGAGGAGAAAATCGAAATAGGAATTCGAAAGGGATATGTTATACCAAAGGATTTTGTTCAGATTGTTAGAAACATGTATTTGAACGATAAATTGAAAGGCAACAAAATGTATTCGATATCTCCAGGATTTGATGATCCATTAATGCGGCCATTGAAAACTCATCCGCAGTACGAACATAATCCAATTTACAAGAGAGAATATCGTATGTTTATCAAATATTTTTTTCCCTCAAATCAAGATGATTTTTCAGCTCGTCGAATTCAAAAACCCGATCCAACTAAGATGATTTGTTTTATGCCTGCTTCATATGTTGAAGCAATGAAAAGCACCGAAATGGAAAGAGTTACAATTCGTCAAAAATATCAAGAAACATTCTTTCCAAGATATTTAAAACTCAGAAAACAAAAACAACTAATGAGAAAAAAGATGAAAATCCCACGTTTCAAAGAAAATAATGCATCAACCAGCCACCAATCTTCATCAAATTCAAATGATCAAACTAATTCGACGAAAAAAGAAATGACTTTGAATTTTGAATTCGATTCTGATGTTCGAGTTAATTGTGTGGATATGAAAATTGGTATGAATAATAATCAGCAAATCGTCAAATATTCAAGCAAAAATGATTTTCCGGAACCTGTTGAACAAAAAATAACACCAGTCGTTGATGTCGTTTTGCCTGTAGTTGCATTGAAAACTGATCAAGAAAAAGCTGAATATAAACGTGAAATGATAAAGAAATATACACCAATGCTTTCGGAGCAGAATTTGAAAGGAATTAGAGCAGCTCTTGGTGGTCCCTCACTTTTCAAACAGTTGAGAAAAAATTTAGATGGTGAGTTGTTGCAAAAAGTTTTTTTCTGAAATCTAGTTATTACGTGGATAAGCCTTGAGAACCTCATTCTCTAGAACGCAAACCTAGATAACCACTATCTCAAGGATCCGCGCCTTCAGAACCACTGTGACAAGGTGCCGCTTCTTGAGAATGCTTTTATATCTAGTAGTAAATCCTAGAAAGCCTCACACCTCGGCCAAAATTTTTCAAAATTGTACTCTGGCCAGCCACGAATTGGCCGAGGTGTGGAAAGTCTAGTCCTTCTTTTTGAAAAACTTTTTTATCCGAATCTATATTCATTTCCTATAATTGTTTCTTCTTATTCAGAAATTATTTTGATTGTGTTTGTCTAATTTTTGTTCAAAAAATGTCCATTTCATTTCTCACCTGACTACAAAAAAGTCATCAAATATTCATTTGAATGAGCAATATATTAGTTAATTAGAAGTATATTAGTTTTTCTCGTAACAACCAGGTTATATTGTGTTGTTGTCAACGAGATTTATACTATGTATAATATTTATATCATCGTCTTTTTTTCTCATTTTAATTATTAGCTAAACTAAACAAGTGCATCTGAGTATTCATTTTCTTTATTTAGTGCTCAAAGATGGAATTTTGTTATGAGGATCTTTCTAAATATTACTATTTTCTAGAAATCGGTAAGCCCAAATATCGCAATTCTTTCACAGTTGTTTATATGTGAAAACGATATGATTCATGTTTGCCCTTTTTCTGAGAGAAAAAAGAAGAAAAACAAAACACATCTGCACAGAGTTGTAATTTTTCTTTTGTATATAATAAAATGTTCTTTCTGGTTAGACAGATGTGTTAAAAAGTTTTTATTTTATGTTATGTTACTGACTAAACGTTTATTTTTTGCAGAGAAACAACGGATTGAAAGATTGAAAATAGTCCAGGAACCAATTGAATCGGGAGGAGAATTTGATCGAAAAATTATTGAGAGACTTAGGATGAAAAGTAAAATCGGTAGGTTTTATATAGATTTTTCTGATGAAATTTCATTTTTTTCATTTTTAGATGATCCGATTGATTCTTTGGATGGAGAGAAAAGTCTGCACATTGTTACTTCTGATGAAGAAGAAGAGGATGAAAATATGGAAGGAATTGAAAATACAGAACCAGTTGAAGCGAAGATTACAGTTCCGGTCGAAGTTGAAAATGCAGATGTTGTTGGAGCTTCTAATAGCATTTCATTTATATCAAAGATTTTGATGGACATTTTTTGTTATATACTGGAAATGTTGAAAGAGAAATTGAAGTACAAACTGGTGAGTTGGAAACATTGCAAACTTTCACGTGGAAGTTCTACGTATTTTTTTTATTTGAAAATTTCAACATTATATGGTGTCTTTTCTTTTCACAAAAAAAGTTGCGCTTTTTCTATTCAACAAAACTTGGCGATGCGCCAATATTTTTTCTCTGCTCGCAATTGACAAGCAGGTGTTTTTAGAATTTATTAGTAGACAATGCGCTTCTCCTCTTCTAATTAGTAACTTCTTTTCACTTTCTCAAATCATTCATGTTTTTAGATTATTCATCTGAAGATCTCAACGAACTTGCCACTACTTCTACTTCAAAAGTTCAAAAACCATCTTCGATTTCAACTCAAAGTTCATCGAATTCAATTATGATTCCACCAAACATTTCAAATATTCCATCTTCTTCTACTGAAAATCTCACTGCTCTCACAATTGATATTCTCGCAAATAGTTTATCTTTGACCGCAAATAGTTTATCTTTGCCAAGAAAGAAGTCTGAAAATCCATGGGAAGATATAGTAAATGATGCCGACGAGTTATTCATTAGAAAATGTGAGTTTTACTTTATTTTTCATTTCCAAAACATTCGGATAAAAATTGAAATATTTTTCAGCGGCTTCTCATTCGATTGTTTCATCAACACCTTCTGCTTTGGAACTTGAACAAAATCTTTCAAAAATGGTTATAAAACCGAGACTTTCTACAACAATTACACTTGGAGATGAGCCAACAACTCCATTAACTTCTACTCCACCAGCCTCCACTGTAGTTGAAAAACCAAAAGGAAAACGAGGACGACCACACAAAAGACCTCGAGGACCACAAACTAAAAATCCATTAAAAAGAACTCCTGATATCCCATATCATCCAAATGATGATCCACTTTTGAAACAATCTGGACCACTTGATCCATCAATTCTTGGAAGAAAAAGACCAGGTCGACCAAGAATTCATTTCAAAAAAGCGGAAGATTCGACTGATTCAGCTGATATTGTTGTTGAAAGTGCATTACCAGCTCCACAACCACATCAATTTCCTCGACCTGATTTGGAGCCATTTCAAGCTGAAGTTCAACCAAAACTTTCGGATTGTAGAACTTTTATTATGCCAAAATGTAAGTCAAGTTATTAGTTCAGAAAATTTAACCAAAAGTTCTTAATGTTTCAGCAAAATTGTTAATAATATTAATCACTATAGTTTACAAAGTATCTACTATATTTTAGAAACCAACAATTAAAATGATATTTATTTTTTTACAGCTCCTGGTCCTCGTTTTGCTCGCCCAGATATCAATCGTTTTGTTGCGGATTGTGCAAAATCTTCATCATCTCTCCAAAAACCGATTGAATCACAAGATGATGTTTTGTCACAAAATTCAATTTCTTGTGATTCAGAAGGACCATCAACAAAAAGATCGAAGAATGATACAGATGATCAACAATCGAATAGTTCATCACTTTGTAAGTTTTATCGGATAATTTTCGATAACATCTTCTCCTAAATTTCTTATTTATTTCAGGTCCACCTCCAACTCGTCCAATTCGATCTCGTCGATCTTATATTTCCAAAAATAATCCGAAACTTCGTCATCGGAGAACTGAAGAATTGACAGCATCTGCATCTGGAGAACATCCAGAAGAATCATCAGATGATGCAATTTCTCGAACATCAACACAATCTTGGATGCAGAATCGAATGATGCAAGGAAATTCGAGAACTTCTTCGATTGCTGAAGATTTTGACGAATTGGCTTGGCCAACGAGAAATGTTTCAACTTTTGGAGATCCACAACCACCGCCAGAAGTTACTATTGATGAGTATGTTATTTGTTTTTTAATAATATTTTTTGTCCGCTAAACACATTTGTTTTTTTGCAGGGAAATAGAAGCCAAACCAGATACTCGAGATCTTCCAACTCCACCGCCAATCAATGAATTCACAAGAAAATCGTGGAAAAATAAGAATATGGATGATGTTAAACAGGAAATTACAGAAGAGGAATTGAATGAACTTCAAGTAATGTTTGAAAATATTCAACCAAAACCAGAAATTAGTGAGGATGAGTGAGTTTTTTTGCACACCTTCTTTATATTTAATTTCCGGATTTGATTTTTCAGAATTATGTTAGTTGATGCTGCTTATCAAGTTCCACGAAATTATCCAGTTCCAGTCGATGAAAATGACAATCTACCACCAAGTTTGTTTTTTCCTCATTTACTTGTTTAAATGTTCTCATTTTTCCAGAGAATGAAAATTATGAAGGCGAAAGAATTCCGCATTGGTTCACAATCAATAAATTTGTATATCATGACTTCAATAACTTTTTCATGTCTGATCCTGAAGTTTTCGAGAATTTGGTTTTGTGTTTACTTGAAGATGAAAATGATGAGGGAATGACATTTAGTAAGTTTTTATTCGAATTTCGAATTATCAGAAATTCAAAAAGGAAATTTGTAGGACAATCAATTGAATATAATGATCGTGCAAAGCCGTATAGTGAAAAGTTTTTTGAATTTTTGAAAACTTCGCCGAGGAATGGAGGTGTTTCATGTGAAGATTGTGAGTTTTTAATTCATTGTGTTTTTATGAGACTTGAGAATTAGGAAGTGCCTTTGAAATACAAGGATTTTGATATTAAGTTGAAATTTTAATTTTTTTTTCAGTTACTGGATATAATGGATATACGGGAGAGCTTCGAAAAAGATGTGCTCAAAATAGTATGACAGTAACATTCAAAACATGTTATGGTGCTGTCGAAATGGCAACTGAAGTAAATGACAAACTGGAGACACATATGACGGCTTTTGGAGTTCTTGGAATTAATGAAACGGTTTGTTTTTCAATACCCAATTCTCTGTATTCAATAATTATTTCAGGAGATTTTGAAGAAAGCGTTGGCCATTTTTACTGGTCGATATGTTAAAAGCACGTTAAAATTAGCGAAACTTTACTGTATTCCATGGGCAACAACAGAACACAAAACTCGTCGATGGGAAGTTATGATAAGTGGATGGAGCGAGTTTATTAAGCGAGGAGGATATTTGAGATTAATTTTTGATCTGACAAAAATTGAAGGAAGACGCAAGCCAGGAAAGGAGTTTGTTGATGAAATTGAAAGAATTTTGAATAATTCAGGTTGGTTTTTTCTCGTTTTTTTTGTGACCCGATTTAAAATTAGCTCGATTATGTTATACCGTGACAAATGTCGTAAAATCATCAATTTCAATTTAAATTTTCTTGTTCGTTGAAATTTCTAACTTTTTCAAAAAGTAATTTATACCCTGTAAAATCACGATTTTTCAAATGTTTCCACACCATAACTGTTTCGGTTTGATTTTTTGGAAAACTTTCAAATTTTCAGTTAAAAATATGCGAAATGCCCTGGAAATTTTCAATTTGGATGAAGAAGGTCTTGAGGCGAAGATTGCTGAACGTGTAAATATCTCGGCTGAACAACTTGAAATGATTCGAAATGACATGTCGACTGAAAAAACTGAAAAGTTTGTGAATTTTCTTGTGCCGATTGTACTTACTCATTAGCACACCTCGGCCAAGCCGTGGCTGACCAGAGTACAATTTTTGGAAAAATCTGAATTTCAGCTTTTAGAGGTCAAAAATTGAAAAATTCACAATTTTCAGAGGACAAAAACTGAAAAATTCATAATTTTTGTACTGTAAAAAGTCAGCGTACATTTTTTTATTGTGGAAACCACGATTTTGGCTGAGGTGTGCTCATTATAATTTTACCCCTATTTGTTGATTATTTTCAGGCATCAATTCGCATGTGAAACGTGTCTTCAAACAACGGGATCAGGAATAAATAATAAATGCCATATATATTTTTCAACTCCGGAAATTTTGAATCTTCACGAAAAAATGCATCAACTTGAAGAATGTGGTGAATGTTTCGAAAATACTTCCTATTTATCAATTCATTGTATTAATAAACATTATTCGAGTTTGTAATAATATCAGCTTTAATTTTTTTGACCAAATAATCTCTCGATACTTTTCTTGTAAATATATCACACATTACACCCCTTTCATTTCCCGAGTATTCCTTTTTTGTTCCAATTCCATTTTTTTTGTCTTCGTATTATTCACACCGTAATATTTTTTGTATCACAAAGATTCGTTTTTTTTTTCAATTTCGTTCGCATAAATAAAATATAGTTTTCCTATTTTTAATTCATCGTAATCGATGAGAAATTTCATTATTCCAAAAAATTGATGATTTTTATATTGTTTTTCGAACAATTGAAAGTTTTGGGACTATTCTTCAGAAAATGGTATGTTTTAAAGAATTTCTCACAATTTATCAAATTCTAACGATCAAAACTTTATCTGATTTAAAGGATATTTCTCCTTTGAAAACGAAGAAGCAAATTGAAAAAAATTACATGAAAAAATGATGGATGAAGCAAACGCGCTCCATTGAATTCATCTCCACGAGATTTTTTCGTCGTTTTTATTTTTGTTTTTTTTGCGTTGGTTTTTATCGTCGTGCGATTGACACATGTTGAAAATTGAATAATACGTTTTGATGAAGAATATGAATTTCCTGAATATTTACTTAAATTAGAATTTGAAATTTGCTCCTAATTAAGTTTATCTAATTCGACTTTAATCAATACATTTTTTCAGGCAAAAATGGAGGGGGTGAGTTTCTTGTTCATTTTATCGTCGGCCATGTTTTTTGGAAGTTATATTGCTGGTTCAATTCCGTTGATGTTCAGCTTATCAGAGGTGAGTATTATTCGGAAGATTTTGGTTTATTGGGAAACGGGAAAAATTTATCTTGCGATGGAAAAAAATAAGTAGAAAGAGATTATTTTTTAATTTTTCTCTGGAATTTATATTTATATTTATATATTTATTGAATCACACCGATATACATCCCAAACCTAAAGAAAGAACGGAAAAAATAAGAGTGTACTCAGCATCTCGTGGCGTACAAAATGCGCACGATAACTTACGCTTTCCTACACTCTTTCTACGCTTTTTGTACACTTGCCACTTTTCGCGAGTGTAGCTACATTGTACGACCGCGTTGCAAGCCTGTGTGCGCTGCGGCTGTTATTTTATTTTTGTTTTTCTTTTCTTTTTGGCCTAAATTTCTTTTCAAAACGTCTAAATGAGGTATCATGTTAGTCTAACTAGATCTACATGGGTTTTAGAAGTTGAGTATGGTTTTTGAAGTGATCACAGAACTTTTTCGTCAAAAGAAGTATCGTTTTTTTCAAGATAAATCTTGAAATAATTTTGAAAATTTCGAAAATTCATCCAAGCTGCGAATCAGAGTTTACCTATGACATTCTTTTTTCTTATTCTCGTTCTTATTCTTTTTACACCTGAATTTGATCGTAATTTGTTGAATTTCAGATCATCATTCCGACAACTCCTAGAATTTGCATCATGGCGGCCGCAAAAAGGACGAGAAGCTTCACTGGAGTTCATCGAGGAGATGGTTCCAAAGGTGAGTATAACTTGAGTACTAGGAAGACTAGGAAATCGAAACCCTACCGGCTAATCGCCTGTCGAAACTTAGGTGATCTGAAGTTAGCAGATCATTTCATGGAGACGCATCTTATAATTATGATTATACGTAGTAGTTATGGGACTTGGGATGTCTATGAATATCTAGAAAATTGAAAATCATCCTATTTTTCAGGTTGACACTTGATGCTCCACCTACACCTACGTCGAATGCTAACATCGGGACAGTTTCAACGGAAGAATATCAGTCAAGTCCGCTGAAAATCAATGCCAATACGCATATGCTCCGCTACCCGACTTCTAGCCCTCAACCCCGACTTCAACCACTCAACATACCCTCAACATCCAAGACATTCTCAAAAATGGTCGAAAAAATTAAATTTCTAATTTGTTTATTATGATTTCATGATTTTTGTTATTTCATTGATTTCATGTGCTGAAAGTATATTGATTAATAAATGATTTGTTATATTTTCTCGTTTCAACCTCATCTAATTCGCAGCGCAAAAAGGGAAAAAATCAATTCGAAATTCTGTGTACGCTTTTCGTTCAAAAAAGGAAAAGTGTACGATCTTTGTAGACGTTTTTGTAGGATGTGCGTACAATGTTTGTAGCGTGCGTCATACAACAATGTAGCTACACTTTTTGTTCGCAAAAGTGTACGCCAGGAGATGCTGAGATATGTCAACACCGACTGCCCGCAAACAACAAATTATACGCGCAACCTTGACGCGAAATACGCGCTGTGTGTTTTCGCGAAGAAATTTCCGGGGGAATTTTTAAAAATTGGGAACCCCCCCCCCAGATTCCAGAAGTGGACACGTTTAAAGTATAACATATGGGAACCCTGAGAACCTCTCCAATGTCGCTTTTCCCTTGGAGAATACTAGTTGTGAAGATAAAAGAATTTAAAAAAAGAGATAGTAGAGAAATGATAATCGAGATGACTGCAATAAAACAAAAAGGCCCGCAGGTCCTATAAAAAAGACAAGTTGGGCCATTTGAAAGGATGTGACTATGTGAATACGTGAAGTGGATGTAACATGATAGTGAATAAGATGAATTTGATTAGTTGTTTCAATAGTTAACCCTCACAATCTGATAAAATAGGATTTCACCTTTATCTGATTTATATTCGGAAAAAAGGACGTTTTCTCCATGGAAAAGTCCGGTTTTTCTGGGCAGAAAAAGGTTTCGAATCGGGCTGGTTCTTTGGTTAGGCCGGTAATGGATCGAACTGGGCTTCGAATTATTTTTCACGGCCGTTTTAAGATAATTCAAATATTAGTTGGACAAAAATTCCACAGTGATTTAATATTTTTAAAATTCCACAGCAATTTTATATTTCAAAAAACCATCAGACCTCATGTTCTTCTTCTGAATTCCAATTTTCAGTCAAAAATCCGACTAATCAGTATATTTGGAGCTGGTCTTCTTGTCGGCACCGCCCTTTCTGTAATTGTTCCCGAAGGCGTTGAAGCATTATATTCTGCACAATCCGAAGCCGCCTCTCATCACATTCACAATCACAATCATCATGAACACGATCATCGAGAAGTTGTTCCAGCAGCTATTCAAAATCCAGCAGAAGCTAAAAATATTCTGGAAAGTGAAAATAAGGTAGAAGGGGAGAATGCACCTCCGCCTAGAATTATTCCGAAAGATGCGGTTTTGAATGAGGGGTAGGTTCAACTTGGGAAATATTATTGATTTTATTTGAATATGTTTTCAGAATACAACGAGTTGTTCGATCGTCAGGAAATGATTCCGTGGAAACTAAAAAATTCAAACGAGGTGAGAAACCATTGTAACTTTGAAAAAAAAACATAAAATGTTTGTAGAAATCGAGACGCATTCTGTGAATGAAAATGAAGCAGATTCGGAACACGGTCATTCACATTCACATGGAAATGTGCACGGTCAAATTGGTTATTCGCTGGTTTTGGGATTTGTTTTGATGTTATTAGTTGATCAAATTGGAAGTGCAGCCGTGGCGAGAAGTTTGTTTTTGAAAATTTTCATGAAAAATCGATGAGATTCTCCAGTGGGAAAACCTAAATTGAAAATTAATTGGGGTTTTTTTTTCAAATCGAAATCGGAGGCTGACCAATGTTCATTTTCATAAACATCCATTTTGGTTCACAAGCTTCAATTTTTATTCTGATTTTTCCGACATAATTCTACTAAAAAACTATCTCGCAATTAATTTCCCAAAAAGTCCACGTCACAGTTGCTTAGAATTCCTAAATGTTTTGCAGATGATCGAAGTGGTCGAAGTAGAATCGGTCTTTCGGCAACAATTGGTCTCGTTGTTCACGCAGCTGCTGATGGAGTCGCACTTGGAAGCGCTTCAGTAATTAATAAATCCGATGTTCAACTCATTGTTTTTGTCGCAATTATGTTACACAAAGCTCCCGCTGCATTTGGTCTTGTCTCATTTTTATTGATGGAAGGAATCGATCGACGAACAATTCGAAAACATTTGATTGTTTTCTCAGCTGCTGCTCCAATTGCTGCATTAATCACTTTTTTGATTATTATGCATGTAAGTTTGATAAATATCCAAGGGAATATTTTGGGAACTCACTGAAGAAACTTATTCAAAAATGAAATTGTGAATAATTTAGGATTCCAAAATTTGGTTTGAAAGTTTCAAAATCGAAAAATTAATTTTTAGATGGGTGAAAGTGTACGATCTGAATCATCAACCGGTGTTTTGATGCTTTTCTCCGCTGGCACATTTTTATACGTGGCAACTGTTCACGTGTTACCCGAACTTGCAAATAATAAACAATCGGATTATTCTCTGGTAGTTGATGCAACTGCACCGTCTTCTATAGGACATTCACATTCAGGTATTTTTTTTCTATTTTTTAGTTCTTCCAAATTTTTGTTTATTTGAGGTGGTGCAAGTTTTTCCGCTAAAGAATTGGTTCTAATAATTAGCGGTGCAATTGTTCCTGCAATTCTTGCTTCGGGTCATTCACATTAGGGCGAGTTTTCATTCCAAGTCTGAAAATAGTTTATTTTTGTTATGGGTACTGTATTTAACTATATTTTTTGTGAGGTGTACATAAGAAATTTTTATTTTTTTATTAATAAAAGGGTATTTTCAAATGAATTCGGAATCCTTCTTTTTCTTTTTCGATTTGCTCGATTTCTTCGATTTATTCTTTTTCGAACTTCCACTTTTATTTGAGTTTTGTGGACTGAAAATTTTAAATTTAAATAAAAAGATCAAACTTCAAACAAAAACTTACGAGAATTTCTTCTTCATCCATTTTTTAAACTTTTTTGGCGATTTCGATGATTTACTATCTTTCTGACTTTTTCTAACTGATTTCAAACTTTTTCTTGTTATCTTCTGGCAATTCACTTCGATTTGGATTTACAATTTTAGGAGAAGCTAATGGATCATTGTCATATTCGATTGGACGAACTGCACTTTTTGTAGATTTTTGAGATTTTCGAGATTTCCTAGAGAAAAATGAGGATTTTTGAAGGCTGAGAAAAGATGTGAAATTTTGAATGCTCACGTGGATTTTCGGCTTTTCTTGGAAGCATTTCTCGATTTTTGAGGGCTTTCTGCTGGATCTGAAGATCTGAAACAAAAAAACAACAAATAATTGGAGCATGAAACCCTAGACTAACCTTCTCGATTGTCTTTCTCCTCTACTTCTACTTTTTCCTGATTTTCCTTCTCGATTTTCCACAGTTTTTCTCTCACTTCTTCTTGATCTATGACTTTTTCTCGATTTTCTTTCATTTCTACTCGATCTTCCACTTTTTTGTGTTCGATCTTCTTCCATTCCATCATCTTCTCGTTTTTTCACTTTCCTCTTTGATTTCCTCGATTTCACTGATTTTTTCGATCTTTTTGATCTACTACTCTTCGACTTTTTTCGTTTCGGAACTTTTCTCAATTTTTTTCCATTTTCTGATTTTCTCGAATCACTATCACTTCTTTGATTATTTCGAATCAATTCACCATTTTTATTTTTACATGAAATCATCGACCAAAATAATGAAAATATTACAGTAATCCAAAACATACTGTTTTCTATTGATTCGAATATAAAAAATGAATTATTTTCATTTTGATTCTGAATTTTTTTCGTTTTATTTTCCACGTGACAACCTAAAAAGGGACCATCACGTGTTCCCCTTTTCTTCCCATATTTTTCGGTCATTTCTCACGATTCAATTAATTGAAACTAGTATTACTTCAAAAATAACATCCCAAAAAATGGATTTTTCGATGTTGTTGGTTACTGTAGCCACGTGGATATTTTCGGTTTTAATGTGTAAAGGAGGAAAAAGTGATGGAACATTTAGAAGTTCGAAAAAAAGTGGAAGTGATTCTGATAAATCAGATAAGAAAAAGAAAAAAGAAGGAGAACAGGAAGATGAGAAACCAAAAAATGCACCAACCAAAACTGCATTGGAAGAAAATAGAGATAAACCAGGAGGAGAATCGAGAAAATCAAGAAGATTGAATAAATCGAGAAAATCGAGGAAATCCAAGAAATCTCATAGATCAAAAAGATCGAAGAGTGAACGAATTGATAGAACACAAGAAGATGAATCGGATAAAATGGCCAGAATTGTAGAAGATCGAACACAGAATGATGAAGATGAAAAAGAAAATGAGGAAAGAAGTGGAGTTGGGAGAAGTCGACAATCGAAAATCACAAAAGAAAGGATTAAGTGAGTTTGGAATCTCGAAGACTCTACGAATTTTTTAATGTTTTTTTTTCCAGAGAACAGCAAAGTAATGAGTCTGGAAAGAAAAGAAGATCGGAAAGAAAGAAAACTGATGAGTAAGTTTACCGGTTAAATGTATGAAGCCAAAATTTTCCAAATAGAGATAAAAAAATAGTTTTATTTCGGCTCGTGAAACTCTTTATTTTTGAGTTTCATAAAATTGTCACCGAAATTTCCAAATTTTGAAATAGTTCAAAATCAGTCTTATCCCAACCAAAAACTTTCAGCGTTTTCCCAAGAAGTCGAAGATCTGAAAAAAGTCGACATGGAAGCAAAAGTCGAAGAGAAGAAAATATGCAATTGAGAAGTTTTCAAGAGTAAGTTCTACCATCGCATATCAAAATTTTTCGAGAAACTATTCTTCCAGGAGATCACAAAAAGTCGACACAGTTCCTGAACAAACTGCTGAAAAAGCTCCAAAATCAAACCGTCCACCGGAAAGAAGTGACAGAGATCAGAAACCGATGTGAGTTCTTAATGTTATGTGAGCTTCAAAATTTCACGTCTTACATTTTTAGAAACACTGGTGGATCGATAAGAACTAAAAGAGAAAGAACATCAAATCCAGAGTGAGTAAAATTCAATTTTTTTCAAAAGTTAGTTAATTTTTTTCCAGTAGAAGTGGTCGAGGTGAATCGGCAAGAGGAACTCCGGAAAGATCGGAAAAAAGTTCGAAGCCTGAGTATGTTTTTTTTCTAATAATTGAAAATTTCAAAAATTAATTACATTTTTTCAGGAAGAGTCGAAAAACAAAAAGCAGTAAAATTGAGTGAGTTTATCTCCCAAAAAATATAATTTGAATTCCTAATATTAAAATTTTTCAGACCGATGGAGAGTAGAAAATCGCACAAATCAACAACGAATGAGAAAAAATCGAAAAAACCGAAAAAGAAAAGTATTAAAACTGATCCATTGGCATCGCCAGCTATTGAACCGCCTGTTTTTGTAAATCCAAATCGAAGTGATATTCCGAAAGAATCAGAAAAGAAAAAGAAATTGAAACCAGTTAAAAAAGGCAAAAATGGAGGAGAAAGTGCAAAATCTGGAAAATCTGCGAAATCTGGAAAATCGAAGAATTGGGTGAAGAAAATGTTTTCGTCGTGAGTTTTTTTCATAGATTGAGCACCCGATTTTCTCAAACTAGTTATTTTTTTTCTATTTTAAGCCCTCAAAACTCGGACAAAAATGCAAGTTCGAAGAAATCCAAAAAACCGAAAAAGTCTAAAAAGAAATCCTGAATAAAAACTTGAATCTCAAAATTTATTATGTTATATACCAATACACTAAAATCATCCCGAAATTTGCGAGATTTACTAAATGCAAAACAGTTATCAAAATCATCTCAAAAGGTCTGCCAACAAAATCTTCCAATTTGCTGCTCTTCGAACTGAAAACTCTGAAATTTTTGAAATGTTCTGGAAGTTTCTGATCTTTCAACTCACCGATCTTTTTTATCCCTAACAATCCATTTTCTCAATCGATTCAACATAATTGTTACCATTATCGCGAAAATCATAATTAATAAATTTACAATTATATAAATTCCAAGAAGTGGAACTTCTCCAGATTTCGGAATTTTATCAGCCATAACTCCAAGAATAAACGTCATTGTCATTATATTTGTCAATCCAACATTTAGCTAAAATTAGATTTTTTTTTGTTGAGAATTCATTTTGTATCCACAGAAACAGCTGAAAAAAATGAAATTAAAACTTGCCCTTGACATTTTATCCGATTCCATAATAAAAACTCCAATTATTGATAGCGAATTAATTATGAAAGATGGAAAGACAATCATATAAATGTAATATAATGGATTTCTTTTCATTTTGATCTCAAATATACTCTGGAAAACTATTGGTTTTTAGGGGTTACTGTAGTCTGATTTCTTCTAATATTGTGAGCTCAAGAGAAGCGTTTAAAGGTCATCAGAAACAACCAGAAGTCTAAAAATTTCTGAAATTCGGTTCAATTCAGTTTTTTTAAATTTCGAGAATGATCTTTGAAAAATTAAATTACCAATTGAATATTCCCAAAAGCATCAGTAAACCTCAACGCTTCTAAACTTGCTGATAAATTCAAAATCCGCCATTCCGAGTTCCCCATTTGTTCAAACTTTGATGGCTCTAAAACTCCACTATAAATCTCATTCAAAATTTTGACTTCTCGATTATCGAAAATTGGTAGACTGATTTGAATTTGACAAGTTTGAGTGTCAAATGGAAAATGGGATACCTGCAAAAATTATTTATTGTATGTATAGAATTTTGAAAATAGGTACATCTAAAAATATCCTAAAATACATACATCTAATCTGCAATTTGCTGAAATTCTTGCTGGAATATAACTATAAACTAATCCTTCAGGCATAATTCCAACCAATCGGAAATCTTGATCGCGAAAATCTTGAATATCATTTCTAAAAAAAATTGGAATTTTTTTCATTTTCAAAAAAAAAACATACACCGCAAATGTTGAGAATGTTGGACTCCAAACTTTTTCCTGACGAACATAAATCATTGAAATATTATTGTAGTTGGAAACATTCCAAGCAAGTCGAGCATCATACCAATACTGAATTAGATAATTCAAAATTGATGGATGAAAATAAAATTATCTGGTTTATTTACCTCCATAATTTCTAAAACAACCCCAACTTTTTCCGATGGTTCATCAACTTCGACGAGTTTGAAATAATATAGAAATAATGTATAATTCCAAAGAAATGGTTGAGTTCCGCGAACTAAAGGATCATCGGTTCGACTATAAACATCTGCAAACTTTTATTGAAAAAATGTCTTGAAAGAAAACTACTTTAATAACTTGGCTCAATTGAAAACGTGCTCTAATAAAAACTCTATGAACTTCCACTAACTTCTAGTAAACACTGGTGAAATTCCAGCATCATAATCCGTAAATAAATCATTGAATAATCTTTTTTGAGCTTTCAAATAATCATAATAAGTTTCATTATACAAACTTTTATCCTCGAAAAAACAAAATATCTGAGGAATTGAAAAATAAATGAGTAATATTGGAAGTAGCATGAGTATGAATGTATTTTAAGCCAAAAACACATGTTTTATATGCGAAAATTGAATCAGCTGTCTTTGTTTATCGATTTGACACAAACCAAAGTCAGAAACAGTTTAGATTTGATTAGTCATTTGAGCAACACATTTCTCCGCTTCGATGACTTGCTCATTTTTTCCTAATATTATTGTTACTGAAAAAAAAATGATTGTTTGAATAATCGAAAAGTTTGCTTATTTACCTGTATAAATAGCGTTGAATATCAAGTTCACCGCGTGAAAAATCCCATAATGGCCCATGATTTTGTTATAAAATTTATTTTCAAAACCATTGTATAATACCATACCGGACAATAAGAATTGTGCCACCTGAAGAAGTCGAGATTAAATCATGTTTAGAATTTTTCTAACTCACACTGAAAATTGCGAAATCGATAAGAAATGCGAAATCATATGTAATTGCATATCCAACGACTGAAACAATCACAAAAAATACAACCAATTGTTGAAAAATTGCTGGCATAAAAATTAGATTGAACAATTGATTGTCTTCTTTTTCAGTATTCGATGTTGAATTCCACTTATCAACTGTTTTCTCGACAAAACTATCGATTAATCTGAAATTTGAAAAAGAAAATTTGAATTTATGGGCTGAAATTATAATTTTGAAAAAACATACTCTTGTTGCTTTAGAAATATAAAAGTTAGAATCGCAAAGTTTATGATGGCAAATATCAATAAAATAATCTGAAAATGGTTTTCATTATTTTATCAATTCATTTTTTCTCACCGATATTCTATTTCTAACCAAACAAACTTGAAAATACATTTTTTTTTCTGAAAATGAAGATTTCAAAAACATTTTATTTTATTCACGTAAAAAATAAATAATATATTTTCTATAACCCGTTTTTCTTCTTCTTCAAAATCAACATTTCGCTTTTGTTCGATGAAGTTGTGTTACTTTAAAAGGTGCTGAACTCGATGGAACAATCCAATCAACTTCGCAAATAATTCGATTCCTTGATTCTTTGAATTTCTGAATATCCCAAATTGCTTCCAAATCAAAAACATCCAAATCATTTCCATTTGGAAATAATGCACCAGCAATAGCTACAGTACCCATCAAATCAACATTTCGAACAATTACAGTTATTGAATTTGGTGTTGGACCAGGTGTTGATGTTATCAGTGTGTTTGGAGAACATAATTCAAGAGTTCGATGTTTTTCGAATCTTCGAGAAAACATTACACTATCTTTGAAGTTTGTTGAATCACCCATTATTACTTGAGAAAATGGGAAAAGATTGAGGTTTCCAGCAAAATGTACGAATGATGATGTGATTATTACAAATTTGATTTTCTTCGCAGATGTTCCATAAGCTACCATATCTGCAAAAAAATATAAAGTAGTTGTGAGCTTAAGGGCTTTAAGACTTTAGGATATCTTTGAAAATATTAAAAATGCGAAATTCGTTGACTCAAAGTTATCAATGAAGTCTAATTTTTTTCTTTCACAAATTTTTGAACCGAAAAAACTAACTTTTAACAATTTGTTTTTTCTGTTTCGGCATTCCTGTATCAACAACAAATACACATTTTGCACCATCTTTCACCAATACCGAATTCGTATTAATTTTCACAGAATTCGTATAATTTCCTCGAACAATCGAGGGAATTGTGAGCATTTGAAGCAAAGCCAATGATTTCGCGGGTTTTCGCCGTGTTGTTATTGTAACTGGAGGAGGCGTTGTTAGAATAATTGGAGCGGATGTTGGATGTTCTTCGCGAGATGATTGAACAAGAACTTGATAATCGTAGTAGGAATCACGTGGATAAAACCGCCATGAATCGAGATATGTCATTTTATTTTGTCGTCCTATTAAATCAACTAGAAGTTCTGCACTTCCACAACATACATAATCTTGTCCGTCTTGTTGACAAAAACTCATTTGTCCGCCGGTTTGAATTATACAAGGATCCGGATGGCCCTGGAAAAATGAATTTTTAGAGTTCGACTGGAAATGAGAAGTGGAAACCTCTTGGGACAAAATTGGTTCAACTTTGTTCACTCGGAAATTATATTGTTTGGGATCAACAATTTTCAAAATCTTGAAGTTTTCTAATTTTCTCCGAATTTCCTATCTGACCTCTTGTTCTGATGGTGAGTGTAAACTACAAACATTTCAAGATCAAGTGGTCAATTCAATGTCGAAAAAAAAACAAACATTAAAATTCCTGACGATCACCCGAAAAATTTTGTTCAACAATGTTTTTCTAATTTCAAAAACCTAACTTTCGAGATTCGTTTTAAAAAATTTATCCCTGAAAATTTGAAAGTTATGAAAATTTTTTTAAAACTCTTTTCTTAAACTTTTTTCTCAGAGTTTTAAGATTTCCCAAAATTCAGATCAAAAACTTACCGGAAGAGTTGGAACACATCTCATTAATTGTAAATTATCTCGATGTCTTAATTGTGTCAATCCAGTTTCACAAGCTTCACCAAATCCACCAATCCAAAATATAAAAATCCATAGAAACATCATAAAAAGGCAACTGCGCCACCGAGAAAATCTCAAATCAATCAGGATGATCACACTTGAGAAAAGCAATTCAATTCAATGCAAGAAAAAAAACAAAATAATAATTGGCACTTTTTTCCGGGTGCGCAAGCAAAAAGTTTTGCGCTGAGCGCGCGCCGGAAAGCTGACTCAAAATTATTGTAAGATGATATGTCGCGAGTTTTCAAGTACTTTTGGAACACAAAAATAAATAATACGTTTATCGGGAAGCTTTTCACTTTCTTTTTTTCTCATGGACAAAAAATGAAAGGAATATTTGAATAAAAAACTACAAGAAAATTAAGAAGAAAAAACTGAAACCGTAGGAAAGCTCGCCTTTTCGAACTTTTTGTTATGATTTTGTTGAAAGGGGGTACATCACAAAGTGTGCGGGTATATTTTAAGGGAATGAGGAAATATCGAAAAATCAATCTTTGGAAAGTTATTTGAAAGGAACTGGCAAAAACAGATATGTTGAAAAAAAGAATTAGAAGAATTACAAAGGACGAAGATCGGCTCCACGATTTGGATCCAAAGGAGAATGATTTGTAGAAAAAATTGAGCCTGGTTGACCATTTGGTGTTAAACCAGTGTTTCCAGAAAGAAAATCGTTGAGTTCTGGAAAATTGAAATTTATGAAGAAAAAGCGAAATACATAGTGTGGGAAGAGTTTTCAAATGCTTTATTTTAAAATGAAGTTAGCATATAAAAATAGTTTCTAAAAATCGAAAACATTCGATTTTATCAAACTCTCTTTTTAGAATTCTCCCCAAAACAATAATAGTCTTTTTGAATTTATCTCCTCATAAACCCATTTTCTCTAAAAATATTTTTTATCAAAAACCATCAAATTTTTTACGACGTAGCTATAAATCCCTCTATAGACGGAAGAAAAATTCCAAATAATTTTACTAGCACTCTTCCTTTAGATTTTCGCAAATTCCAAACTTACCAAAACAATAAGCTCCACTATTTCCTTCGCTGTTTGGTGTCGGACCCAATCGACTTGGTGTGCTCAGCGGATTTGCTGCATTTCTATTGATTGACAATGTTGGAAGAGCTGATGGTCTTTCGACATCATCAGATGTTGTTGAAACTGATGTTAGAGTTCGATCTTCAAGTCGAGGAATCTGCAAACATTTAATTAATAAAATAGATCAAAGAAAAGTTCCAATGAAAAAAACTAAAATTCAAACCATTTCTCATGTTTTTACTAGAGCGAGTTAACCTACCTTCATCTCCGGTTCGCGGAATCCATCATCATTAACTGGGTTAGTAGTTGTAGTTGTTGAAGTTGATGGCTGTGGCGGCGGAGGTGGAGGTGGAGCCACAACAATCTGCGGTGTGACAACTGATGGAACTGCAATTGGAGCTGCAACTTGAGAAGAAGCTGAAACAGTTGTTGGTGGTGGCATCATTGATCCTCTTTGTTGCATCATCGAAATCGGTGGCAACGATTTCAATTGATCAAGTGTTGGTTTATAATCTTCCTCAATTGGTGAATGTTGTTCCGAAGATGATGTTGAAGATGAATGTTGTGATAACATTGATAAGGCTGTATCAGTTCGAGGTGGCATTGGTAAAAGTTGAAGAGGTTGATAGACTTGTTGACGAGGAATTACAATATTCGGCATTTGTCTTTCACCCATTGGCATTTTACAATCATGACTTTGCATGAATGTTTGCAAATGTTGAATTTCAAGACGCATTTTCTCCATTTGTCTTTGCATTCTTTCGTTTTCATTTCTATGGTGATTCACTTGCTGAAAATATATTTAAAATTAATTTAAGCCATCGAAATTATCTTTGACTAACATTTACAAGATCAGTAGTTTGATCAATTCTTCGTTGCCTACATCTCGCCGCCGCTTCTTTGTTTCTTTGTCTTCGTTTTTGTCTTCTTTCCTCATCTTCATCTTCCATTTCGAGCTTTAAAAATTAGGATTATTTTTGATTAGGAATCAGAAACTATTTTCTGGGGGAAAAAATGAATTAGAATTTTTTCAAAATCTGTGTCCAATATTGATGTTGAGTTTTTTAAAAATAATCCATTTTTTAAAACTGTTTGAAAATGAAATATAATTCTCAAAAACACTACATTTGAAAAAGCCTTTTTAAAAACTAACTAAATTTTGAGAAAAATGAAACCACGGTTTTTTTAATCTTAAATTTTATTTTTCAGTAAATGGAAAAAGTCTTTAAGAAATTGTACGTTTCAAAAATGTTACATCTAAATTTGAAATCTTAATTTTTAGTCCCGTGGTTCAAAAAGATCCTGTCACAATTTTTTTATTCAAAAATTGTCAAGCCTCCATTTTCCCCTTCCCCAAGTATCATATTTTTGCGAATACCAATTTTATTCCTTCTTTTTTTCCTTGTCCATATTTGCCTGATTGTGTGTTTTAAAGTAACATAAACATAAAAGACACACCACACCACAAAATTGTTATTGAAATATATTTGCATTTAGGGTGACTCATGGGCTTTTTGGACTGCGCAAAAAAATGTAGGTGTACTGTACTGTATGTATTGTAGAAGGGAACCTAACTCAAAATATCCTATTTTGTTTTATATTTGAGAATCTTGAAATATCTTGGTGACTCACGAATTGAAAATAAAAATGATTCATAGCCAATCAATAAAGCAATGGGAGGAGGGCATTAAAAAATGATTCATAAAAAAATGATTCAATAGGGGGGAATTCTCGAAATGAGTCAGTTTAAAGTGTTTTTTTTTTTGGGGCTGAGTGTGTATGGGTGACAAATCTGACTCATTTCTATATATTTTTTCTGCTGGTCGTCATTCCAGTTTTTTTCTTTTGGCTGCATTGGTTGGTGATGATGAAAAAAGTGCACATTTGCTAGATGATTTTATTTTCAAGAAGACGTGGATTAAATAAATTGAGGTTGGTTTTTTTTTTGAGTGGGTGGAAAGGGTGATTTACGTCAAGTTATGCAAAATTTCGTAGATCAGAAAAAACTAGATTTTGAGTTAAACTGGAGGTGATTTTTCGAAACTTAGAAAAACGGCGCCGTAAAAATTTTTGCAATAAAACCCATTTTTAGGTTTTTGAACTAGCATAAATTGGAAATGATTATTTGAACTTTAGAAAATTGGTCATACAGAAAAATTTTTAGTTTTAAGATTTAAAAAGTTTCAAACTCTAAAATTATTTTATCTCAAAGAGAGCCCCATTTTTTGAATATTTTAATAAATTAAATTGAATTGTTAGCAACAAATCATCGTTGACATGTCGATTTTACGCAAATTTTTAAATTTTGAAACGTAAAATTCACACGGAGTTTTTTCTCCCATTTTTTTAAATAATTTTTTTTTACAAAAATAGATTTTTCAGAATCTATATGTGAGTTAGAGTTAGGCAAGTTTTTCGAGAGTTTAGAAAATGGTGACTCTTTGGTGAAAAGTAATATTTTTTGAAATCAACTCGCGATAGAAATATAAATTTATAGTCACAAAAGCTTCCAGAAAAAAAAATTAATAAATAGAATTGTAGTTATCCGGACTTCTAAAAATTTTCCAAACAAAACCAATTTTGACATAAGAAAATTTGAAGTTAGATTATAGACGTCTAAAGAACATTTCGATATCAAAATTGTGAATTTCAAAAATCACACGAGCCAAAAACTTTTCTCAAAATTTCCCAGCTGAATTTTAGCTGCGATCAAGAATTTTCTTACCGCCAAATCTTTGGGTTTTCTACCAGCCGACGATTTTTTCAAATGTGCACCGCCTGTCGAATATTGTACCATATGCTGGTTTCCGCCACCACCATAAAACGGAATCGGTCCGGAATTATTTCGATGTTGCGGGTTGTAAAATGTGCCGGCCGCTAGAGGGATATGAGCTGAAAAAGAAAAATTATTTTCAAAAATTTTTGAATAAAGCTCACAGAATTGATTGAGTGGCTGATGAGCTCCTTGGCCGATTTGAGAATTTCCGTCCGATGTGGCGAACTGAAAAATGTCAGATATTTATTTTTGGTTTTTTTCTTTAAGAAAAATATCCAGCTCAGGCCCCCATAATTTTTTGTAAATTTAATTACCTCAAAAAACTCTTCACCTACAAGCCAATCTAGTTCATGAGTCATACTATCGATGAGTTATCAGTAAATTGCCAAAGCAATATTGATTTTTCACTCTTTTTGTTCAGAGAAAAATAGGGACACAGGCGAAATTTCGAATGATTGTGAATGACTAATGATATTCGAAAGCTCCGCCCACACCACTAACTTTTTTTTGCTGGCTGTCTTTATATCGTTTGTGTGTGTGTGTATGGAGCAAGGAAATAAAAAGGACAGAGGACAGAGGATACTGTAGAGACTGATAGTTTTTTGGGATGGGAGAAGGGGTATTTTGTTTGATTTCGGATTAGGGATGCGCGGTTGCCTGCCTGGCTGGCTGGTACTTGAGATTACGATTTTTTGTGGATGAGTTTGGAAAAAAACATATTTTTGGTGAGGTTGGAAGAATAGAATTCGGGCAAAGTCCTGATTAATTCAACCGGACCTTCCGTAACTTTTTATTGGACCATCAAAAATAAACTTTTGCATGTACATAAAAAAAGTTCAAAGGTGATCCAATTCTAAATCTGAATTAATTGGTCCAAAATGTTTTCTAAAAAATCCAATTATGATTCTTTATTAAAAATTGATACTATTCGGACCCGACTCAAAGTTCTATGGAAAAATTTTCAAATAACTCAATTCAGTTTGCTCATTCTCAAACCTATAATTAACTATTATCATAGAAAATGAATCAGTTTTTTTTTTGCAAACTTGATGAGTTTCTATTCATTTTCAAATTTGCAAATCTGACTTCAGAAGTTTGGGAAAAAACACATTTAAATATGAACTCCAAAGTTTTTATAGATAATTCTGAAGTTGAAAAGCAAGAACAAATTAAAATATTATTCTGAAAATTATTGATGAAAAACTAATTTCTGATGTAAAGGAAGGTTCGAAGGTTTCAAAAATAGGTAAACGAATTTTTTGAAACGTAATAAATTCTAAATTTGCAGAATGGAAATTTTTAAAAACAACCTAAATTAAATGTTCGAAAAAAAATGCTACTCTCAAATGATAAAACATCTACAGTACTCTCTTTTTTATCATTTGATTTGAACATTCCAAAGGTTTCACTATCAAATGTCCAATTCAGGTACGAAAGAATGCGACGAAAACTACAGTAATCCTGATCCACAAAAGAAAGTGTGTAAATATCGGGAAGATTGTTTTGTATCAAAAGGATTCCGACAAATTGAGATGAAGAATTATCTGATTTGCAAACAAATAATAAAAACTTGGGTTTTTTTCCGGAAAGGTGAGAAAAGGTCGAGAGTGATTTATAAAGGGTGTCGATTATTTTCAGCTTATCAATTATGCCAAAAAATATTTTGAAAAACAAATAAACAAACTTTTGTCAAATATTCGATCAGAAAACGTAAATGACGTGATTTTGACTATCAATATTTGGAAGACAAAAATCAGAAAATAGTTCTCCAAAAGCTTATCATTTTTCAAAAAAGGACGAACAGTTATCGAGAAAAATTGAAAAATCATAGGAATCAAAAAAGCGTCATTTTGATTATTAGGAAAATTGATTTAGGATAATTATAGCTTAACTACAGATGTGAGAAAAAAAAGTGCGAAAAATTTTCAGTCAAAATTGAAAAGGCTGTCTGTAATAAGGTCTCGTTTTCCAGACAAATCATATTAAAGTATTTCTCAAAAAAAACTTTTAAATTTTGCGTTAAACATCAAAACTTCACTATAAAAAATATTGGCAAATTTTCAAACTTGTGATTCTTTTTGCAGAAAAAATCCTAGTTGAAAAAAATTTCGAAAATTTTGATCTGCAATATTTCGAAATCTGATTTCAGATGGAAAATAATTACAAAACTTTTGTCAATATTTAAAAAGGTCAGATTTTTGGATTTCAAAATATTGATGTTTCGAAAATCGAAAAAAATTTCTCAAAATATCCTTGTTAAACAAGTTTGAATTATGAAAATTTGGGTCAAGCATTTTCAGACCTTAAATGTCTTAAATTCGAATGTAGACAGAAAATCTATATATGAAAAATAAAAAATTCATAATTTTCACAACATTCTACAACTATCAAATAGAGACTTCGCAAAACCCTTTCAAATATTGGTTGAAACGTACAATTTTCAAGCTGGCCATACAACTAAAAAAAAACTATTTTTCGTGAGATTTTTTCTAGAGCTTCATATTACAATTTCTGATCACAGATTGGCGTAGATTTAAGCTTGAACATAATTTTGAGCCTTACTGGAGATAATTAAACAATTTTTAAGCTAAAATTTTTGAGCGACTCAAAAAGAATTTTGAATAATTTTTCCAACAAAAGGATCGCGGAAGAAAACTTGTGATAAAACTTTGGACAGAATTAAATTGATTCGACTACGAGAAAAATATTTCTGATCTATCCCGAAAGTTTAAGGTTCCAAATATCAAATTATTTACACGCTCTGAATTTTCATACCTGAAAAGACCAATCACTTGAAAACAAAAATGGAAATTGATATGGATTAGTAGTTGAGTTTGGCGAATAATAATTAGTAATATTATTAGAAACACCATGATTATTTTCAGCAGAACATCCCACCAAAATTCCACCATTTCCACCATTTTCCGAAATCGATGAATTATCAGAAGCTGTCGATGATGAGAAATAATTGGTGTTGCCAACAGGCACTGAAAGCGGTGTTGGTAAGGGTGAATTTGTTGAAGAAGGCGTCGGCGGCGCAGAAAACATGACTAATTTTCTTGTTCACACAAGAAAGACAGAGAAAGATAGAAATGCTTGTTTCTCTTTTTTTTTGTCGTTCCCGAGAGCTGCCTACAGTACTCTGACTCCGCCCATTTCTCGCGCCAAAAATGGCGGTTTTTTGTCCTTTGTATTGTCGGGCTTTTCCTTTTTTAGTCACTCGAGTAGCCAAAATGTCATCGCACTTTTTGACATTTGAAATAATAGAAGACAACGAGAAAAGACGATGAAAAAAAGGAGGAGGAAAAACGGGCGGGAAAATGAGAATTCAAATTCGAATGTTCAAATTTCAATTTGATAAGTAGATACAGTTTTCCGAAACTGTTCCAAAGTGAAACTACAGTACCCCTCTCGATTTTTTTGTTGCAATCAAACAATGCATGTTTTGTTTTGTTTTGTTTTGGGAGACGAAGAAAAAACAACAAAAAAATATATGTGGCGCTCGATGATGACTAATATTTGATATATTTTGGAGAGGAAAAATAAAAAAAAAATGGAAGAACAACAGTTTGGTATAGGCCTGAATCTACAGTTAGACCAATATCTAGGCTCAGACTCAGGCCTGTCCCGAGTTCATCCTTTTCATTGGCTTATCTCACTACTTTTTGCAAATCATTTCGGGCTTAGATTCAGTTTCAGCTTGGGCCAGGATTGCCTGGACTTCATCTCTAAGCTTACATAAAGCTTATCCCAAAGTTGAGCTAATTTTATTCAAAGCTTGCGCGAACTGGTCCGGGTCGGTCCACCCAAAAACTACGCTGCCACTTAGGCCTGCATCTGGGTATGACTGGACTTTACCCCTAATCTTGAGCTTAGTCCAAAGTCCACAAGTTTGTGCAAAGCGTCCCGGATGCTCCCGCGAAACAAAAGACGCTTGCCTTGATTTAGACTTATATTAGTCTTGGACCAGGCTGGGCTCAAAATCTCCGGGACAAGTTTTTTTTTTCAAATCATAATCAGATTCTCAATTTTTCAAATATCTCAACTCATTTTTCCATCCAAACATTTTTTCACACATTTCGAAAAACCCTTTCCCATTATCTCATTTCCTCTCACATTCTACAGTATTCTTTTTTTCCGAAACAAAAGAAGTTTGCCGTCTTTTTCCCCTTTCCAAAAAACCACTGGCCATTCAACAAAAAAAACCACATTCAAACAAGAAAACGTACTATTTTCTCTATGTTATGCTTGATATAAAAGTACACGAGAGAACAGCAAATTCTTTAGAAAAATTTGGGAACAAAGAATGTGAAAATGAAAACTGACCTGGTGAAAGATTGGGGTTTTTCCAAAAGTTGAGATTAAATTCAAAAGTGTCGCATTCATTTTCAATTATTCTTTTTTTCAGTTAGTGAAAAATAATGATAGGTATTTTTGTATTCTCGACGTAAAATAAACGAGACAAAAAAGGAATAATAGAAAAACAGAAGAGAACTGGCAGGGGGCTCGCTAGAACTCACGCACTTTTTGAGTTATATACTCTATTTCTCCCCACCCTTTTCTATTATTATTATTATTCTCGTTTTTTTGTGCTGTCTTTCTGAAAATGTACTTTTTTTGTCGCGCGCAGCGAGTAACGAGACTTTTAAAAAGATAACACGCAAGGATAAATGACATTATCCTGATCAAAAATAGAAAAAAATGATTTCATATTTTGGATTTTTACAGTAAGATTCGTGATAAATTGAAATTAGGAAAGATCAATAACAATAATATTTTTCGAGTTTCAATTCAAAAAGGTGGGAGGAAAATATGATATCAACTGTTCAAAAATCTCAAGTTTTCTTTAGTGAAATGCGGTTGAGTTAGTTCCATCTTCAAATATTGTGCCAAGCAAAAAATCTAGACGCTAAAATTTGAGTATAATCTCTGACTTATTTCAGAATATACTACCCAATTACAAAAATTGCAACAATAAATTTTGAAGCCCAAAAAATCCCGACTTGCCAAAAACTTACTAAAAATGCAATTTAATTGATTCAGTGAATTAAAAAAAAATATAATAATGTACTTAAAATTTCGCCACGACATAATCATTTTTTAAAATCTTATGTCCAGCATTTTTTTAATCAAGATGCACAGAAAACCTAACTTACTCTGGCACTCAACTAACCAAATTTTATTCGAAAAAATAAAAGTTTCTTCCATTTTCAACATTAAAATAAAGTTGGATTTTCAGAAAAATCGAGAACAAAAAATCAATCTAGATATATTTCAATTTGTTGTAAAAAAGTTATATGCACCTTGGTTCGCAGATTTGTCAGACGGATTATAGATTATTGTAAAGTTTTGTTGATCAAATCAATTTAAATGTGAACCAGGAATTTTTACGTTTCATTGAGATTATATCAATTTTTGAAATAACAATTAAGAGCTTCGTGAATCGTGATTTTATTTTTGAGCCGACAGATTATTCTAACAATAAAATAGAATTTCGGCTTAATTCGTGGGACTTTTCAAAATTAATGTTTTTACTGTAGAATGCTTTTCCTCTTTTAAAAATTATTCCTCTAGATAAAGCATCCGCTAAGTAGATTATTTCTTTTTCCATCAGACTTACAGTACCCAAGCGCCAACCGCTAACGGAAATTTGAATTTTTGCATGTGCCTTGTTTTTGTGCACTTTTTGAGTTTTTCTTTTTTTCTTCTGATGATAAATTAATGAGTTCATAAATACTACGGTAATCATCACCAAGGGATAAAAGCTGATAAATAACGAAGATTCTAAAAAAACAACTAACCTGAAATTTTTCGGCCGAGGAGAGGAGAATTGGGAACTTCTGAAAAAATAAAATATTTGGAAAAAAAATCAATGCAAGTTTTTAGTTGTACTGTTTGCTTTGAATTAGAAAAGGACAAGAATTTATTTCTTCTATAAAAGTCGAATCGAATGAATAAATAAATAAATGAAAATGTGGAATTTGTACATGAAAATATCATATTTTGATCATTTGAATCTCTAGAAAAAAATATGAAAAAAATGAGAAAAAATATCCGGAGGATCAATAAAATAATTAGCATCGTTTAAATAAGAAAAACAATTTTTTGATGAGCTCAAAAGGATTATAGTCAGAAAAAAACATGGAGAAACGTTTTTTTTTCGGGAAAAAATGGGCAAAAAATGAATTTTTGATAAGAACAAATATTGATTATTGATTTTGATTTCAAATAAATTTTGAATCGAATTTTGGAATTAAGATCAGAAAAATTAACAACACGATCTTTTACGAGGTGAATCGAGAGAGACGCAGAGAAAACGAGAAAAAACCTTCGATTGAAATATAGAATTAAAAATAAAATGATCTACATTTTCGAAATCAAGCGCGGAAAAGATATTTGAATTCGAAAGATATTTGAATTATTTGAAAAATATTTTTCCCGCGCTTGGTCTCGAAACGAATAAGCCGAACTGCAAATGGATTTAATGTTTTGAATTTCTCTCGGAGATTTTTTAAAGTTTTTCTCTTTGTGTCTATTTCAAAGTCTAATTTTCTTTTTTTTTTTGGTTCAAAGGCTGTTTGAAACAATTAAAAAAATATTTTACTGAAAGGTTTGAAAAACATTTTTTTTAATATTTTTAAATAAAAAAATTTGGTAAAAGACTTTTATCGAAACAAAAAATATGAAGTTTTCTAGAAAATGTGAAAAAGTTTTGAAAAAATGAAAAAAAATCCAGAAAAAATTCAAAATTTTTAAAATTTTGATTGCCTGAAGGAGTGGTGAGTCATGCGCGGTGTTATATCACACACACACACATGAAAAAACACATACAAACAAGAGGAGACGCAGAGAAAAAAAGACAGATGAGAGAAAATTGAAAAATTTAGAGAGAAAAAGGAATTGCGAAATATTGGAATAGAGAAGAGAAAAAACCCGTAGGGGAAGGGAAAAAAGAATGGGAGAAAGAGAGAAAAGGAAAATGTGATGATGTCATCAATAACTTGGCAAATTGTATGTTTGTATTATTGACATATCGGAAATATAATAATAGAAATTGTGAACAAAACTAGATTTTTGAATCAAGTTTAAATGCGCTCTATGGAGAAATTCAGATTTCTGTAGATCAAAATGTGTTATGATTGAATTAATAGGTTGTGCATTTTTCTATTGTATTTTAAGATTTCTGTAATATTTCATTTCTCGAAAAAAATCAAACGAGCTCCATCTAAGTAGGTTTCTTGAGAATATAAAATGTGAAAGTAAAGTTTTATGAATACTTTTTGTTAGCAAAGTTTGATTTTCCCTCAGAAAGACGAGATTTATAACGAAACTAATTTTCTTGGAAAATATTTCTGTACTTTATTTTCCAGAATGTTATTATTAAACAACAAAAATTCCGAATACATCAAAAGTATTTTAGAGAACGAGGACTTTCGAAATTTTACATTCAATTTGTCAGGTGTTTCAATTACAATGTTAATATTTGTTTTTTAAGCGTAATTCAAGTTTTAATTTAAAAATTTTAAACGTGTTCGAAAAAGTTTTAAGAAACAGTTACTGTAGTTTTCTTTTTCAAAGATACCGCATTGAAGTTTTGATAATTTTGAACTTCATTCAAATTTTCTTTTCGGTAACAAAAACCACAGCAAATTTTTTTCTACGTGACCTGAAATAAAAAAATCATTGCAGAATGTGTTTTTCACGCGGCACACACATCTGGGCGGAGCCTAATAAAATCCTGTTTTTACTCGTTTTTTGAGGATTTGAACCCGAATTTCAGGGAAAAGTTTTAAAACATGTTGATGATGACTAGGTTTTTCAAGACGTCATTTATTTTCACAAATTTTAAAATTTTTATTTCTTGTGCAAATCTTCATTGAACATTGATCATTTCGAAGTCAAAGAATGTCTATAATTTCTCAAAATGTTCGTTGATGTTTCAGTATAAACAAGTCCTGATTTTCGACATCGAATTATATTGCAAACAGAGATTCGAATATTTTTATTGAAGATCAGATAAATCAAGCAAGGAAATCCAGATGATCATTGATAAGTGATTTGTCCCATGCACATTATAAAATAATTTGTGTTGTCAATAAAAACTGCATAGAATACAAAAGCAGATGGAACTATATAAAGACTTGATATCAGAACTGATTGAATTATAAGCTAAAAATGAAGAAGATGCTGGATTTTTTCAAGAAAAAACTGATTACGTTTCTGTGAAGTTTGTTAACATGTTGCCAATTATTTGATATTCCTCCTTTTCGAGTTGAACAACAAATTGAAACATATAAAAGGAACATGAACAAACAAACCATTGGATTGTGATGAATTGGAAGATGATTGAATTTTGATTGCTAAAAACACGGCCGAAACTTTTTTCAAAAAAAAAACTGTGCAAAAATCCACGTGGAAAATCCTCTAGGATTATCCTACCAATAGTTTTACTAACATCATAATCATTCAGCGGAGTAACTAAAACTGTGGCATGTTTTGAATTGTAAACTGGAGTATCGTAGAAAATTGCAAAATAGAAACCATACAAATTTATGAAAACTATAAGAGCCCTCGTTTTCCATTCTTTATCATATATCATTTTCAGCCATCGAATTTTTGTGAGTTCGGATAATCGATTAATTGCCAAAAACATGCAAGCAAGAGATGATGTTAGCCAGTAAACTCAAACATTTTGATACGGAATCTTTATGTTTTATGTTAACCTACAAAGTGCTAATTTTCCATTGATTATTTGAATTTTTGGATGTGTGCAAAAAACACCACCAACAATTGACATATAACCGTTGAAAAATGAAGTGCTCCAAAGTTCTAGCATCTCAATAAAACCCTAAAACTTTCTATTGAAATTTTATCTACAGTAATCCTTCCTTTACCGATATAAAACATGATTTTGAAACAGGATAATTTGAAAGTTTCTGAAGTTGCCATTGAATATAAAACTAAAATAGCTAGAATATGAAAAATGATTCCGCTTGAAATATAATAAATACCAAGTTCAACACTAACAATTCCTTCTTTATACCATTCATTCTGAGTTCGCGAAGAGCAATTATATCTTTCTGAGCCATCCCCAAAAACAATTCGATATAAATCAACGAGTCGTTCATAATCAGCTGATAGAGACATTTTTGACAAAATGATTAAAGATGTAGGTTTGGTATATTACTAAATTCTCCGCCTTTTTTCGGCATAGGCGGGGTTGAAAAAGAACTTTGTTCAACGTTTTATTAGAAAAAACTACAGTAATACTACTAAAGTCAAATGAAAAAATTAAGTGCCTACTGTATGAATTGTCGCCTAAATTCATTTTGAAAAACGTTTCACGTTTCCACCCCATTCAAATGCTAGATTTCGTACTTTAACTGTCATTCCTCCGCGGAATCTGAACAATTCGATTCCTCTCGTGAATGAAAACCACTTTGCGCGTCAACAAATGTGTGCAATATGTGTAATATTGCGTCATGGTGTTTGAGAGCGGGAAACTGGGCTGTTTGAAAGAAAGTGCGGGAAAACACACTTTTCTTCTCTCGTTTCGCGATCATTTTCGACTTTTTATTGTTCGCTCCCAAATATTGAAGTTTCAAATTGATATTTCTCGTTTTTCAGAAGTAAAAGAGTAAAAATGGACGGACTTGGTGGTGGTATGTTCATCGATCGAGCTGAAGATGCGCGAAAACAAGAGATTACTCAAGAATATCTCAATTTTTTGGATAATCAGGCAGATACAAATCATTATCGTCAAAAGATTGTTCGAATGATGACTGAAGGTGATAGTCGATTAATTGTGAATTTGGATGAAATTCGTGAAAAAATGCCACAAAGAGCTGAAGGATTGTTGAAAGAATCTGTCAATGAATTGAATTGTTTGCAAACTGCTTTGATGGAAGCAATTTCGAGATCTGATGTTCAAGCAAATATTAAAACGTGAGTTTGGACAAGGAAGTATTTTTCATTATAGTTTTGATGAAAACACGTGTTATCTTTATCAAAACATGCTCTTCTTTCACATAATAGAACAAAAGTACTCTAGGTTTTTCTAATTAGCTTAATCTCTTTGCGCATGACTTACATCATCATACATACAAAATTAAGAAGAAGATATCAAAAAACAAATATTTTCAGCGGATTCCATGTTGGATTTGAGGGAACATTTGGAGAGCGACATGTGAATCCAAGAACTTTGAAATCGACATATTTGGGAAATATGGTTTGCTGTGAAGGAATTGTCACAAAATGTTCATCTGTTCGTCAAAAATTGATGACTTCTGTTCATTATTGTCCGGCGACAAATAAAGTTTTGGAGAAAAAGTTTGCCGATTTCACAATGTTGGATACAATTGTCACCAATAATTCATATCCAACTGAGGTAAGGAAATTGGATTATTCTTTCAACAAAAATCGAGTTACATGATTAGAGTTCAAATTTTGATTATCGCGCGCGAAGTATCAAAGATAACGTGATTTTAACCTTTCAAGAGTTTTCCGCCTAATTTAATCAGACCAAAATATCAATGAAATCAATATTTATTTTTTTAGGACGAGAACAAAAACCCATTGGAAACTGAATTTGGTCACTCAGTCTACAAAGATCATCAAACATTCACAATTCAAGAATTGCCAGAATCTGCACCAGCTGGACAATTGCCAAGATCAGTTGATTGTGTTGCTGATGTTGATTTAGCTGATCGTGTCAAACCAGGAGATCGTGTTCGAATTATTGGAGTTTTCCGTGTTCTTCCAAGTAAACAAAATGGAATGTCAACTGGATCATTCAGAAGTATTATTATTATCAATAATATTCAAATGCTTTCAAAAGAAGTTGTTCCACATTTCGAACCACAAGATGTAAAAGATGTTAGAAAGATTTCAAAATCAAAGAATCCATTCGATTTATTGGCTCGTTCACTTGCTCCATCAATTTGTGGACACGAAGAGACTAAAAAAGCATTGTTATGTTTATTATTAGGAGGAATGGAAAAGATTCTTGATAATGGAAGTCGTCTTCGTGGAGATATTAATGTTCTTTTGATTGGTGATCCATCTGTCGCAAAATCTCAACTTCTTCGATATGTTTTGAAAATGGCACCAAGAGCTATTACAACAACTGGAAGAGGATCATCTGGTGTTGGTTTGACAGCTGCAGTCACAACTGATCCAGATTCAGGAGAAAGAAGACTTGAAGCTGGAGCAATGGTATTAGCTGATCGAGGAGTTGTTTGTATTGATGAATTTGATAAAATGTCGGATATTGATAGAACTGCTATTCATGAAGTTATGGAACAAGGAAGAGTTACCATTTCGAAAGCAGGAATTCATGCTAAATTAAATGCAAGATGTTCTGTTTTAGCTGCTGCAAATCCAGTTTATGGAAGGTTTGTTTTTTTGTTTTGAATTAATAAATACTATTCAATTTGATTTTCAGATACAATCCATTCAAATCACCAATGGAAAACATTGGAATGCAAGATTCTTTGCTTTCTCGTTTCGATTTGATCTTTGTACTTCTTGATGAACACGATCCAGATCGTGATTCTGATGTTGCTAGCCACGTTCTCAAATTGCACACCTACCGTACTCCGGGAGAAGCTGATGGAACTGTTCTTCCAATGGGAAGTGGAGTTGAAACTGTTTCGACTTTGCAAATGGAAACCAAAAAAACAAGCAATTCAATTTATGAGGAAAATACATCATGGGCTGGAATCGATAATAGCAAACAAATTTTGACAATGGATTTCATGAGAAAATATATTCATTTGGCAAAGAATGTGCAACCAAAATTGACCGATGAGGCCACCGAATTCATCTCTGAAGTTTATGCTGAAATTCGATCATTTGATATTTCGAAAACTGATCAAGAACGGGTGAGTGACTTTTTTCCAGATCAATTTTTCAATCGAAAAATCTTTAGACTATGCCAGTAACTGCTCGTCAACTCGAAACTCTTATTCGTATTTCAACCGCAATTGCTAAAGCAAGATTCTCAAAACTTGTTCAAAGAGAGGATGCCGAAAAAGCTTATCATTTGCTTCATTTCGCTTGCTTCAAAGAGAAACCAAAAGCTCGTGTTGAATATGAAAAGAAAAAGAGAGGAGCTGAAGATTATCGATCAGATGAAGAAGAAAAAGATGACGAAGATGATGATCAAGAAACGACTGAACCAGTTGATGAATCAGAATCAGTTCCAACAGCTCCAACACCAAGAAGAGGAGTTCGTAGACGTGCAGTTATTGAAGAAGATGAAGAAGAGGAAAGTATGGAGACTAGTTCAATTGCTGAACCAATTGCTAAAAGACAAAGAGTTGAACCAGCTTCAATTGGTGTTGATAGATATAAGGAATTGAGAAAATATGTTAGAAAAGCTTTTGATGAATTGGGTGGAGCTGATGAAATGATGGAATTGGCTAAGATTACTGAAAGTATGTTTTTTTAACTCGAGAATGTTTCAAAAAATTATTAATTATTTTTTAGATGTTCAATCTCAAGCTGGTCGTTTCAAATTCACAGAAAGTGAACTCAAAGCCGGTTACGAACAATTGGAAAATGAAAATGCTGCGATGATTGCCGATGATAAAATTACATTAATCTAATTTTTTCTCACCTATTCTTTTTTTGATCCATTTTTATATACTGATCTCTCACTTTATTCACTCCCTCTTTTCTTTTTTCTTGCAACTCAGAGAAGTTGGACGATTAATCGCCTAGTAACTTGAATTAGTTGCTGGCTGACCGATTAATCGCCTGTGTTAATTTAGTTCAGGCGATTAATCGTAAGTTCACTTTACTCGGCGATTAATCGTACAACTTGTCTGAGAACAAAATAAAAATTGCTCATTTTTTGTTGGTTTTCTAGGCCACGGTATTTTAGGCCAACGTGAAATTATTTTATTTTTTCTAGTTTTTAGGCATCAACAGAACATTTCTAATTTTTGAGCAATTTATAAATTGTGCGATGGAGGAAGCGAAAGATTTGATGCGAGAATTATTTGCGGGGCTCGAATTCAGTGAGGTGAGATTTTTGATTTTGAAAATCATTCAGTTCAAAATGAAATATTTATGAGTGCGTGGTTAACACTTGATTTATTTTCAAGTTTACAAAAAACAGTGGCAAGATCCTGATTATATCGAACAAATTCCGATGATTAAAGTTTTTTAAACCAAAAAAACATTTTCTCAACGCTGAAACGGTGGAGAAAATGTATTTTCTACGCATTTCTCCTGTTTTCTCAGCCTTTCGAGAAAATAATTCACACCTCGGCCAAAATCGTGGTTTCCACAATAAAAAATTGTACGCTAACTTTTTACAGTACAAAAATTGTGAATTTTTCAGTTTTTGTCCTCTAAAAATTGTGATTTTTCAATTTTTGACCTCTAAAAACTGAAATTCAGATTTTTCAAAAAATTGTACTCTGGCCAGCCACGGCTTGGCCGAGGTGTGAAATAATTGAATAGCCCCATAATTTTATTCCCATATTAATCTTCACAGACACATTTCTTAATCTAATAAATTATCGTACGAAAATATGATTATTATTTCTTTTTTAGTCGCAAGAACTTGTTCAATGGGCATCTGAATATTTGACAAACACTCCACCGACCACAATTTCGAAGGATAAAAAATTGGAGAAACTTCGGAAAAAGCAACAACAGAAGTTTGAATCGATTGCAACGGATTTGAAGCAGCAGGTATTTTTTGTTTAATTAAGGCAGCAAAATTAATTATGTAATATTTTGAAACAACAAAAATGACGTAATTGTGATTTCTTTGATTTTTCTTTCAGTATTCAAGCAAACTAAAATAGTTAAAAATCATGATGCTTGAAAGTGAAGAATTTCTAATATTTTCAATTCATATTTTGGGAATAACTGCAATTCCAGTTCATCTTTTCGGAACTTTTTGTATTGTTTTCCATACTCCAGTAACTATGAAATCTGTAAAATGGGCAATGTTTTATTTACATTTTTGGAGTGTTGTATGGGATATTTATTTGAGTATTGTATACTTGCCATTTATTATATTCCCATTTGCCGCGGGTTATACATTGGGATATGTATCTCCAAATTTTCTTAATTTTTCACAGCAATCTTATATTGCTGTTTCGCTTCTTGGTCTAATTGGATGTGCAAATGTTGTGTTTTTCAAAAAATCGATATAATTGTATTTGTCTTTCGAAAGATGATAAAAATCACAAAAGTTGGAAAATTGTTTCATTTTTCTTGTTCAATCATATTATTCCAATTATTTATTTTTCTCCAACACTTTTAATTCCAATAGATGGAAATGAGGCGAAATTATATATTTTGGAAAAAGTTCCGATGTTACCTAGAGATATTTTGGATAACCCTAATTTCGGGGTTCTATGTCTGAATAGACCTGTTTTATTGTTTTGTATAATTATAATTATTTCTGAACTTATTATTCAGATATTTCATATGGTTTGGAAAATATATTGCGAATTATTCTCAAATATTTCAAAATCAAAAAAGACTTTAAACGCGCAGAGATTGTTTTTTCTAACAGTTTGTTTACAAACTTCTTTGCCTATTTTTGGAATTCTTCTTCCTGTTTTATATATGTTTTTTAGTTATTCAAGTTATTTTTATAATCAGGGATATAATAACCTGACAATGATATCGTTAACTTTTTATGGACAACTTTCGACATTAACAATGATTATTATCCATAAGCCATATCGAAGTGTTATTTTGAAATTTTTTCGATCTTACAAAAAGGGTCCGAAGATTTCATTTACTGATGGACCAAGACATTCAATTCCTAGCCCTGTATTATATTAGGAAATAAATTATTTTTTCTTTCAATTTTTATTGAAATTTTTTTTAAATTGGAGATACTTCGGAAGAAACATCAGCGAAATTTTGCATTTATTGCAAATGATATCTAGTGTTTTTTTTCAGATAATTAATTAATTAGATAAATAGAAATAGGTTTTGTCTGAAAATGTCATAATTTGGAACAACAACAAAAATTTGTAATTGTGGTTTCTTTGATTCTTGTTTTTTTCTTTCAGTCTGCTTGCAATCTGTATAATTAGAAGTTATGAAGTTGGAAAGCGAAGAATTTCTAACATTTTCAATACATTGTTTGGGAATAACTGCAGTTCCAGTTCATCTTCTCGGAACTTTTTGTATACTTTTCCATACTCCTGAAACTATGAAATCTTGTAAATGGGCAATGTTTTATCTGCATTTTTGGAGTGTTGTATGGGATATTTATTTGAGTGTTTTATATGTTCCATTCATAATATTTCCATTTTCTGCTGGATATACTCTAGGATTTCTTTCTCCAAATTTTCTCAATTTTTCACAACAATGTTATATTGCTGTTTCATTACTCGGTTTAATTGGTTGTGCAAATGTTATATTTTTCAAAAACCGATATAATTGTATTTGTTATTCACAAGAAATTCGGTATGAAAGCAATTTGAAGATTATCATATTTTTCGTTTTCAATCATATTATTCCAATTATTTATTTTTCTCCAACACTTCTAGTTCCATTAGATGAAAATGAGGCGAAATTATATATTTTGGAAAAAGTTCCGACGTTACCTAGAGATATTCTGGATAACCCTAATTTCCGTGTTCAATGTTTAAATGGTCCTGTTATGATGCTTTGTATAATTATAATTGTCTCCGAACTTTGTAGCCAAATTTTGCATATGGTTTGGAAAATATATTGCGAATTATTCTCAAATATTTCAAAATCAAAGAAGACTTTAAATGCGCAGAGATTGTTTTTTCTAACAGTTTGTTTACAAACTTCTCTTCCATTTTTCGGAATTCTTCTTCCTGTTTTATATATGTTTTTTAGTTATTCAAGTTATTTTTATAATCAAGGATATAATAATCTAACAATAATCTCATTAACATTTTATGGACAGCTTTCGACATTAACAATGATTATAATCCATAAGCCATATCGGAATGTTATTTCGAAATTTTTTCGATCTTACAAAAAAGAGTCAGCAGATTTCATCGACTGACGGACCAAGACATTCAGTTCCTAGTCTTGTTTTATATTAGAAAATGAAATTTATTTTGTTTTAGAAGTTCTAGTAGAAAAATATTTTTCATACATAAATTTTGTTCTTCGCATTTATAGTGTGTACTATACTCAAAATCGCAAGACGTCAAGATTTTAAAAATTTTCTGGTAGAACAGAATACGTTTCTCTAATAAGGAAGTGTTTTCAATGCCCCTGTGGGGAAGAAAAATCTTGACAGGAATAAGCAAAGAAACTCCTTTTTTCGAAAAGTTTAAGGTTATTGATTTTTGTGATGAATGTTTTCATTTTTTGTGTTGATTTCATTGATTTTAGTCCCATCGCTAAGATTGTGTCAGGTCTCCAAATTCGAGATCATAAGTTCATTGAATAAAATATAACAAATTTGTTGACCAAACCAAATAATTCAACTCCTAGTTTTCAGGAAATAAATGATTGTTGATTCAATTTTTCACTTATCTTTTCCTAAACCAAAACGCAAAACAATTTCCATAATTCACGCGGTAAAAATGAACACAGATTCTGAAGATTTTCTGGTTGATTCTCTTCATTTTCTTGCTCTAACAGGATTACCCATCCATTTCCTTGGTTTTTATTTCATTCTTTGCAACACTCCAGTAACTATGAAATCTGTCAAATTGCCAATGTTATATTTACATTTTTGGAATGTTGTTTGGGATGTTTATTTGAGTATTTTATATGTTCCATTTGTTGTATTTCCATTTCCAGCTGGTTATACTTTGGGACTAATTTCTTCAGATTTTCTTAATTTCACACAACAATCTTGTATTGCTGTAACACTTTTAGTTATGATTGGAAGTGCGAATGTTTTCTTTTTTGCAAATCGATATAATCGAATTTGTATGCTTGGAAAACCAATGAAAAAAAGGAAAAAGTTTATATTAATTGGTTTAAATCTACTTTTCGCAATTTGTTCTCCAATTCCAATTAATTTTCTTCCCGTTGATCAAAGTTATGCGAAAAAGTTTATTTTGAAAACAATCCCTAGTTTTTCACGTGAAATTTTAAAACGGGATGATTTTCGAGTTATTTGTTTGCATAAAGAATATCTTGTTATAAGTTTGCTGATTATAATTGCTGTAATTGGTATTCAACTCATTCGATTAATCGTGAAAATTAGTCTCGAACTTCATTATAGTCTTCAGGCTTCAATAAATTCAGCTTCAACGAGAACTTTTAATATACAAAAAGCGTTTTTCTACACGATTTGTTTTCAAACATCAATTCCTGTTATTGGTATCTCATTTCCTGTTTTTTATATGATTTATAGTTATTTTACATATTATTTTGATCAGAGTTACAATAATTTTGCAATAATTGCTTTGAGTTTGTATGGACAGATTTCGACTATGACCATGATTTTTGTACATAAACCATATCGGAAGAAATTTCTTGGAGCTTTCGATCCACGTGAATTTTTTACTCGAAAGACAAAATCGATTCCAGAAGTTAGAACAAATATATCAACAGCAAGTAATATAAAAACATTCACATAAGTTAGGCTAAATCAATGTCGAATAAATCTTCAAAGTTCTCTTTTTTAGCAAGAAAAAAAAACAAAAAAAAACATGATCAGATGATTGTTTTGCTTCACTTATTTCATTATTATTTTTTTGGCACTGTGTGACGAGAGCAAAATGAATATAAGTGATCAAAATGTATTTTTCAAAGTTACCGTAACTCTGGGTGTTTCTTCAATTCCTCTTCATTTCTTCTGTGCGTATTGCATTTTGTTTAAAACGCCAGTTCAAATGAAATCAGTGAAACTTACAATGCTGAATTTATCATTTTGGAATGCGTTATTGGAAATATATTTATCAATAATTTATATTCCGATTGTTATTTTTCCAATAAATGCTGGTTTATATCTTGGACCAGATATTTTTGGAAACTTTTCAATTCGATCATATTTTGCAGTTGTTATTCTTGGTTTTGTCACTTCATCGATTGTTACTTTTCTTGAGAATCGATATGATGTTTTAGTTCGAATAAATCGATTGAAAATGAGCAGAAGAATATTACATTTGGGATTGAATTATTTGATGAGTATTATTATTTATATTCCACCATTTTTGAATATTCCTGATCAGAAAGAAATGAGAGAATATCTTGAGAAATTCGAGCGTGGAATATCTATAAATATTCTAAATCATCCGAATTTCTTCATAATTGCTCTTGATTTCAAAAATCTTGCGATGTTTGTCGCAATCTTTGCATTATTTCTAACTTGTCAAGTTTCATTTATGTTGAAATATATCATTTCAACTCTTTATTCTCAAAAATCACAATCGATTAAAACTCTGAAAATGCAAAGAAAGTTTTTTGTTTTAATTTGTATTCATACAATTCTTCCACCAATGATCCTCATTTTACCAGTTTCGTATTCAGTTTTCTCGAGTGTTATGAATTATTATAATCAAGGTAAATTTGGAATTGCTCGATTCATTTGATTAATTTAATTTCCTTTAAGCTGCAAATAACATTGTTATGTTATTTTTCATATTTTATTCAATTATTTCAACTTTTCTAACTCTTCTAATTCATCCTTCTTATCGAAGTGTTATTCCAAACATCTTCAAATTAAAAAAGAATACAAAAATCGTCAAATCAACAAGTCAACAATTATCTGATTTCACTAAAAAAGCTGAAAAATAAATAAATAATTTCTCGGAAATTAAGAAGCATCACTATCTAATTATTCGCTACGATGCTTTGAATCATTCATTTTTGATTCTTGATGTGATGTATTTCGAAGACGAAAATACTTTTTCTAATTATTCCCATATTTTGAGTATATTTGTAATTCCAGTTCATTTATTTGGTGCTTACTGTATTCTTTTCAATACTCCAATTCAAATGAAATCTGTGAAATGGGCAATGTTAAATATGCATTTTTGGAGTGCAATTTTCGATATTTTCATGGGTTTTATTTATATTCCAATTACAAGTTTTCCAGCAACAGCTGGATATTCTTTGGGTTTTTCGCCATTCAAAAATTTTGCTGAAGAAACTTATATTGGAGTTTCAGCTTTGGGAATTTTGGGTGCATCAATTCTTGCATTCTTTGAGAATCGATATGATAGATTAGTTCGAAGTAAACCTCTTGAAAATTGGAAAAGATATACATATCTTATATTTAATCATTTAATGGCTCTTACATTTTATATTCCTCCACTTTTGGAAATCCCAAATCAAGTTGAAGCTAAATTTCGAGTTCTTGAAATTATTCCAAATATTTCACGAGATATTTTTGAGAATGAGCGATATTTTGTAGTTTGTGTAAGTCGAACAACATTGGCATTTTGCATCGGAATTGATCTTCTTTGGTTTTTAACTCAAACATTTTATATGTTTATTTATATTAGTTGGACACTTTATCGACAAAAAGTATCATCCTCGAAGACTTTGATTATTCAAAAGAAATTTTTCTTGGCAATTTGTATTCAAACAATTGTTCCATTTATGGCAATTGTTATTCCAGTTGTTTATATTATTTTTTCATATCTAACTGATTATTATAATCAAGGTAGGTAAATTAATTCATTTCCTGGATTATTTTTCACAGTTTTTAGCAATGAATAATCTTGTGATGTTTACTTTAATGTGTTATGGACAATTATCAACAATTATTATGATAATTATTCATAAACCATATCGACAAGTTCTGCCGAATATTTTAAAATCGATATGCGCAAAACGCCATAAGAATCTTAAAATAGTTGCGAGCCATCAAAGATCAGCCAGTTTGTTTTAAATAATCTTATCTTGTGATAATCTTTTTTATAGATAGAATAAATATTTTCTTCTTCATTTTTTCATATTCAAATATGTATACTTTTAAGACGAGTCTCGTGATCCTCATGGTTTTTTCTTGAAATTCTGGCTTTATTTTTATATAAGTCCCACAGAAATCTATTTTTTTCCGAAAAATCCACGTGGCATAAAATTGCCAATAGTTATCAATTTTTTCTATCAAATCTGGGAATGATAGTTGGCCTCAAAACACTTCAAAATTTTTCTGAAATGAATAAATTCGTGTTTCTAGCTACTCAACTTTTCTAAGGTCTTCTTTAAAGCCATTCTAGGATACCTAATTTTTAGGATTCTTTTAGCGAAATATTGTATATTGTATTAATTTTTCAGGGAGTGATGGTTCCATCAAACGAAGCCGAGAAATTAACATGGCCAAAATCAGGATTTGATAGCGATTGCAACGAAATCAACACTTTAGATATTGATTCATTTTTATATAATGATGATGATATTGAAGAAATGGTTGAAGCAAAACAAATATCAAGATTATATTGTGCAAAATGTGGATCGAGAGAAGTTGTTCCACTCAATTTTATCAGTCATAGTTTAAGCAAAGAACAAATTGAATTTATGTTCACAAAACTTCAACCAGACAATGTTAATCGAATTGTTGATCTTGGAAGTCGAATTGGAGCTGTGGTATACGGTAGTTCGATATTTTCAAATGGACAAAATAAAACAATTGGAATTGAGATGAATAAAGAATTGAATGAAATAACGAGAAAAACTGTTGAAAAATTTGGATTGAAAAATGTGGAGATTATTGAAAACGACTTGAGAAATGAGGCAAATGTTTTGAAAAATGCGGAACTTGTTGTGATGAATAATGTTTTCTCATTTTTCCTCTCAAAAGCTGATCAAGAAAATTGTTGGGAATTTATAAAGGAGAACTTGCAAGAGGGAACTATTTTGTTGCATCATCCGGAAATTGAAAAAGCTACCGATTATTTGGATTTGAGTTTTAAGATTGAAGATTGGTTGGAGGAGGTGAGTAAAATATATTTATTTTTTATTTTAATCCAATTAAATTTTCAGATTGATACAAGTGTTGATTGTATTGAATTCGCTGGGCAAGATGTTGAAAAATATGAGGATATTTCGACAATCAAAAAATATATTGTCAAAAAAATCGCTTTAGATTGCTAAATTTTATGGAAACTTTGTTAAATTGTTGATTTTTGTTGTTGGATATTTGAAAAATATGAAATGAAAACTTTATCAAAGAAAGAAATTATTGTATGAAGTTAGAAAAATGGGATTTTGATTTCGTATCCAAAAATTTTGATGACGAATTTCGTGTCCTTGTGGTCGCTCATAGTTAGAAAATACAGCAGAATTATCAGTTATTCAGATAATGGTATCAAATCAAAACTGGAGGTTTATATACAAAATTTAGTGGCTGAAATGAGAAATATTTCAACTTTTAAATTTTATAATTATGTCATTAGGAATTTTCTATTTCGAAACATTCTTGTATATAAACCGTCGTGATTACTGGTGTTATCAGTTTGAGAATATTTCACTATTTTGTTGACTGTAATGGATTCTGTTACTTTTGGAATTGTGCACAGAGAAGGACGTGTGGAAGTCTACGTTTTTGGAAAGAAAATCATGGAATTCTACAATGAATAGATAAATCCATCTGAATGTTCTGTTTTTTTTCTATGAATAAAATTTTTTGAGCAATTTGTTTTGTAATGTTCGAAAAACATATAAAGTTGAAAAATCAGAACTTATTTTCTGTAAAATAGCGTTCACGTTTTTATTTTTAAAAAAATGGGCGGTTCGTTGAGGATTCTTTTTCAGATCATTTCATTTTTTCATGCATCCGGAAAATGTTTGGTTATTTTGCAATGTGAATCGGACTGAAAAGTATAATTTAAAGTGAGTTGAACTACCGATTGCTCAAACAAAAAAAAATAATTTGAAATAATATATTGTCATTCCGAAAAAATAAGAACTTGGAAGAGAACCGAAATGGCCTAGGACACCAAGACTACAGTAGACTTCGCAAAATTTTGGAGTCTATTTGAAAAATAAAATGCGAAATTTACACGTTGGCTATTTGCCAACCAGTTTGATGTGCATGTGTCACGTCATTTTTAGTCTACTGTACGTGAGCGCCAATTCAAACGGGGGTTCTTTTTATTTTCGGAATGACAATAAAAATTATTCATTGAAAAAAATTGGTTTAAATACAAAAAAAATATTTTGGAGTATGTAAGGTCTCACAAAAATGATTAACTGGAAATTGGGTAGAATAGCATTGTTTGATATACCATTCATCGAAAATCAACAGTATCTATTGAAGCGTTTGGGGCAGTTGGGGGCATGTTGAGGAGACCAGCTTCCAAAAAGTGTGTCAAAAAAACTGCGTGGAATAGAGAAGCATTGACATGCCACAACCATTTTCAGTTTGGTTTCAGAGGAATATTTTGATTTTCAGATTCAAATGGAAATTTTTAATTTGGAGTTGAGTATTTATATCAATCAATTCAATTAAGAGTGAGAAATATTATCTATTCGTATCAAAAAAGTCATAAGATTTTTTTATCATAAATTTTTTTCTGGAACAGAAGTATTTCATAATCCTAACAGTCATATAATTTCGAGCTTTTGATTTTAAAGTTGTCATTATTTTATGTTAGAAAAAAATGAAAAAAATAAATTTTAATTGTTTCTAAATAACTTTTCAATAAATCAGACCGATAAAAAAGTCTTACGAATATTACAAATTTCTAATGAATCATAAAAAAATATTTATATCCAAAAGCTGATCAAAAAATGATACACACAAACTAGAATATAGTATTACTCTAACCTTTTTCTGAAATATTCAATCGCTAAACTTGATGTAAACGAGATAAACAGACAGTTCGACTTAAAAATATTTTGGACGTTTTTTTTTGTTTTTTTCGCTTTTTTTCTGCTTTGGACACCGCAAAAAGAATATGAAACCCAGGGAAAAATTACGAAAACATTAATGAGCTTAGATTTTTTTTTTAGAAGTTTCGAATTGGTTCCATCGAATTGGTGTCTGCAAAAATTGTTATTCTCGAAATTAGTATTCCAAAGTTTTTCCTCAATTTTCCAATATCCAAAATACTTTGTAAAATCCGGAACAATTATTTTTTTACAACACCAACTTTCAATAATATCTTTTCTTTTTGTTTTGCGCGATGAATTGTTGTAAATCTTCAAAAAGTGACAACAAGTTGATGAGATCATCGAATATTCTTCTCTTCTTTTGCTCATTCAAACTTTCGAAAAATGTTGTTGTTGTAATATTTTTCGCATCCGAGCAAAAAGAAAAAGGAAAGAAAGGTATGCATAAATATTTTGCGGTTCGCTATAAAATTGCACCCTTGTTTTTTTTTTTGTTACTTATGCTTTGTTCACATTTCTTCTTTTTTTTGGAAAAAGAGAGAAAAACCATTTTATATACTAAAAACAATTTTCTCACCACATTAACACGATGTTTTATTTTATCATCTCGAGATCGAATTTCGCAAAAAAAACTTTACAATGTTTTTATTTTATTTTATTTGTTTGTTTTGTTGTTGTAATAATTAAAGATATTCTCAAATTATGCGGAAAATTTTGGAAAGCATATGTCCAAATATATTTGTTCACTTGGAATTTAAAATTAATTTGAGAATTTTTTTTTTTGAGGAAACTTTTCTTGAAAATCCGATAATCCCAAGATTTTTTTATACCAAGGTCAAACTTTTTTTGATGATGTGAAAAGAAAAAGTTTTAGTTTGGATTTATTATTCATAATAATAATTATTATTCACTTTTATTTATTCACATCAGTTTTCTGGATTCTCCTTAATCTTGAGAATAAATATATAGTTTTGATACTTTCAAGTGTGAATCATTCCATATGTTTTGTTTGAATTTTAGATAAAAATTTGGAGGAAATTGTGGTTCCCAATAAAAATATTTCTCACATTTTTCATGAGAAAAATAGCAGTGACTCATTGTCAGCGGGAATATTGTTTGTAGATTTTAGATACGCGCCAGAATTTATTTGAATTTTGCGCAGATGTTTTTGCGTCCCAAAAAAACTCATTAATTATCAAGGGAAGATTTAAAGTTTCTTGGTTTTTCTGACAGGTTCGAAAATTTTTGAAACATTTTTTTCGGAATTTATGATTTTGTCACGTGGATTAGGTTCATACGGCTGAAGAATTCTGAAAAATGAAACCACGTGGATTTTTCTGTATTATAAAATACGAACTCTTCAGGATATGAATTTTTTCAAATTTGAAAAAAAATTACGTGGTTTTCAAGCTGAAAAATTTGATCCACTAGAAATTACGCACCACGTGGATTCGGATTTCCCTCCGATCTCATTTTTTCCATTTTTTTTCAATTTTTTGGACCTTCCCATCCTTGTCAAATTGGTGCGAAAATTTTAATCCATCACAACCATAGTTTTTTTTGATGTTTATAAAATTTGACACAATTGTTTTTTTTTCTTCTTTTCTCTTCTTTTTTTCTCATCGGAAGAAATTCTTCTCTAATGTGAAGAAGTTGCCAATAAAAACATCTCAAGCTGTGAGAATACACATAGATACTAAATAAATAGGTAGATTTTAGTGGGTCGATTGGCTGAAGAAAAAAGTGAAATAAATAAAGATGTCCGGATAATTGGAAGCTAATTGTTGGACGAAAAAACGAAAGATGGAACATATATACATAGTTATTATTCGGAAAAAAGAAATTGAATATATATTACGATTTAAGTTTGCCTTTTGATTTTCTGTTTTATTCGGCTGACTTTTTTTTGGAAAAAACTTTTGAAGTTGAGTAATTATAGGATTATGGTTGTATTTTTAGACAAAGAAAATTGAGAAGAAAACAAACAAATTTTTTTTTGAATTCAGTAGGGATCTTGAACATTTCTTTTCATTCTTCTAGAATATCGGATCCTGTAATTTTTAAAAAGATCGAAAAAAGTTATTTAAAATTTTTTTCGATACTTTGAGATCTTCAAAGAATTTGTTTTCATTAGCTTCACGAACACTTTATTCGAATGCTGAACTCTAGGCACAGTAGTATTGGTCCCAATTGATTTTGAATTGAAAATTCTACAGTCCCTCTCAAAAAGCTGCCACCAATTCCACCCTCATTAAATCCTGACATTTTTTCATGTCCATCTAAATTACACCCCGTTACATCCATTTTTACCTCATTGTATCTCAATTACCCTTTTCCTCTCCACCCAAACAGACTCCCTTATTCCAAAAAAAATAGTTTCATTTTGTCAAGGTTAAAAGGTGTATGTTCTACCTCTTCCCCGCGGTGTTTTTTATCTGTTTGGCTTCTCTGCAAAAAAAAACCTTTTTGAATTTACCGATACTTTTTCTTTCTCTCAACGTTTTTTTTGCCTCAAATCGGCTTCTTTTGTCTAAATATTTCTGTGTTATTCTTTGATATTATATGATTTTTCGTCTATTATTTTTATTTTTATTTAAAAAAAACATAAATAGTAAGTACATATTTCTTGCAATTATTCATTGTGGCAGAATAAATTTCCTTGTTTTCTGTTTTTTTTTCTTTTTGAATTCATTTTCGAATCAAAACCATATGTGTAAAAAAAAAGAAAATGTGTTCTTTTTCTGCTTTGATTAATTCTTTCTTCCTCCTTTTTTCCATATCAAAAAATTTCTGGAATTTCGAAAATTGTGTAATTTCTTCTCTCTTCGCCAAGAACATTTTAGAAGGCGGGCCCAAAATATGACATATTTAGTAAATAATATTTTGAAGACTTACTTGAAAATATCTGATATTTCCGCTTTTTCTCATTTTCTTCGTGTGAGTTCTTTCTTTCTTGAAAAATAGGCAAAGTGTCAAAATTTCTCACATTTTTTTTGCGTTGAGCCAAAAAGTAAACGAATTTCCGGTTAAGAACAGGATTAGCGTATCATCAATCGTAGTTGTTGTAGAAGGAGAGCAAAAAAGTAGAAGAACTAGGAATAGCAAAAAAAATAGAAGAGGAGGTGCGCGGAAAAAAGTTGCTGACTTTACTTTTGGAATTTTTTTGGATAGGATTTTGTTTTCAGATTGTTTTTAGATTCAGAATTTTCATGAGTTCGGGTGAAGTTTTCAAATTATTTCATATTACTAATTATGAATCTGACTTTTTTCAATTTGTTGATCTCTAAACTTTTCAGAAATTCATTCAAATTTCAGAATTGTATATTTTTGGAACGTTTTCGCAAATTGTGGTACTAGAGTAATTAATCTGGTTGCTGTAACATCTCTAATTTTAAACCATGTTATTTTCAACACTCAAGATTTTTCGAAGATTACTGTAGAGTGTTCCTTTTTTCCAAACCTTTGGATTTTCTAGTTCTCTCATAATATCCGATTTTTTTTTATTGTTCTGTATTCTTCCTAATTATTTTTTTTTGTCTCGACTCACAAATCTTCAAACTTTTTTGATCTTTCGCTAACGGTAGATCAAACTTTTCTAAACCTCCAGTTTATGTTTCTCTGTTTCTTTCATTTTGTTGTTTTTTGTTCAACTATCCTTATTTTCTGGTCAGCTCCCCACCCTTTTCGTACTTTCTTATTTTTCTGAACTTTCTATCTAATCATTTAACTTTTCGTAATCTGCTATTTTTGTTGACTGTTTTGTTCGTCACGTGGATTCGAACCTTGCACTTTCCGAGTCCTAATCAATTATCAATTATCTTACCGACTTGACCACGTGAGTCGCGTGAGACTTCATCATCAATTTTATGTTTATATAGAAACTGTATCCCATTTCTAAATTCCAAAAAATGTATCATAATTTTCCACGTCTTTTTTTCTGCGTGACATTTCTTCTCCTTATTTCCAACCATCCTTGAAACTATCATTTCAAACAAAAAAGATGACTAGTTATAGAAAAAGGAAATGTCAACAGATGTATCAATTGAAAGTCGAACAAATGAAACAATCAGCAATGGAAGTAGTCAATCAACAACTACAATACACTATGCAAAACCAGTTCATCATTGTGTCAAAATGGACAACAAAAATGTATTGCAATCACCAAAAATATCAACTTCTTCTTCTTCTGCTTCAACTACTCGTGAGTTTTTGAATTTAGGAATTTATGAATTTGAAAAAAATAAAAATATGATTTTGTAGCCCGTTCTCCGAATATTCGCTATCCAACAGTTGTTGTGAATAATAATTCGAGTTTACCTGGTTCGCCGAAATCTTCAGCCTACGCAGTTCCAACGCCTAGAAATGTGAGTTTCAAAATTTCCCCGTGAAAAACCTTTTTTGGGGGTGAAAAAATGAAAGAATCTCTATTTTTCGAGAACATAAATCAATAAAATATGTTTGAATTTTCAGATGAATAGTCAATATTCACCAATTCAATTGCAATACGAACATATTCGACATCGATGTAAAATGTTGGACGAAGAAAATCAGAAATTAATGAAAATGCAATCGGATATTGTTTCTGATGCGAATCGACGAGTGCAAATGCATATAAATGAAATTCGAATGTTGAAAGAGGAAAATCGAAAGATTCAAAGCGCTCAAAAAGAGTTACGAGATCTTGCTTGTTTTCTAGACGATGATCGACAAAAAACAAAGAAATTAGCAAGAGAATGGCAGAAATTCGGAAGATATACAAGCAATTTAATGAAGCAGGTTTGGATTTGAGAAAATTTGAAAAAAGTATTACAAAAACAGATTGCTACAAGACCCATAATGAATTTCAAAACTTATATACCGTAGTCTATCAATTTTTTATCTTGTATTTTTCCAGGAAATACAAACCTACCACCAAAAATTGACGACGCTTGAGGAAAAATTGAGCGGAAAAGAGCATGAAGCTGAGGAATTGCGCCAACTTTGTATGTATTTAGATGAGCAAAGACAATGTCTGATGAATTCGGCAAATAATGCAGCACAACATTTGAATTTTAGTCAAAGTTTAAGATCTGATGATGAAAGTGAAGATTTAGGTTCGTTGGCTTCAGGTTCAAAAATCTGGCAGAATTTGAGACTAAAAAAGTATCAAAGTTCTAACCAAAATCTAATTTTTTCAGGATGTGGAAGTAGTGAGCAAAGTGGAGACAATGGACATATTCTCCCGCCAGATTTTAATATTTATAACAAATTGAAGGAATCAAAATTGCGGCTGATCTCAGAGCAAATGATAACATCGCAAAATTCAAGCGAAGAATCGGAAAATATTCGGAAAGAAGAATCTCGTCGAGAAAAGACTCGACTTTTGGGTTATATTCAATCACTGGAAAATCGCATTAAAACATTTGGAAATGTCACAAAATCATGAAAACTTTTGGAATTCAAATTCAAATTTTGGATCAGATTGTGATGAAAGAACAATAATTGAAAGAAGTTGGAATGTTGATGAAGAAGAAGAAACTGAAAGTGAAAAAAGAAAAAATGAAGAGGAAGAAGAAGAAGATTCGCTAACTTTGAAAAATGATATAAAACCGAAAATGTTGACATCAATGACGAATTCAGATTGTACAACATATGCGAGTTCAGGAACTGATATGGATAGTGTTTATGTAATGGGAGATGAAATATCAGAACATTGTGGAAATTTAGAAGTTAGAACATTATCAAGAATTGAGGAAGAATCTGAAATTATGCGAGAAAGTGCCAAAATGCCACCGAAAATTGCACCCGTTGTTTGTGGAAGTATTGTGAGTAAAACAATTATCGAAAAAATATATGGGTAAAAAAAAACGATTTTTTGCAGCTCTCCCCCTTCGAAAATCCATTAATGAGATCATTTTCGGAATCTGCTTCACCTCAGAAAAAACCAATGATTATTCCAGTGAAAGGAAGTGTTCGATGTTCATCGATGGAAATCAAGAATATGTAAATAGTCTGTATTTTATATAATCATTATAATAATATATGTACTTTTGTCATTTAATGAATTTTTCAAGCTTTATTCATTTTTTTTCAGAAAATAAAACAATTATTGCAAAATGATCAAAAATGGCAAAAATACACGCAGTTTCATTACAGTTTATTTTTACATTTGTTCACTCATGCTATATTACAATCATCACTTGGAGTATCAGTGAAATCAAGAAGTTGTTGCTCATATTCTGGATTCGTATGAAAGATGGGATAATTTCCGGATTTTCGAGAACTCGATCCATTTTTCGAATTTTCCCGTTCACGAGTTTTCCATTTCAAATCTTCCATCATTTGTCGATGTTCGCGTGAGAAAAGTTTATGACGTGGAATTCGACGAGGCAAACAAATTGAGGGTTTTTCGGAGAGTTGAGAGTCAAGTTTCCAGATTCGAACTGTTCCATCGTCAGAACAACTAGCCAACATTCTGAAAACAAAGAAACCGTTAAAATGATGATTTTTCAATCCACGTACTTAGATTTTCTAAAATTTACGCCATTCACAATTTGAAGAAAAATACTTACGTCGGATCAGTCGGATTCCAGGAAACCGCATTCACATGTGAATGATGTCCTTTCATTTTTAAAAGTGGTCGACATTCATCCAAATTCCAAATAATAACTCTTCCATCATTTGAAGATCTTTTTTTTGATGTTGATGACATCGAAGTTAACATTCCATCAGTAAATGGATCTCCAACTGAACCAGTCGCAATAAAACCATGAAAAAGGCCACCAAAACTTGCGTGAATTACATATCGACTATAAAGATCCTGTTGACAAGCACCCGAAAAATAACGAATCAATGTTCGAGATTTGAGATCCCACAGGCGAAGATTGATATTTGTTGTAGTTAGAACAAGTCTGAAAATAAATTTATTTATTGTTTAAAAAAAGTGATTTTTTAAAACTAACTGTTCAGATGGATGTACAGTAAATGTGACAATTGCAGCTTCTTCAGTTATAACTGTTTGCTCTTCATCATTATCAATTCGATATTGCCTAATTCGATTATGACTATCTGCTGCCAATATCCTGGATCCATCTTTCATTCCATAAACACATCGAACTCGAAAACCGCGAATTGTTTTCACGTGATGCGTTTCTTCCGGTGCCATCATATTCTAAATTGTTTTTTTTTTCAAAATGAGTTTCCACAAAACCAAAAAATTAAAAAAAAAAACTCACATAAACCCTCATTGTTCCGTGTTCATTTCCACAAATCAAAGTCTGATGAATTTTCGAGTTGAAAAATGCACAACACGTATAAAATGAGGCCATATTGGGTCCTAGCATTTCATCAACTCCACCCGATTGAACACGAATTTGACGATGAATGCATTTTTGAAACACGTCGAAGATTGTTAACTGAAAATTTTGAAACTTTCAAAGTAATTTCAGGGAACAAAAAATGAATTTGGTATACGGTATACCAAATCATTCTTGTGTGATATTGCATAGCTGTGTTTGCAGTTAAATTTTTTCAGTTTTTGGTTCGTGATGGCTTTTAAATTTTAATATAAGGTTCGAATCGTCTTGTCGAGTCTAGCTTGTTAATTTTTTGTAAAACTTATTCTTCAAGAAGATAAAAGCGAAAAAACCAGGAAATTTAAAGATTAAAAAAATCAAAATTAACTCACATTATATTTACATTGAGGAGTTCCACAAATCGCCAAATATTGATTTCCTGGACTCCATTCCATACATGAAATATATCCTTCAGTGACAGCTTCGAATCGACGAAGTCGAGATACACGTTGATTATTAACCTAAAAACAAAACTCGATGTTTTGCAGAACTTTTTTGAATATCTTACCTGCCATAAAATGATATTATTACTTTTTGAACCGGTAGCCATATATTTTCCGTCTGATGAGAATTTGACCATCCAAACTTCGTTATTATGATCTGACAAAACTTGTACACATTCATGTGTTCGATGTTTTGTTTCAGGTTTTTGATCCTCTTTCAAAAGACTTTCAGCTGTTTCTTCATTTGTTGTTCCACGTCCTTTTGCAAGAATATTTCTCAATCGATTAGCTGGCAAAATGAAACTTGTTGGTAAAATCGATTGAATTGCAGATATTTGTGAATGTCGCATTTCTCCAATTCGAACATTTTCACATTTTGGTTTCTCCGCAAACATTTCTTTCACAAATGCATTCAGAATTTCGAATCGATGTTCGTGACCTTTCGGGATTTTTTCAGCAATTTCACGACTTGTGAAAAGCGCATCAATTATCTTACGTTTCTTCAAAAGATTGGCTAATTTGAACATTTCTATTTGAAATTTCGCTTCGTCGATGTCTTCAGCGGTTAGATATTTAGGTGAACATTTATCGATTAATTGCAGCGCGCAGTCATATTTCCCTTGATGAATTGCTAGGCGAAGTTTTGCCGCATTACTATTTTCCACAGTACATCCACTTTCCTCCACAAGTTTGTCCACAGTTTCTCTAAAAAAGAGGTATTTAGATATATTTATACCATCTGAGTATATTAATAATTACCCAGCGATTATGATTTAAATTATATTTTCAGAATTAATACTTTCTTGGTAATTTTACCTATTTGTTTTGAAATTTCGAAAAAAAACTAACTTCAATCCTAAACTATCCAAAAATTGTGCAACAATGCGAACAGCAGATTGATCATATTTCGCTAATTTGATTTCGTGTTCCGGAATTGGTCCATCTTCAACATATTGCAGAATATCATCATCGTCAAAAAAATCGTTGGATCGATAGTGCTGAAAATTCAGAAAATCAAGCCGAACCTCCCACTAAGAACAACCAACATTTCTTGTAAATTTTAGCCTTTCAGCTACCGACATTGAATTATTTTGCATTTTCATCCGCTGTTTTCGTTTTGCACTATCCATATTATTTGATACATTTGGTGATGACGACGTCATTTTTGCTTTTTTCGGTGTTGGCTCGTCGTTGTGCTCTTCGCACTTTTCACTCGAGCCGACGCCGGATGCTCGAAGATGTTTCGGTCGAACCACTTTGACACTGCGTTTGAAACGCCGCCACCAATAACTATCAACACTAGGATTATATATGTATTCTGAATACTTTTTGTTTTAAATATGAGTGAATGTGAGCAACAAAAATACGACAAGAAAATAAGAAATTGTGACGAAAAAAGAAGCGACTACACACAATCTCCTCTTGTTCTCTCGCTTGCCCAGCTGACTGAGTTGTAGGAATAGACATGCATAATCGATTGTGAGAGAGTAAAGAGGCCAAAGAGAGTACAGACAAACAACCTTTGTTTATTATGATGATTTTCTGATCCCGCGGGATGTTCGAAAATGTGATAAGCTTATGAGAAAAATAAGTTATCTTTGAAAAAAAACATGTGACAAAAATTGGGAAAAGAAAAAAGAATAAAACAATTTCGGGAAAAAAATTCTGGAAAAAATAAGCAGATCCAAATTATGATGGTTCAGCCCTAACCACTTGACTTCCCAGCGGGGATTATGTGAGTTTAGAAGACAAAAAATCAGAAAAACAAAAGTAATTTCCAGGTTGTCAAAATCATCGAGAGTACTGTATTTTAAAAAAAAAATCCAAAAATTTCAAATTTTCGAATTTTTCGAAATGAAAATTAAATTTCAATAAAATAAATGAGAAAAAGAGGTCACGTTTTGAAATATTTTCAACTTTCTGAAATTATTTCTAAAAATTCCAGGAACATGAGTTTTTTTGGCTCTATCGCAATATATGGGTCCCATGGAAATATATGGGTCCGTAAAAACATTTAAGGGTCCCTCAGAAATATAAGGGTCCGTGAATTTTTTTATGGGTCCCAAAAAAATATAAGGGTCCGTTATTTTTTTTGAGGGTCCATAAAAAAATGTATTTTTTCTAATTTCAATTATTTATTTTTGGTGATTTTTTGTAATTTTTTCACATTTTTTTTAGCCAGTCAGTATTTTTCTAGGGGGTTTACTAAGCCTAAGCCTAAAATAATAGAGAAATTTTGAATCCTCTGGTAACTCTATTTTTGGCTTTTCAGCTTCATAATTAGGCTTAGGCTTAGTAAACCCCCCGAAAATACAAAGAATCGTCAAAAAATCAAGAAATTTACAACAAAACACTTGAAAATTTTAAAAACCACACATTTTTTGCTCCAAAAATCAAAAAAATCAGACCTATGAAAAAAATCACGGACCCTTTTATTTTTTTGGGACCCATAAAAAAATTTACGGACCCTTATATTTCTGAGGGACCCTTATATGTTTTTTCGGACCCCTATATTTTTTACGGACCCATATATTTCCATGGGACCCATATATTGCGATAGAGCCGTTTTTTTTAAATAAAACAAATAATTTTAAAAATAAACTTTCGGAAACACAATTTTCTGCCACCTCATAACTTTTATGAAAACTTATAAATTTGCAAATTCTCTAAAATTTGCAGAGACAAAGTTCGATCGCCGAAATTCGAAGGCCGAATCTTTTCTACTTATATTTTTGCCTGAAAATTTCTCTGAAAAAACCAAAACAATATCCCCGAAAACCGCAGTAACTCTCGGTTTCCAAGAGAAGTACATACGCAAAAACAAAAATTGTACTGTGTACTTTGAAATTCCAAAAATTCCTTGATTTGGAAAAATAATAATAGTATTCTACTATACAAAAAAAGAGAAAAACCAGCTGATAACGCGATTAAATTACTCTGAAAATGTCACGACCTTCACCTTCAAATTAATCTCATACTAACATAAGAAACATTCCTCCAAATTTTCCTAAATTATTTAGAAAATATTTACTGACTTCTGTTTCGTGTGTTGATAATTTTCACAATTAATTCGCAATTTTCTTCTGGTTATCAAAAAAAAAGAATTCTGGGGTGCATTCCGAAAATGACCGCCTCTTTCTCGACTCTTATCAAAAAAGCAAATTGATTCGATTTTCCTCTCTTCCATTTCCATATTTTTTCTGATAAACATGAATTTTCAATATTTTTCTTTTTTTTGGGAGAACGACATGTTTTAAAAGACAACTTTGATAAGTTCGCCCAACTAACTGATGACAAATCATTTCATAGGAGACACATTTTTAAATGACTTCTATTTGATCGAAGACTAAAATCTATTTTATTTTTTTATTTTTTCAAATGTCAGCTATTTCCAATAGGATTAAAAAGTTTTTTTCCTGATAACAATTTTACCGAGTAACCAATGTTAATTAGAATAGTTTTTTAGTTTTTCAGTTTCAGTTTTAATCATAAATTCAAAAAAAAATAGTTGTTGAAAAACTAAAATAATTGAGTAAAATGATAAGTGCCGCCTTTAAGCACATCATTGTTTTTTATTTTTTGGTTATTGTATTATTTACTCACTCATGTACATTTTACAAAACTATTCGCCAAATTATTACTATAATATTTTTGTTAATTATAATACAATGTTCAGCAGAATGATGAAATTTGTGAAAAATAAGATGAAACCAACTCTAACACCAACATTGCCAGAAGATGTGACTGCAATTGAAATTGGAAATGATGTGGTTTTTGTGAGACCTGTGTAAGTTCTCAGAATTTATTGATTGAAAATTACTAACTTAAATGAAAATAAATTTTGTAGAGTTGTGCATCAAGTGAATCGTCGAGAAATGCAAAATTCTCAAGGAATTCAAGACGCCATCGATACAATCAATCGACTTTCTCGGCCAACAATTCTTGGAACAGAATCTGTTTGTTCGAGAGATGGATCGATGGGATTTTCGCCAGCAAGATATCGCCGCATGACACGTTAGTTGAAAAAAAAAATAATAGAATTTCGAGTTAAAGATTTTTGAGAATGAATTTTGAGAAAAAAATAATATTCAGAAATTTTTGAGTAAATATCCAAAGAGAGTAAGAAAATGCTGAAATATTCCAGAAATTATTGATTTTTCAAAATATGACGAGAATTCATAAAATGTTTTTCGCGGTTGGAAAAATCAAAACTATTTCATCCGACCTATTCAAAATCCAAATCCACTTTTGAAAAATGAATTCAAAACAACACGACCTTGAAAATTCCAACTTGTTTCAGAAGTTCTTCTCCCCGATAAGCTATCGACATCTAACAACAATGAGGAGGAGAAAAGATCAAGTATGTTTTCCTATTTTCTTCCAGCCAAAAACAAATTCTTTTAGCTTGGTCATGTTTAGAAGATGCTCCATTAGCAGGACCTTCACCTACATCAGTCGAAAATAAGAATTATGTGAGTTCTTCGAAACATCCTACATTTCAATCATCATTTCTTTTGTTCAGATTGAATCTCCATCTTTTGATACAAAATACGATTCTTTGCCACGTGCACAAGCTCCACGTGATCTTTGGGAACGAATTGATCCACCAGTTCTTCCACCAAATCGACCACCTCCAAAACCATTTACTGACAATGGAACACAAACAAATTGTTGTGAATTGGATTTCACAGTTGTTCAAACTGAAAGTTATGAAGGAACAAGTGCAATTGATGGAATGACTCCAGATGAAATTCGAAGACAAATTGAGGAAATTGAAGAATATATCTATAAATCATTCACAACAGAAGATGTTATGCATATAATTCAACAAAAAATCGATGATGCTGTTGCCAAAAGTGAGAAACGTGTTGAGAAAAATGTGAAAGAAGTGAAAAAAGAAGTGAAAGATATTGCAAAATCAGTGTCGAATCATAGTGATACTTTGAATACAATTCGAATGGAAATAAATCGAAAACAAAGAGGATCTCTAGGCTTGGAAAAAGAGAGGCTACCAGCATTATTTGTGCCACCTCCAGTTCAAAAAGTTGTGCAACCTACAACTCCAGAAGATCCAAATGTTCATGAACCTCTTGGTCGACAACAATCAGATGCTTCGCATGTTTATTATCGATTTTAATTGAAATCTAGTCCAATAAATTCAGAAAAAATAACTAACTTGTAAACTATGTTGTCGACCTAACTGATTTTATTAGACCAATCAAATCACAATAAATGCATTCAACTATCAAATTTCTTATATTCCATACAATCCGGTGGTTGAACATCAACTTTTCGGCTTCCAATATCAGCCCAATTTGTTGATAAAACAGTTCCACCAGATTCCTGATAACTTTTCATCATTGCCTTTTTCACATCATCCGACGCGTCGCGATAGATTTTTTGGAACATTTTATTGACCGCCGCATCGCCTTCTTGTGACTCATCTTCCTCTTCTTGCAAAGCTTGTTTTTCAATAGCATCCCAATTTTTCTTAGCAAATGAGACACTTGGAACAGTTTGTTGTTGTTGTTGAACTGTAGATAATGGAGATGAGATAATTGGTGTAGTTCCAGATGTTTTTGTCAATGTTGCCCATCTTTCTCCACGATTTCCTTTCGGCATTTTCACTTCAACCTGGAAAAAAGCACGTAGGAGTATTTCTTATCATTGAAGGTTTTAGATGATTATCAAACTATACAAAAAATGGGAAGTGTTTTTTTGAAAAAAATAAAAAACAGTCAGAGCATAATAGTATCGCTTTCTGAGTTGTGGTCATCGCATGCTTTATTATAACATGTTAACACTCGGCTTATAGGCCACTTATATCTCTACAAGCAGCTCATCATTCTGTTTTTGAAAGGTGGAGAAGGGGATTGAACTTGGGTCCATAAATTAGAAGGCGAATGTGTTACCTAGTCGCACAAATGAGAATGTGGAAAATGGTAGGAAGAATGTGACAAACACATTTGGGAATTCCAAGACAAAAATTGGAAAATGAGAATTTTATCTTCCCAATAATTATTTAAAATTAATTTTTTTTCGTTCATTTTCTTATTAAAATTATAATCTCACCTTTGATGGAGTGCATTGTACAATAAAATCACTATGCTTAACATCACTAAATAAATCCTCTTCAAATAACACATTTCCGTCATCTTTCACAGTCAAATGTCCATCATTGAAATGAATCGTACATTTTTCCAAAACTACATTCTTCTTCAAAATCGTCAAAACAACATCCAAATCGCTTTGGAACCAATCGAACCTAAATAACAATTTTTCTATTTTGAAGTTGTATTTTAGAATTCATTTTCGGTATAAAAACCTACCTCGGTTTCTTATCAGCCATTATTGATTTTTCTCTGAAAATTGAAAAAAATGTCTGAAAGAGTCTACTTTTCTAAATAATTCGGTGGAACTAACCGATATCTAGATTCTATAAGAGTAAAAAAGAAAAAGAAAATTTCATTCAATTCAATAAATAAAGTAGAACCGGGAAAAACTTGTAAAGAAAACGAATAAATTATTTGGAAAATTGAAGAAAAAGAGAGGGGTTTAAAAAGAATAAAAGAAGATTTAGATGGTTCCGAGGTGATCTTTGACTTGTTGTTTTGTGAGGCGATGGAATCCAGAAGCATTGCAAATAGCAACCTGCGAAAAATATTATAAATTTATGCGTGACATGAATTTATTGAACTAGAAATAATTTAATTTCCGGTTTAAAGTGAACATTTCTCATTTTTCATTTTTCCAAATGGAAATGAACCTCAAAAAGATGTATGTTGGGTATAAATTTCAGAAGTCACAAAGTTTAGCTATGCTTCTAATTTTGACCGAAATTATTTTTGAAGCAAAGGCTTCTGAAGGCTTCTTGTATATTTTCTTACCTCAACATTGTCCTCATTCATTCCAACATCGAAAGATTCTCTCAATGTCAACAAAGCGGTATGAATTCCATCATCCAATTCAAGCGATTCGCTGAATCTTTTCTCCAAAAATGTTTTCGCATTCACATCATTTTTACCCAAAGCGGTTGCTTTCCATGCAAAATATGCGCCAGATGGATCAGCTTGGAATAAAAGTGGGCGGCCTGGATTCTTATCCCAACCAGCAATCAAAAGTGAAACTCCGAATGGACGAACTCCTCTGAAAAATAATAGTTATTTCACATAATAAGTTAGCAAAACTTACCCAGATTGTGTATATTCTTGCATGACTGCAGCCAATTCAGTAACCAATTGAGTTGTTGGCATTTCTTCGCCATACATCATCTCATATTCCATCGCAATTTTTCTGGCTTTCTTCACAAGAATTCTCGAATCCGGTCCCATTCCACTGTAAACACATCCGATATGTTTGCTAATCTGCTCAATTTTTGGTTGATCTTCTGAAATTATCGATGATGGATTTTCTGTAGCAAGAACAACTCCGTCTTTGGCGCGAAGTCCAACTGATGGTTGACCATTTTTGACGGCATTCAATGCGTATTCGATTTGCATCAATTTTCCCGATGGAGAGAAGGTTGTCAAAGAGAAACCGTAGTGATCACCCATTTTTATTTATCTTCTGAACTGAAAAAATACAATTTTAGTATACGGTTTAATCAGTGAAACACAAAACTCAAGCAAAAAAAACGAGAAAGAAACGAAAAATTGTCATCATCTTTCAAAATGTGCTGTGTTCAATAGAGCGCACATTCACACTCAAATGGCATTAAAAGGTATTTTTGAAAAGTTACGCTAAAATTCGTAATAAAATCAGTTTTCAGGAATTCGCCAAGCCTCGAAAATCGGTTTATCATTTAGTGGATGCGGATTTCTAGGCGCATACAACTTTGGAGCAGCAAAATGTATAATAGAAAACTCTGCGAAGCTTCCCGAAATCACGAAAATTGCTGGAGCTTCTGCAGGAAGTCTAGTCGCATCACTTATGGTTCTCGCACCTCAAAAAATAGATTCAAGTGTAGAGATACTCTATTCAATGGCTGATGAAGTCCACGAATTACCATTTGGAGCTTTAACTCCCGGATATTTTATAAATGAAAAGTTAGTAAAAGTTATCGATAACACTCTACCTGAAGATATTTCAAAAGCTCAAGAGAAACTAAATGTTTCAGTAACAAAGCTACAGGTATTTCTGAGAGATCTTCAAACTTTTAATAGAATTCTAATGAAATTTCAGACATGGGAAAATGTATTGATAAATAAGTTTGACAATCGAGATCATCTGATTTCTGTTCTTCTCGCAAGTTGTTATATTCCAATGTATTCAATGGGATATAATGGAAAACCTCCAATAATAGAGAACTATGTAAGTTTTAAATTCTATCTAGAAAAACTAAATTTCCTCTGGTTATAGGAATATATTGATGGTGGAATGACCAATGTTCTTCCAATTATTCCTGATCTAAAAACAGTTACCTGCACACCTTTCTCTTCAATCGCTGATATTTGCCCGCAAGATTCGAGTATTTGGAATAATCCAACATTTGGATTACACTCTTTCAAGGTATGTAACTGCAAAAATTGTAAACCAGAAACAGAAAAAAAATGAATTTAAACAAAATTTTCCCGCGTGTGCGAATTTTTCTTTTCGAGACTTCAAAAATCTTCGAATGTGTGTTCCTTCAAAAATACAGTAATCCTCACAGATCAATTCAAAGAATATGGCTCGGGGAATTCGCGCATTATTCCCTCCAACAAGACAAGTTCTTCAGCAATATTTTGAGCTAGGATATCGAGATGCAAAATTTTTTATTAGTAATTTATGAAAATAAATGAATAAATAAGTAAATAGAATTTTTGAAGATTATTGAAAAATGGAAATATATAATTTTTTGAAATAAGATTAGACTCTTGTATTTGCATCCAAAGTCTGTTGACGTAAAACACGACGCTTCTTAACATCCATTCGAAGTTTTGTTCCAAGCAAAGCCAAAGCTTTAGTTTTCAACTCATGTTCCTATAAATTACGGTATTATTGTTTTTCTTGAGATCTTGAAAATATTTACTCACCCTTTGCTTCTTAGCCAACATCATTTTCCGATGTTCTCGTTTCTTTTCCTCTTTTGCTTCTCTTGCTTCCAATTCTTCTTTTTCAGTTCTTTCTCCTTCTCCACGTGAGACAATAACATAACTTCGAATCATTTTATTCATTCCAGTTGGTCTTGTATAGCGATAAAGATGCATTTTACGTTCATCAGGAGACAATCCCATTTCAAGCATCAAAATAACTTGGGCCCACTGAAATAATGATTTTTAATAATGTTTTGGAGAAAAATTACACAAATAATTCTACAGTAACCCCAATTAATTTACTTAGCGTTTTGATTAAAATAGAATAGTTACAGTAACCTGAAAATTACCTGTCTTTTCCATTCTTTTTGTGTCAAGAAAATAGCTTCATAAGTTCTTGTCATCATAGCAATCAGCAAATTAAATTGAAGAATTGAAACAAAGACTTCAAAAATGACAAAAAGAACTTTGCCAAGATTTCTCATAAGTGCTCCATTACACGCTGCCATTTCTCGATATAAAACTGAGAATTCGCCGATTGTCATAATAAAAGTTCGAAGTAACGCATCTACAGGATTTTCCATGATGTTATTGAATTCCGAACTATTTGGATCATAGTATTTTGCTTGTGCAGCAGCTCTTTCACAAGATGTGAAGATAACATAAAATGCTGCAAAATGTATTTTTGTTTTATTCAATAAATACTTCAGTTCTCAATTCTTACACTGAGAGAATCCGATCAAGAAAATCGAATAAATCATAGCGAATCTAACCAAGTCAGTTGCAATAATTGTGTAAACCATCAAAACGAATGGCCCGATAAACGCGATTGCTCTGAAAAATTGTGACAAATAATATCCACAAGTCTCACAAAATAAGAGACTTACCTCATATAATATAGAAAATGTTGGGTCACCAACAACACACTTATTATAGCCAAAGTATTATCGATTGTTAGAAAAATCTCATGAAGAGAACAAGCCAATCGACAAGGAATTGCCATAAGAATAAAAAGAAATGAGAATTTATACATCAATTTTGCTGGGAAGGCTTTTAGGAAATTGAACCATTTTTGGAAACCAATTCGACGAATATCTCCAAAATCAAGACTCATTTGAATCAAAATTGTGAGAATTGTCATAACTTCTCCACCAAGGCGCAACTGAAATATGAAAAAAGTTTTTGTAGGTTGAGAACATTTTTCCCGACTTCCTTCAACTAGATTACTCTAAAACTACAATCCTTTTTCCAAAAATATAAAATTTCTGATATTTTTGTCACGAAAAAATTTATTTCGAGAGCACTTCTTGTAATTCAATTACTAATGAATGAAAAATAGAATTTTTCCAGTTGTTATTTTTTTCCAAGTTTTTCTAATTCTAAATACACATATTTCGACTTACCCATCCATAATACCATGGCCATTCACTGTAGTATAGAAGATGACACTGAGTTTCCATAGGTTCTGAAAATCAAATATTAGATTTACCGTCCGCTTCTAAAATTTCAATGAACTCACGCCAATTTCTAGTATTACTCGAATTAGTTGATTCAGTTTCTCCGTCATCATTAATTCTTCCACGTGTCAAATGTTCTGTAGTCGCTGAAGATGGTCTAAACATATAAGCGACAACAAAACAACAATAGAAAAATATGAAATTCATCAATGATCGAAGCCACATTTTTTTGCCATAAGCTTTCCATTTTTCCGAAAGAATTTGTTCGATCAAACCATCCATAAGATCGAGATGTTTAGTTGTTTCCTAAAAATATTCAGGGAGGTTCTGAAGATCACAGAGAAGACTCTCAAAACTAGTTTTTCTTTTGAAATGTGGAGAATTAAAACAATATCAGAGTTCAAAACTTCGGATTACTGCGATATTTTTACAAAAAAAATGAATTCTGAACTTTTTGAATTTTTGTGAATTCTGAGTTGAACCACGCAAAATATTTCAATAAGCTTTCTCAGAAAACAAACCCCATAAACAATCAAAGAAAGAGCACTAGTATCATTCATTTGCCCAGTGCTCTCATCAATTGTATCAATTTTGCTTAAAGGATAAGCGGTGCATTGCGAAGGACCATAACTCCAAACTCGCTCGCATTGAAGTTGCAAAATTTTATTGAACATCTGAAATCATTTTTTCTCTTTTCAGTAAACTCATAAAACTGCAAGATTTTTTCGAAACTTACAGTTTTGTTTGCAAGTCTTGCTGCAAGAGTTAAAGCTGATAAGTTTTGTTGATTCAAAAGTTTCAAGTTGGCACCGGCTTCTAGAACGGCATCCATCATACTCTGCAAATATTTTTTTGGAGAAGTATGAAACTCCAGAATTTCTACCTCTTTATTATGGATTACACAAAGATGCAATAAAGTGTTGCCATTTGTGTCTTGTGAGTTCAAATTTGCTTTTTTCGCTAATAACAATCGAAATAAATCAGCTTGTCCTGTACAAACTGCAAAAGATAACGGATATTCTCCATAATACATATTTCCAGTATAATTTGTATTCTTTGTCAAATCCACATATTCATGTTCTAAACTATCACTTCGACTTGATTTTTGATCCTCAGCACAGAAAAATGCGCCATAACACCTGGAAGGATTACGGTAGAAGAGGGCTAGACAAATTTCAAATTGAAAAGCAGACATTTCTCATATTCAGGAAAAACCACACTTCGGCCAAAATCGTGTTCAAACTTTTTTTTCAGTCTAAAACTGTGAATCTTGATAATTTGTCCTCTTACTCAAATTTTGATATCATTTTTAAAAACTGTAATCTATGTTCCACAACTGATTGGCTACGGTGTGGGAAAAAACTTCCGCTTTGTGTTTTTGACAATCTAAAAAAATTGTGTGACGTGCATATTTTTGAAGAGAAATATTTTATCTTATTTGGTTGGACCCCAAAATAGCACAACTTTTTTCGTCAAACTTTGGACTCTTGTGTTGAAAATGTCTAGTGTTTTCTGAATTTTCGGTTTTTTCTTTGGATCTTCGATAATCCTTTTTAAAATTAGATTTTTTAGGGTTGTTTTTTGAATTAAAAATAGGATTTTTGGGATGAAAAAGAATATTTGAACTTATAATGTACTTTCTGAAATTCCTTTTATTTTTTGCTCAGAAAAATGTTTTGAGTTTGAATAAAAAATTATCTAGAAAAATATTATTCAACTTTAATAATAAATTATTAACGCATCACAAGCTTCCATATTTTTCCTAATTTTTGTTTAAGTATTTTAGAAAACATCCCACGCGATTTCAGCAATATCTAATTTCATTTCATAAGATTTTTACCAACAATTTGTTCTTGAAAAAATTAAATTCCCAAAAATCAATCGTTGGTTGTTACACACATATTTTCACACACCTTTGATTAAGATCGACTCCTATTCTGAGCAAAAGCGAGACTGATTGCATATCTTGATTCACAATTGCCACGTGCAATGGTGACATCCCTGAAAAATTGAAAACTTTTTTCAGGTTATTTCCTTAACAGAAAACCAGATTCTTTTTTTTTCTGAAAAACTTGCAGAAAAGTTTTGCAATTTTTTCAAAGTTTCCAATTGTTTCCTCAATTTCACCCACCATAATAATCTTCCGAAATACAAACATCATTTGCCAATTTCGGATAAAATTTCAACAATCTTCTTGCAATCACATTATGAATTTCAGTTCCTTGCAAAATACAAATACACAACAAATTCTCTCCCATTCTTCCTCTTTCGTCCAAATTCCAACAAATCTCACGGTACTTTGACTCTGATTTCCCGCCTTTTCCTCCACCATCAAGAAGTTTCAAAGCTTTAAAAAGGTTCTTTTTTTTCTCCATTTTTTGAGGAGTCAATGAGGACTAGACTTGTTCATGACAACTTCCCCCTACCTTTTTTCAAATCTCCCATTTCCGCTTGTCCCTGATCGATGTGATCCAAAATATTCGGCCCACTTTTTCCTTTTCCTTTTTTTCTCGAAAATGCTCCGAGAGTCGCATTTCTCTCCTTAAAAAAAGTTCTTTGAGCAAAAAAGAATGTTCCTGAATATTTATGAGGTTTTCATTATCTTGAGTCATTCTTAATCCTTTTCTTTTATTTTTTGTCGTCTACATCATTTATATATATAGTTTGCTCAAGACTAGAGAACTCTTTTTTTTTCTGAAAAAGGCTGAAATATTTATGATGAGAAATTTACTGGAAAAATATGAACACATGAGCTTGAGCCCTAATTTTCAGAAAAAATAATCGATGCTCTCCTAAAATTGACCATTTTCAATTTTTTTTTACATAAATTGAAATTTGAAAATTTTGAAATACTTCCGGATTATCTCTTTTCCGGGAAAAACCGACCTATTCAGCTCAAATTCAGAACATTTAATTGAATTGCGGAAAGTGATCACCGATTTACGAGCAATTATTTTTCTCAGAAAAAAAATGAGAAATGTGATTTTCTGATACACTTTTTTTTGAAATGCTTTTTTAATTGTGAAAATGGCATTTCAATTTTTCGAGTTTACGTTTAAAATTTTCGAGAGCTTTTTGAATTTTTCAAATTTTGTTAACTTCAAACACAACTACAGTAATCCAAAAAATACAGTACTGTAACCACAACTAGAAATACATCAACAGTAATCACAGATTCTACAGTACCTCCTTATTGCAATAAACTTTCCATAGGTCGTAAGAAACTTCCTGGGAAATCTTTTTGTAGTTTGCTCAAAACTAGAAAATATTATTTTCCCTTTACATAGAGTAATACCTTATTTCTCAATTTGACTAATTCGGCAACTGCCACAAGTTTTCCCTTTCCAGAATTATACATATAATCACGTAGTTCATTTTCAATATACGCATCCAACATTTCCATTGATTTCATTTCTTTGCAAGTTCTGAAAAAAAATTCTGATAGATATTTTTCTTTTTTTTTCATATTTCCTTATTTTTCTAGAAAAAATAACTCGAAAACAAATAATTCTTGTTTTTTGAATTTTTTTATCTACTTTTCAATATTATTTTTCATCGGCAATTTTTTCTGCGTATGTGAGAATTCATGGGTTTCTTTTCCATGAAAAAAGCGCAGAAAAATTGAGTTAATTTGATTTGATTCATATTTTCTCTCACTAGCTTAGCTTGTCACTTGTCTGACAAATATCAAAATTCTTAGAAAAAATTTTTTTTTTTGAAGCCAGTTTTATCGAAGCTCTGATCCCTTTGATATTTTTTTCATTAATTAGTAATATAAGAAAAAATAATATACAATTTCTAGAAGTTTTTTTTCGTATAGTACGACTACAAATTTCTTCTTTTTTTGTTCGATAAGGTATACGGTAACTCGACTTTTCTTTTGAATTTTTTGAAAACTTTCAAGTTTCAAAAAGACTCTAGTTTTCTCGGGGTCAGATTTCTTGGAAAATTGTGTCTTGAGAAATTGGAGAATGAAAAAAAATGTTTTACGCCTCGGCTCACACATCATTTTTGTGACTAATTTTTTTGTTGTTGAAAAATATGCTTTTAAATATTTCTATCAATAACAACAAAGGCTGCGAAAAAATGACATGAACCTATCAAATTTCCAATTTATTCCCTGAAACTGAAAAATTAATTTTGAAAATGTCTCATTCTCATTAATTTTGGGAATTAGTTTTCAGCGTTGAAATGGCATGTGCAATTTTTTTCTGGAAGGAAAAAATTCAATTTCAGAAGCTTTTTGTAATTTGATTGAGGCACATTTTTCGGAGAGCAATTGAAAAATCAAAAAAAAAATATGCTGAATTTTTCATTATGCTCGAATTGAACTCTCTATCTTTGAGAATTTTAAATTTGATGATCAGAGATTTATGAAAATGTCTAGGCGCGTCAAAAATTTCCGAGAGATTTTCTAAATTAAATTCAGAATCATATTTTCTACTTACATTAGATAACATTGATTTTTAAATGTTCCAAAAAGGTTCCCATTTTTATTTCCTGAAAAGTTCAATTCAATTGTTTTTATTTGGCTATTTTTTATTGGATTATGGGCCGGAAAATTGGCACAAAATACTCTTTAATTTTTCATAATGCTTCAATCAAACTCTGAATTTTATATTTCAAATTTACCTTGCTAGCTTCACCAGAATTCCTCCACCATGCATATCCACCAATTTATAAATGTTCCGATCTTGTCCAACGACTCCCGTGATATTTTCAGCCTCATTTGCAGCTGCCACTTTCGATCGAGCTAAACCCATTTCTCCTTTTCAAGGATGTAGAAAATAATAAGATATCCTTTACCTTTTTCTCATTCATCTCGCCCTTTTTATTACAGCTACAAAATTTGTATTTTTCAATCCTGTTTTTTTTAGTATATCACCGGGGAGACGAGAGTTGTATAGTTCTTTTCTTTCGGAATGCATAATTACTTTTATCGATTTTCAAAAGTGCCTTTGCTTTTTCCAGGAAACGGAATAAAGGAAAACGGATAGAGAACCTATGCCGGATAGATTTCTAACATTTTTGAATTCTTCAACAATTCAAAATCTAGAATGGACTTCCGAATTGCAATTAATGCTCATAATCGAACAAATTTGTATATGTTTAACGTAGGAACACAAAATTAAAATTCTGAAAAAAAATAGATCAAAATTTTTTTTCCAGTTTCATCCAATATCTTTTCAACTTCTATCTCCTCATCAAATTTCGAGTGATGCACCGTAATCTTCACATTCTCCTTTTCATATACGGCGGTCAATATTTTCTGTCGATTTCCGCAAGATCGATTTTGATATATCTACAGTACTACAATTTGGAAAATACTGGTGATTTTTTGTTGTTGAAAGGATACGTGTTTTCTTGGAATGGGCTGGAAAGTTTATGAAATTTTGCAGCTGAAAAACCACAATCAGAAGATTTTGCAAAATATGTAACATTAAAATGATCGGAATGAACTCGTTTTAACATTTTTTGAAGTTTTGAAAATTGACTGGAAAACATTAGTATCAAATTAATCGGTAATTCAAAATTTTGAAAAAATTTTTCTAGAACTCGGAAGAATTGCGAATTACTGTCGAACAATTTGTGTATTTCTAGTCCTTGGAATGTTGCCATTTTTAGTTTTTGAAAGATGTTTTGCCACGTGTCTTGCGGGAACTTATGAAAATAATAAACATATTTGGATTCCCGCATTGCTCATATCAATTATGATACCCTACAGTACACTTTCAGCTATGGCTTATATCAGAAGTAAGTTCTTTGAATCTCTTTATTGTTTTTTATCCGAATTGTTTTGTTTTTCAGGATGGTATCCGATTTATATTCATTGTATAAATATTATATGTTTCAACATTGGCTCAAGTTTATTGCTCATTGTACTTGAAAAATGTAATTTCCGACATCATCGAAATTATACACCGAGACATCCGAGTTATTCATTGAGTACCAGGTTTCAAATCTCCGAAAATATCAAAACTTGCCAGGTATTTTTTTCCCGATTAATTTTTCTCAGTACATTTTTGTTTTCAGTGGCTTTCTCGAATTCAAACTCATATTCTATGTTTCAATATTGCTTGTTGTTGTTTGTTATCTTTGGAATTTACATCGGTTTCTCAAAAAGTTATAGTAGCTGCAAATGTGGCATTCAATTTCACTTTTATTTTGTGAGTATTCTTTTGAATGCGACTTCAATTTTAATTATAACGAACAAAAAATCATGTTCCAGATATGCTGCAATTGTTCCTTGTTTCATTATTTATTGCACGCCAGAATGGTCGAGAGAAACAAAAAGATTGGTATGTTAGACATCTAACCTTTCAAAATTAAAATTTACTTTCCAGTTTTATCTGCTGACTTCTCGAAAATCTGGATTCAATCAAAACTTGCCGCAATCAACTTTTGGGAGGGAATTAGTTTATGAAAAACATGTCGAAGCTCAAATGTATTTTGATTTTCTGGCAAAAGATCTCAGGAATTGTGTATCCGAAGCGGTGTTCCTTTGAATAATATTCATTCCATTTTAGTTTTCATTTTTAAAGCCGAAAACACTGTATTTTTTTTTGCAATTCGAGGGAGACGCAGACTTTAACGTGTGCAGACAAATCTCTCGCCGAAAAAGGGAGAGAAATAGTGTGTGGCAGACACACGGCGTGTCGAGACCAGCCTCTTTCTCTCACTGTCTGCGTCTCCTCGGAATTGCATTTTTCTATTAGGAAAAAACACAGTGAAAATAAAAAAAATTCGAATAAAATATTTGAAGAAACATGTGTTTATGCGACGCTTGGGTCTCGCACAGAATGTCTGCGTCTATGCCAAACACACGCTCTCTCGCTCGTTTTCGAAATTGATTTTTATTTTCTTTTTTTCGGCGTGGAATTGTTTTTGATTTGTTTCACGTGATCAGTCATTTCTAGTTTTTCCCAAAACTTGAAATTGCAGAGGTTTCTCTTGACTAGGTAATTATGTCCACAGCGTCGTTTCTTGAAATGAAACGAGTGGCGGAAGCCAAAGTTCAGTCAATGATTCGTCACAATAAACCGACTACAACAACAGCTGGAACTGAAGAAAAAGATGGAAAGAAAGATGATGCTGAAGATCAATTCTCAACATCAGATAAACAGAAGGAGAATCTTGAAATCAAGCCAAGTTCATTTGGAATGAGACCTATTTATTCGAGAGTCGATATTAATTCGGATAAATGGCTAATGACATTAGACGAATCATCACGGAAGAAATTAGATAATCCGCCAAGTTTAGCAGATGGACTTAGTCATGAAATAGAAGCGGAACTTCGATATTTGGGATGTGAATTGATTCAACAAGGCGCAATCATGCTGAAATTACCACAAACTGCAGCTGCTACCGGACAAATTATCTTTCAACGGTTTTATTATCAAAAAAGTTTTGTAAAATATCTATTTGAGGTTAGTTTAGTTTGAAGGATTTTTCAAAACTTTCGTATGTAAGCAAATTTGTTTTTTTTAGCATACAGTTATGGCGTGTTTGCTTCTGGCTTCTAAAATTGAAGAAGAACCTCGACGAAATCGCGATGTTTATAATGTTTTTCATCGTTTGGAGAGACTTCATCGAATTCAACAAAGTGGAGCAAGAATTACAAAGTAAGCATTATAGAATTTCCCTTTTGAAAATGAGAAGATCAATTAAAAATTCCTCCTGGAGTTTGAGTTTTCAAAAAAAAAGTAATCTCACGAATTTTCAATATACAGAATATGAATATGAATATATTTCATAAATACTAAAATTAATCATTTATATGTGGCTTATCCAATTATTTCCCCATTGTTACCTCTGCCCAAAACTTTGAAATAAACCCATAATAATCTTGAATTTATCACAGGCGGCTCACGATCGAACGACTGTGTTGGTTGCTGTCATAATATGTGTATATGTAAGAAAGAAAACATGGTGTACAAAAATTAAAACATCGAGGAATCGGAAGGCAAAATCAGGTAGGCGAAGACGTGTGTGGATTATTTTAGAAAGAACTTGGAGAGGGTACTGTAGGGGTTGAAAACAACAAGTGGAAAATTTTTGACCGAATTTTGAGAATCGGTTAAGATTTTAATAATTTTTATGAAAAAAATCTGATTTCTGAATCTAAAATTTGATTTTGTTTTTCTCTACAATCAGATTTTTATCCTACTAAGCAAAATGTTTTGATTAATAAATCAAAGTAATTAGAAATCAGCTAATTGATTAGTTAATCGTTAAAGAAAAATAAAAAAATGGCTATGCTCAAAACAGTTTTGAAAATAGATGATTCGAATATCACACCAGGAACCCCTAATGTCCAAAATGACAGAAATTTCAATCGAAAAAATCAAAATCTTTATTTACACTAAATCTTCTACAGTACCCTTACTTTGTTCAAGCACACGTCTGAGCCGACTTCCGGTTCCTCACAGGGGGAAATTTATTGATCTTCTCATTTTCAAAAGCTCCGTTTTCTCTTTTCTATATTTTTCTAACCAATTTTTGTAGGGAATCGACGAAATCAATAAGAACTCCAATGATTGATGACACTTATATCAAAGCGAAAAATAATGTGAGTTCTAGCTGTTTTTTTTCCGAATATACAACGAATATGTGTGGTTTTAGATGATTCTAATGGAAAGACGGATATTGGCAACACTTGGATTCGTTGTTCATGTCAAACATCCACATCGTTTAATTGTTGCGTATTGTCATGCACTTGGATTAACTCAATCTCGTGTTGATATTCTTCAAAAAGCTTGGAATTATATGAATGATGGACTTCGAACTGATATTTTCATGAGATATACGCCCGAAACAATTGCTTGTGCTTGTATTTTCTTAGCTGCTCGAACAGTTGAAGAACCAATTGCTTTGCCATCAACACCATTTCATTGGTTTGAAGCATTTGATACTTCGGATCGAGATGTTCAAGCGATATCACTTCAATTGCTCAGATTATATGCAAGAAAACGAGTGGCGAATTGGCCGAGAATAAATGCTGAATTGGATAAATTGAGAGATGCGATTGAAGCCGAAAAAGCAGCTGTAAAAGAAGCGGCAGAAGCAAAGAAAGCAGCTGTAAAAGCAAAAGAAGTTGCAGATAAATTTGGAAAAATGACAGCGAATGATGATAGAAAAGAGAATGATAGTCGAAGATCATCGCCGAATCGAGGAGATCGTGATAGGAAACGAGAAAAAGAACGAGATCGGGAAAAGGATAGAAAAGATAAAATTAGGTAAGTCATTTTCAAACAGTGCTGGTCCCAAAAAGTCCACTAAAATTCAAAAAATAAATTTTCGAATTTTCACATCAAAATGGAATAAATAATTCTAATTGCCACGTGAAAATTCACGTTTTCAATGAATTTTTACTTTCAGAAAACGGTCACCTGGTCGAGATCGAGGACGAGAATATGATCGAAGAGATCGAGATCGAAATAATGATAGGCGACGAGAAAATAATGATAGAAGTGATAAATCGAGAAATGATCGAAGAAAAAGAAGTCGGAGTAGAAGTAGAAGCAGAGATCGACTGAAGGTTCGTTATTTGGGGATTTTTTGAGGGGAAAAGTAGGAGTTTTTGGTGTGCAAATTGTTTGGAAAATTTGAAAATGAACAAGCTGATTCCATGAATTATATCGAAGGATAATAAATTTCCTGATTATTGAAAAAATCCTTGTAAGCTCGAAAAACCTAAAGAATAACAAAATTATAAAAACTGGGATTTTCAAAGTTTAATTTTTCTGTGAAATTTTGAAAATGAAATTCCTAATGTTTCACTATACTTTTTTTTCTGACTCCCTTCACATTTTCAAATCAACACTCGAAAATTGTTGTTTCGGAATGTTTCCACGAGACAAGGAAGATCAAATAGTTGTTCAAAAATGTTTGCTTTCTGTTTTGTTTTGTCCACCCAAACAACAAACACATAGTTCCATTCCAAATAAGCGAAAACACAGATTTTTCGACCAATGATCACCGAAAAATTATAGATTTATGAAATTTGAAACCCAATTTATTTTTTTTGCAGGAATATAGCAAAGCCCGTGTACACAACGTCAGGAAAACACTTGGAAAACAACGCGATGATTCGGAAAGTCCACCAAAATCTCGCAGATAATTCGGACATACGGTTTTTTGAAAATTATTCATATTTTGTTTTTATTTTCATTTTAATTTTTATCATTATTTTTCTTTTCATAAAATTTCTTTTTTTTTCCTCTCAAAATGATCAAAAATTAAATTGAAAAGCTAAACATTTTGCGGCTTTCCTGTCCTGTGTTTGTAGTTTTGACTTGAGAGTCCAAATGACTAATACTATTTGTTCAGTTGTCCCGATTTTTATATGTATTATTTTTTTGAGAGAAGAATAGAAATTGATTTTTTCCATTGGGGCGGGACCCCATTTTCGGAAAAGATGTTAAATTGAATTTCGAAAAGTTTTCTTTTTTCTCGTTGGCTAAGAAAAACATTTTTATTCGGTCAAGTTTCTTTTTCTTATATCCTAGCCTCATTTTTTATGAATTCATGGATTTTTTTGATGTTTTGTTGTTTTTGTGAAGAAAAAAATAGAAAGAGAAAAAAGTTTTCGGCGCTTTTATTTAATCGAATTTCCGATTCCAAATTTAGCAATTAGAGAAGGTCGAACGGAGAAATTTGCATAAATTTTGATGAGAACATTTGATCTGATAAATTTTTCGGAAATCGTTGTGTTCCTTTAATTGTGGTAGTACTGTAGAAAATTTTTTGTGAGCTTATTGTTAATTTAGGATACTGTATGTTTTTGAAAAAATATTTCTGAAAAATAGTAGTTTTGAAAACTCTGATAATAAATTTGAAAAGAATCACCCAAAACTTGCACACAATCAACCTACAGTATCCATCCAATTAATTAGGAACACCATTTTCCAAAAGTTTTTCAATTGTCTGAAATCTAAAGTTGTCTCTTTTTTGTCTACCAATTATTCCAATCCCCATCAAGTTAATCCAGATATTTTCTCTCAGAACCTTTGTTTTTTCTCCAAATCGTTTATGAGCTTTCAAAACTGCCCTTCATATTTCATTCTTTTTTTCTTTCGCCCCATCAAAAATCAAGTTAGTGAATGAAGTCAATAAATTGTTCGATTTTTTACACCATTTTCGATCGTTTCTTACACTTTTTCTTTTTTCCATAAACCCTTCTTTTTTTTCTGGGAAACAAAAATTCATTGAAGAAGAAACTGAACACATATGTGACTAAAAATGTTTTCTTCATATTTTTTTTGCTTTCAGAAATTAGGCTAAATAAATTTTTCATGGTTGCCAGTAGAGTTTTACAACTTCTCGTTATTTTTTGTTGTTTTTATGTATGTTTTTCCTCAAAAAAAAAATATGAGGGGACCAAAAATAGGAAAAATTTATTATTATTTTTTGTTGTTAGTTTTTTTCGAACGAAAAAATAGAAAAAAATTAAGTGAGTAAAATTTTCAGAGAAAAAGAAAAGAACATGTGTTTGAAATTTGAGATTTTTGGACTTTCTTATGTTAGCCGAAACATTTTTTGATGTAATAAATAAATAAAAGTTAGACTTATTGTTAGCCTATCTTTTCCAGTTTTCTAAGAATATTTTTTTTTCAAGAAAAAGATGTTCTTCCCATTTTTCTTCTATCGGAAGAAGAATAGAAAAGAAGCAAATAAATTTATGTAAATTTTTTGGCTTCTGGATTTGGATTTGGTTCATTAGTGCGTTTACTATGGTTCACAAAACATACAAAGATATTTAGCTTTGTTTGAAAGAAAAAAAAGAAAAAGAATGATGTTTTTATTTTTCTGAAAAGTTTTGGAAGTTTTTTGTTGGCCTTGAATTTTTTTCTGAAAATGTTTTTGGTTTTTTTTTGTGTTTTGGAACTTGGATAATATTTTTTGGAGTTGAAGCATAGATTTTTCTGAAAAAAAACGTTGGATTTTTTATTGAGAGAATTTAATTTTCTTAAAAGCTGTTGGCTTTTTGTTTTAATTTTTTTCAGATTTTGTGAGCCTAAAAATTATTCTGAAATTTTTAAATTTGGGATTTTTGAAATTCAGCAGACATATTTCCTGTAATTAGTTATATTTGACACTCATTTTTTTCTAATGGATCAATTCATTTGAAGAAAAAATGAATTTCGCGACATTTTTTGTCGCGAAATTGCAATTCGTGAAACGACACGAAATAAACACAAAAATAAAGGAGAAATATTAAAGGGACACGTAATCGCTGCGAGACCCAACACACGAAAAAAGAATTTCCTCTTTTATTTTATTAATTTCGTGTCGTTTCGCGAATTGCAATTTCGCGACAAAAAATGTCGCGAAATTCATTTTTTCTTCAGATGAATTGATCCATAAATCAGACTCCCTAGATTTTTGAAACCAAAATATATTTTGTTTTCCAAAATTTTCTCACCCTGTATAAATTCCCCCTGTGCAAATATTTTGTATAAAACTTTTTTCATATAAAACCAATATTCTTCCTGATTCAATTTATCAAAAAATGCTAGACTTCGAAAAATATGTGAGTTCCATTTGTTTATTGCTCAAATTGTTTATTTCATTACACATCCCGCCTTTTTTAGCCTTGAAAGAAAGAAAAATCTTTGTACAAATATGTATTGTTATTTATTTCTTATTCCTATTATTAATAAGTATTATTATTATTATTATTAATAATAACAAGGCGAAAAGAAATAATACGGTTTCACTATTTCTTTTCGGTCTCTCATCCTCCCATACTCTCTCACCCAATTTCTCCCATTATTTATTTGATGACCCACAAAAGGAAAAAAGATTTCTTGATTTTTTCCATGAAAATTTGAAATTCATGGCTCTTTTCCTTTTTTCTTGGATTTTTTTTTGATGTTCTCCAGAATTTCTTTATTCTTTTTCTGTTTCAAATTTTTTTTGAGGAAAAAAATCGGATTAATTATTTCTAGCTGATTGGCTTCATTGAGGGTGGAAATTTGAGAATGACAGAGACTTATTAATGGATCAATTCATTTGACGAAAAAATGAATTTCGCGACATTTTTTGTCGCGAAATTGCAATTCGTGAAACGACACGAAATAAACACAAAAATAAAGGAGAAACATTAAAGGGACACGTAATCGCTGCGAGACCCAACACACGAAAAAAGAATTTCCTCTTTTATTTTATTAATTTCGTGTCGTTTCGCGAATTGCAATTTCGCGACAAAAAATGTCGCGAAATTCATTTTTTCTTCAGATGAATTGATCCATAAGAAAAGATTCAAAGCTTGTATTTATTCGAGATAAATATTTTTCGGCTGCTTGATTGTTTGACCAGAGATGAAAAAAAGGACAAATGCAAAAATTTTGTCATCTTTTTAATTCCTTATCAAATAAAATAGGCAAACGTGGAGACCTTTTTAGTATTTCGATTTTTCTTTTTTTTTTCTATTTCATTTTATTTTATTCCATTTCTAATTTTTTCAGCCACATGAAATGCAAACGATACGATTCAATAAACAGGCTGTTTTTGGGATTTGTATCGTTTCTTCATTTTTAGTTTTTTCGGTTTTCTGGTATTATGGAGGAAGTGATTCGGGAGAAATTGGAGTGGCAAATAGGAATGAAATTGTTAAGGTTGGTTAGGATGCGATTTTGGGAAAATTATTTGGGAATTTTTAGAATCTTTCTGAATTTGAAAGAATTTTAAAATTTTGATCCACCTTATTTCTCCCATACGCAATATACATACGTTTGAAACACAAAAATTAAGCTCACCATCTCCTTCTTCGAAATCTACAGTACCCATTTTCTAGGCTCGATTTGGACACGGGTATCAATTAAACGCTAAAGATGTAGTTGCAAGCGAAGAAGTTCTTAAAAAAGTTGAAAAACTAAAAAAGATCTGAAGATTTTCCGGATGAGATTGAACCTGTGAATATTAGCCCACCATTAAATATTCAACCAGAACCAACAGATCAAGATTTGATTGGAAAACGACATTATCAAGAATAGCCAAGATAAGAATGATCTTCGTCGTCAAAAAGTGAAAGAAATGATGATTCACGCTTGGCAGGGATATAAAAATTATTCGTGGGGAGCTAATGAATTAAAGCCTCTCGCAAAAATGGCGAATTCTCAAAATATTTTTGGTGGAAGTCAAATGCCAGCAACTATAATTGATGCAGCTGATACACTTTTTATTATGGATTTAATGGATGAATATAAAGATGCGAGAGATTATATTGAAAAGAATTTTCTCGATGTCCAAATCAACATCAACTCTTTCAGTTTTTGAGACAACAATTCGAATGTTGGGAGGAATGTTATCACTTTATGCATTGACTAAAGAAGAATTTTATGTGTAAGTTTTTCTAATTTTGAGATGAATCTAATGATGTTTTTTCAGGAAAAAGGCTAGAGATATTGGTGAAACTTTATTGCCAGCATTTGCTACGCCTTCTGGAATTCCTATGTCGAATCTTGATGTTTCTACTAAAAGAATCAGTAATTATGGTTGGGCAAATGGTGGTCAATCAATTCTCTCCGAAGTTGGAAGTTTACATCTCGAATTTTTATATTTGTCAAGAATTTCGAATTCTCCAATTTTTGAGAAAAAAGTGAAAAAAGTTCGAAATGTTTTGGACAAAGCTGAAAAGGAAGATGGGCTATATTCAAATTATATTGATCCGAAAACTGGAAGATTTACAGGAAGACAAATGTAGGTTGATTTGTTTTTCCCATAATTTCCATAGATACAATTTTCAGGTCTTTGGGAGCGTTGGGTGATTCATTTTATGAATATTTGATCAAAAGTTATGTGCAAACAAATAAAACTGATTTCCAAGCAAAGAAAATGTATTGGGATGTATCGGAAGCAATTCAGAAACAGTGAGATACATTTTTTGGGGGAAAGAGGGGCCAGGCAAATTTTGAAAGTTTCAAAAAAAATTGGGAAAAAAACTAGCCAGATTCAGAAGTTCTAAAGATTTAGAGATCTGCAGCTTCCGAAAATATTTAGGGACCTTTATTGAGTTAGAGCCAAAGTTATGCAATCAATTTTCAGCATGATCCGTGTATCCAAAAAATCGCAACTCACCTACACAGTCGAATTAAAACATGGTCAAGAAGAGCATAAAATGGGACATTTGGCCTGTTTTGTTCCTGGAATGTTTGCATTACAAGCTGTCAATGAGAAAAATAAAGGAAGAAAGAGAGAAAATTATGAATTTGGCAGAGGAATTGGCAAAAACTTGTCATGAAAGTTATATTCGAACAGAAACACATATCGGACCAGAAATGTTTTATTTCAATAATTATGATGAAGCGACTAGCAAGTGAGTAAATTTTTTCCAAAATTAAGAAATTTTTGAAATTTTTTTAGACATGGTGAAAATGGGTATATTCAACGGCCTGAAGTTATTGAAGGATGGTTTTATCTTTGGAGATTGACTGGAAAAGAAATGTATCGAGAATGGGTTTGGGATGCTGTTCAAAGTATTGATAAATATTGTCGAGTTGATGCTGGATTTACTGGTCTACAAAACGTTTATAGTCTGAACTCGGGTCGTGACGATGTTATGCAATCATTTTTCCTTGCCGAAACTCTCAAATACGCCTATCTCACTTTTGCTGATAACTCATTAATTAGTCTTGAAAATTGGGTATTTAATACTGAAGCTCATCCATTGCCAGTTCTTAGCCACTAAGTCAAATTTCCAGTCATTATGATTTTTGTTTGGTTCGAAAAACGGGTTTTATTGCCTGCTTTATGTTAAAGTGTAGTTGTTTTATTCTTTTTTGTAATAAAATAAAGATTGTTTTGGTATCATTTGAAAGATCTTTGAGAGAAGAACAGGGCTGTATAATTGGTTTTGAAAATTTCAGGGAATGAAAGTTGGAAAAATGAGAAAAAGTGAAAATTCAACTCTAAAACAATCAAATGCGCTCTACCGCAACGCACCCGCGACGCACGTGGCGACATGGATAAATCATCTTTTTTGAATTTTCTTTTTGTTTTTCAGTCCTTTTTTCAAGTTTTAGCGTAAGTTACGTGTTATTTTGTTGCAGAAGATGCCAGACCATCTTGGAGATGATATGAGAAAAACAAAGAAAGGTGAAAAGGAAGAAGAGGAGAAGGTTTTCCAAGGTAAAATAGGTTCAAAGTTTTCTGTTCTCAAAATTGTTGTTTTTCAGCACTTGATGAAGGTGATATTGCTGTATTGAAGAGATATGGACAAGGACCATACGCAGAACAATTGAAACAATTGGAAACTGACATCGAAGCTTGTTTGAAAAAAGTCAATGAGTTGTCTGGAGTAAAAGAGTCTGACACTGGATTGGCTCCACCAGCTTTGTGGGATATTGCAGCTGATAAACAAGCAATGCAACAAGAACAACCACTTCAAGTCGCAAGATGCACCAAAATTATTACGAGTGATAAACATGATCCAAGATATTTGATCAATGTTAAACAATTCGCCAAGTTTGTTGTTGATTTGGCTGATTCAGTTGCTCCAACTGATATTGAAGAAGGAATGCGTGTTGGTGTTGATCGAAACAAGTATCAGATTCATTTACCATTACCAGCAAAAATTGATCCAACTGTCACAATGATGCAAGTCGAAGAAAAACCAGATGTAACATATTCCGATGTTGGAGGATGTAAAGATCAAATTGAAAAACTTCGTGAAGTCGTCGAAACACCACTTCTTCATCCAGAAAGATATGTTAATTTGGGTATCGAACCACCAAAGGGTGTTTTGCTTTATGGTCCACCAGGAACCGGTAAAACTTTATGCGCGAGAGCTGTTGCCAACAGAACCGATGCTTGTTTTATTCGTGTAATTGGTAGTGAACTTGTTCAAAAATATGTTGGAGAAGGAGCCAGAATGGTGAGAGAATTATTCGAAATGGCTAGAACCAAAAAAGCTTGCTTGATTTTCTTCGATGAAATTGATGCTGTTGGAGGAGCAAGATTTGATGATGGACAAGGAGGAGATAATGAAGTACAACGTACTATGCTTGAATTGATTAATCAACTTGATGGTTTTGATCCAAGAGGAAATATTAAAGTGAGTTGCTTTTATATTGAGAGCTGGGTTAAATTAAATCACATTTTTCAGGTTCTTATGGCTACTAATCGTCCAGATACTTTGGATCCCGCTTTGATGAGACCTGGTCGTCTTGACAGAAAAGTCGAATTCGCTTTACCGGATTTAGCTGGTCGTGCTCATATTCTCAAAATTCATGCAAAACAAATGAGTGTTGAACGTGATATTCGTTATGATTTATTAGCCAGATTGTGTCCAAACAGTACCGGTAAGTTATTGTTGAAACAAAAACAAGAAAATGATGGGGAAAGGATCTCAAAGTTAAGAAAAAAAAATAGAAATTATTTCAAACATTAAGCTCTAAAATGTTCACGGGATTTTTTTCTGAAAATTTACTGACTTTTGATCGAAATCATTTTTTCTTTGAGAAATGCTTCTGGAATAACCCTCGACAAAATTAAATTCTCAAAAATCCCCGTTTTCCAGGTGCCGAAATTCGATCAGTTTGCACAGAAGCTGGAATGTTTGCAATTCGTGCTCGCCGAAAGGTTGCCACCGAAAAAGATTTCCTTGAAGCCATCAATAAAGTCGTCAAAGGATACGCCAAATTCAGTGCAACTCCAAGATATTTGACACACAATTAATTTGTGTCATTTTCTATTTTTCAATTGTATTTTTCATGCCTCTTCTTCAAACTCGATTAATTTATTGAATTTTTATCATTTATGAAGTCCCTTTTACGGTGAAAAAATATGTGTGTGAATAAATGATGATTTTCTGAAAATTGTAGTGCTTGTAAATTTTATCTGGGTTGGTTCTCTGAAAAGTTGACTAATTCCACTTCTATAAAATTAGGCTGCTGAAAATTTTGCCGTGACCCCAAAAAATTGAACGTGCAAAATAAAAATAATTCATTGCAGAACAATAATTCGATTCTCCGAAAAATTCCAGATTTTTATCATTTTCTGGCCCCGTGGGCCGTTCAAAAATTGCGTATAGCACCCATATTTCAGGGGCCATCGCGGGCAATTGGGAAAAGTTTTCAACCAGCAATAAACGCACCTCGGCAAAGCCTCATTGGTCACGTTATCGCCCCAGCGCAAAGCTAAAGAAGGTGTTCCTTCTCTTCTTCTCATATGAACACTTCATACGACATCTCGCTGCTTTCGCCGTCTGCTATGTGTTGTGTGGAGACGAGTTGCGGCCAGTGCAACGCGGTCGCGTGACGGCTTGTGTTTTCGAATTTTCTTTTTTCGGCGTTTGAAATTTTTGCGCTTTTCGGAGTTTTACCCGCGTTTCGCTGTTTGTCTGTAATTCTTCATTGTATGATAGTGGTGTTTATACGGATGTTCTTCTTAGATACAAAGTTATATTTGATATCTCAAGAAAACTTCAGTTTTAGGGAGAAAATTCATTTTTTCGTGCAGATGAACTTTACTCTTTTTGAGAAACCAAAGAGATTTTTTTCATAGTAATACCTATTTACCAAATGTTACTTATCTGATAGCTAAACTTTGAGCTCGAAATGTTTATCTTTATTTTTCTTGTCTCCTATTCTCCTCTTTGAATATTTTCTTATTTTATTTGTTTTCAGACTAAAATCGTCGTCAAACCTGCTCAAAAAACAACATGTCAGCGTAAGTTTCTATCCCCAGCTTATTTAATATCAAAGTCAAATTTGTTTTTCAGCCAAATCAAGCCACGATCTGAAATGACAGCCGAAGAATTGGCTGCAAAAGAACAAGAAGAATTTGCAGTTGGACCACTTTCGATTTTGACAAATTCGGTGAAAAACAATGCACAAGTTCTCATCAATTGCCGTAACAACAAAAAATTGTTGGGTCGTGTTAAAGCTTTCGACAGACATTGTAACATGGTATTGGAAAATGTAAAAGAAATGTGGACAGAGATTCCAAAGACAGGAAAAGGAAAGAAGAAGGTTAGTATCGTTCAAAAATCATTCTCATGGTTAAATGACACGAGAGAATAGAAAAGTTCAATCAATAATAACCTGCTTGCTTTTCAGGCCAAAGTCAGTCGCAAAAGATCGTTTCATCTCAAAAATGTTCCTTCGTGGTGATTCAGTGATTTTGGTCGTCAAAAATCCTCTCGCCCAAGCCGAATAATTTATTTTCTGATGCATCTCATTTTGTCACATCTGTTATTTTTTTCCATTTTCATTTTATCATAAATTATCACTTTTCAATTATCGATTTTCTTTCAATTGTGATAACCGTAAATCCCCGGCCAATGTTTTTCATGATTTATTGTGTCAATATTTAATGGTCAGTTTCAGATTTTCCGACTTTCAGCGCTTCGAAAATGCCGATGATCAGAGTTGCAACAAATTTGGCTGATAGCCAAGTTCCAAAAGATTTCGAAGTTCGAGTAACTGATGTTATCGCAAAATCAACTGGAAAACCAAGAGAAAGAGTTGCTGTTGAGATTGCTGCCGGATCAAGATTGGTTCATGGAGGAACTAGTGATCCAGTTGCAGTTATCAGTGTAAGTTTTGAGAAACTCTTAAATTTAATATAAATAAATATCCTTATTATTTTGTAGATTCAATCAATCGGCGCGGTTTCGGATGAAGACAATATTCGTCATTCGGCTGCTCTCACCGCAATCTTCCAATCCGAACTCGGACTTCCAAAAGACAAAGTTGTTATTTCGTTTTTCGATTTGACTCCAGGAAAAGTTGCGATTGGTGGAACAACTGTTGCAAATGCAAACAAATTGTAAAAACCAAAGAAGTTATGGAAAATTATATGTACCCTATTAACCAAGCTGCTCACAATCCTATTCTACTTATTTGAAAATATTACCTAATGCATGCATAGATGTTTAGATTGCTATTTTGAATAATGAACAAATTTCTATTGCGATTCGAAGGTAGTTTTTTTTCAATTAAAACAGTGATGTTAAATTTAATTTTGCTCCGAAAAAATTCCTAAATCGAGAGTCGGAGCCTGGTTTCAGCCAGAATTCAAAAAAAAACAAAATCTCGTAGAGGTTTTACCAGGGAAAAATTAAACTAATAAAAATGGTTCAAAAAATTCCGAAAAAAATACGTTTCAACAATTCTATGCGTGAAATTCGATAATTTTTGAAATGTTGCGTAGTCCCATTCTTTCTCGCAAATCAAATATCTCTTTCAAAAAAGTAAAAACAAAACAAATTTGTTTGAAATATTTATGTACAAAAGTTACACCATATTAGACTTTGGCGGTTCCGGCAACAACAGCTCCTTCAATTCCACATTCATTGACTCCTCTCAAAATCTTGAAGAATCCTTTCTCTCCCCACGAAGTTCCCCATGAGTTGGCAACAAGCCAATAATCAGATCCTGATTCAGTTCCCCATCCAATAATTTTGATGGCATGTCCTCCGAGTTCTTTTCCAGATGTGTGTTTATAAACTCCGCTGCTGTATTTGTAGAAATCTTCATAGACTGTGAAGGCAGCTTCGACTGGTCCGTGATTGTAGATTTCAGTTTGAATGGCTGAAACTGATTTGGAAACGGCATAAGCGGTTGATCCGAAATGTTTATCCTTGGAATAAGCGGTATGATAACTGGATTGACAACTCAAAGAGCATGATGGAGTTTTTGATTCAGTGCATGGGCTCTTTGTGCATGGAGCAAATGGATATGGTTTGCAGCCAGATCCTTCGTATCCTCCTCCAGTTACAACTCCAGTCTTAACATACCATCTGATAGCAGCAATTGGATATCCACCATCACATCCATTTCCACAAGATGATCCACAACAAGCCAAAATATCATCAGCTGAGATTGTTGGTTGTTCTTTTCCAGATGATTCAATGCAAATACGATCAGAGATTGTTTCAGCAGCTCCAAAAGCCCAGCATGATCCACAAGTTGCTTGATCTCTGACAGCCTTGATTGAACTGCACTCAGACCATTTGGTTCGGGAATCGAAAGATGATGGGATGCTAGCGAGAACTTCGACATTCTTTTCGGTGGCACGGATTTCTGGAGAGTGTTCAGCGGCATATTTGACATTCATAACACGGCTTCGCATAACTTGTTCAGTATCTTCATCGCTGTGAACAGCTTTGAACATTGTTTGAACTGAATTGACATAATCGACGAGAGCTTGACCAGACAAAGATGAGATGTTCTCTAGAAAATTTCAAATATGTTTCTGAGAATTTTGAAAAAGAAGATCAAAACTAACCATCCAAAATGGCGAATGCCGAAACTGAGGCGCAAAGAGCCGCAAGAATAAGGAACTTCATTTTAGGAGAAGATGAAGATGGTTTCTAATCTGACACTTTTTGCTTTTATAGCACATTTCTTATCAGATAGTGCAAGAAAATGGGGCAGGCCGAGAAGAATCGACCTAAAATCACGAGAATTTCGCAAAACAGAAGCGAGTTATCAGTTGTGACATTCTGCGGATTCCGGAATGCTTCGCTGGTTTTTTGAATTTGTGTTTTTCGGGTCGAGGTTCGATTTGAGAGAGATGTTTGATAGATCAAATGATTGTAGGTGGAAATTCAAGAAAATCAGGAGAACTCACAGATTACTGTAGCTTTTTTCAGAGATTTTTCGAGTTAGAATTTCAAAAATCTGCAATTTTGTAGTTTTAAATAAAAATTAAAAACCCGAACTTCTGACGTAGAAGCTCAAAAATCAGTGCACAAAATTTCGTAAACACTGTATCACGTGTCCGAATTTTACATCATCTCTCCTATTTGATTACTGTAGTTTCATTTCTTCGTGATCCATTAAAATCATCTTCAACATCACAATTCTTAGCTTTTCTAGCCAATCATAGATTACTGTAGTTTATCTAAAAGTTCAGACCCTATTTACAAATTTTAATCAATTTTTTGACAATAATCCTCAAAATGTTATCAAACACAATTTATGCGAATATGAGTTTTGGCACGAATTTCACATTATTTTTAGGCACACCTGTCAATAAACTAATTTTCAAAATTATTTTTTTATTCTCATAATTTTCGTCAAAAACCTTAGCCTCTCTAGTTTGATTTTTTCTTCCCGGTAAATTTTCCCATAAAAATTTCCAATTAGCTAATTTTTTGCTTATCAATGATTTTTGTACCCCAACGATAAATTTTTGTCAATAAAAAAAGAGCAAAATTATTTTATCAACTACTGTCTTGCGAACAATTCGATTCGAACACTTGGGTTCAAAACCCAACTTTCTCCTCAGCGATTTGAAATTTTTTTCGAACACCAAGAAAACGAATGAAGTAAAATGGAGGAGAGGAGAAGCTGGAAAGAAACCCGACAAAAACAAAAACAGGAAATCGCTGAAATCCAAGATGTACAAACAATTCATTATTCAAACTCATTTTTTCTGATGAAAAATAGCCAACTAAAAGAGAGAAAAACACAACAAGTCGAACTCATAAAAATTTTGTTTTTTTTCTGGAAAAAATAGTAGTTGAGAAGAAGATTTTGAACTTGGTTTGGAAATTCGGTTAATATTTGTTTGACAATTTTTCGAGCCTGAAATAAGTTGAAAACCAAAAAAATTACAGTGATCGGACAATTTTTACATATTATTACTTTTTCATAAAAACAAGTTTTGAACGAAAATTTTTAAAGTTCGTAGATTTTAAAAATCTAGAGGTCTACAGAAACACTGCTGCTTGAAATTGAATCAAGAGTTTACGAAAGACCTGTTATGATTCTGATTCTTCGAAACAGATTATTTTTTTTGTTTTTGAACTGAAATGAGGAATTTTAGAAACACCTGCTATGATTTTGATTCTTTGAAAACACTTTCTCGAATCAGAAAAAATAAAACATAAAAAATAAACCGCCAAACAATTTTCCTCAGAATTCAGTACTCGAGAATCTAGGTTACTGTCACTTTTCATCCAAGCATGTTTTTAGTCCCTCTTTCAAAGTTTTCATTTTTTTTGACCTACCGTAGTTTGCTCTCCAATTTCTTTTACAACATTTGCAAAAAAGTTTCAATAGAATTGCAATTTCGCAAAATTACCTTCACAAAACTTCCATTCATTTATTCATTCTTTTTCCTTAAAATTCGTCATTTTTTGGTTTTTCCTTGGCGGAAAATGTGAATTCATTGTTTGAAATTATCGAAGCATAGAAAATATTGGAGTGGGTTGTTCCAGCTTTCTCTTGAAATTTCAGCATTACTTTTTCGCTGTTATACCTACAGAACTGCTCTAATAATATCGTTCTATCCTCTTCTTCCATTTTTTTGCTTCTCATAATTGCTCGCCATTTTTAGTTTTTTTTTTCGAATTTTCAATTAATTTTTTCTGCGAAACGAATCCCACTTCAAAAAAAAATGAGAAGCGGAGGCGTGGTCAAGAGGTGACTTCTTCTTTCCATTTTTCCTCATTCCGAACTTTTTCTGGTCTGTTTTTTTGTTTTTGAATTCTCACAACTCGATTCAGTTTTTGAACGTCATTTTTTGTTTTTTTTTCTAAAAAGGCGCGGAGAATAAGAAACGAAATGTGTTTGAAACATGAATGGATTTATTTCTGACATGAAAAGAGAAAAGACAGAATATGAATTGGATTGAATTGTCTGCAAAACACACCAATTTTTGATTTCTTTCTTGGCTTCCGCGTTCAGAAATGAAACATTTCGAGTTCAGAAATCGAATTAATTTTTAATAGATTTCGCAATTTTATCTTGGTTTGACTGATTATTTGTCTGGTGTGTTTTTGTCTTTCGAATTTAACCTACTGTGATTTACTGTCAGCAAAAAATCTCACACATCCCACCGGAAATACTGTAGCGCATGTCACAGGCAATAACGGAAGGATCCATAATGGATCCATTATGGATCCATCACCGATTTTGACCCATCTTGGATCCATCTGAGACCAATCAGAGACCTATCTCGCATCAATCAGTGATTTTGATTGATCCATGATTGATCCGTGATTTATCAAGAACAAGAGTTTATAGAAGTCAGAAGTATTTGGTCCAAGAACAATTATTTTAACTATTTTTTGAAAGAATATTGTTGTCATCACTACAAAGTGATATAAAATAACACTTGTAGCCGAAAAATCATTCAATTTTTTTCCAAAAAGTAAACTCAAAAACTTTCACAGAGAGGGATGATTTTTATATCATTTTACTCAGCGTGAAATTCTGAATCGAATGGTGTTTACCATTTTTCACCAAACTCGATTAATTGATGCGCGAAAACAATCAGTTAAAGGCGCACACATTTGTTTGAGTTGGTCTCGCAGCGCACGCCGTTTGTGTGCATTTCGAAATTTTCTTTTTTTTTCTTTTTTCTCGTTTTTTTTCTGTTTTTGAGGGGCAATGAGTAACTTATGAGACGTAGAACGAATAGAAAAACCTTTTCCGGACTATTGACGAGTGAGGAATTATAGTGGGACATTGGAAATCCTCTTCACACGCCTGAATTAGGCCAAAATGTGTTTTCTTCATGTATTTCATAGATATTTAGACGTGTGAGCTATTCATTTGTTGTTTTTCAATAATTTTCTCCTGTTGTGAAGAACTCATTTCAGCTTGGAGCATCAAGTTTCTCCTGGGAAGCTTGAAATTCACTTGGTGACTGATTATCTCCGCTCAACAGTCCCTAGAACTATCTTTAGCTGCTCATTTGAGATTTTCTGGTTGAATTTTATAATTTCTTAGACGATTTGAGAGAACATCACACCTAGTGAATGTTATTAGTCATCAATTCAACCTATCACGTTTGTTCTTACAACTTTTACTATACTTCACTTCAAATTATTATTTTTTTAACTCATATCATCGGTTCTGCCCTTCACTAATCATGTAATGGTGTTAAGTTAATTTTCTCCTAATTTTTCGTATTTCTCATTCTCTCAATCTGTACTTATATGATTTAGTTTCTGCTTAACTCTATATTTTCAGGTATATTCGTCACAAAAATGCTCGAGCATCGAACATGGATATCTATGGCGGGAAATGGCGATGTTATTGTAAGTTTCTCCTAAAAATTTACAATGTTTCACGATAAGTCTAATCTGATTGCAGAAGCGATGGACAAACAACTGGGAGGACAACGACAGGACTGCGCAGCTCGGCCAACTATCTTATAATGAGATAAGTTATTAATTTTTTAATTTTTTGTTAGATTCGCAAACTGTATGAAGTCTACACTCAGCAAGGCAAAGTTTTTGTTACTCACAAGGGAAGTGTGTTATAAATCGTCAGAGATTTTCAATGAGACACATATGTTTCTGTGCAGTTTTTTACGGTGAGAAAGATCCCGTTTTCATTTTTTTCTGAGCGACTATCTGAAGAGCCCGAAGATGATCCATAAGTCCAGAATTTTGTGAACATTGCGGTTTTTAGAGCGCATAGCTCATGTTCAGAGGGAAAAAACAGCGTCATGAATTCAGTTTTTCATAAAATGTTCTCTAACATGAATATGGGGCTCTCAAAAACAGGATTTTCACAAAATTCTGGACTTTTGGCTGATTTTCGGCGTCTTCAGAGAGTCGCTCGGCAAAATCTGAAAACGGAATCTTTCACAGCGTGGAAAACTGTACAGAAATATAAATGTCTCATTGAAAATCTCTGGGTTCTCATAACACTTCCCTTGTCAGAAAAACTTATTCAAAAGTTTCTAAAGGAAACTAAATTCCTGATATTGAGAAAAAAATAGTTGTAGACTTCTAGCAGTTCGAATTATTTTTATTTTATTTTTTTCTATCACTGTTTTTTTTGCTTCAATAAATTTTTTTGTCTTAAAAGTGTTAAAAGTTTTGAATAAATCAAGCATCAATCATGAATCAATCATCGATCCATCAACGATCAATCAGTGGTCGGTGTGATGGATCCATTATGTGCACCTTATGGATCCATCACCTCGGGGGACTTGATGGATCCATAATGGATCCATTATGGATCCTTCCGTTATTGCCTGTGGTCCTATATTAGCTTTTTGTTCATTCGTGGGGAAAGTGAAGTGTTTACTGAATCTGAATTTTTAGCATGTTTTGGTGGTTTTTTCACCGAAGCTCAATTGGCTAATAGTATTTCCGCTAGCCTAGTTTTTGAGCTTTCAAAGTTTTGGCGATAGACTTTGAACATGAGCTTTTGAACTGAACACTTCGACGTTTTGTTGAAAATAATATGGAGATCTGAAAAATTCGGGTGTTGACTTCCTGGCTTCTGACACAACCTTCTTTGCCAACTCGAAAACTTGCTGACTCCATTTCAATATTTTCATCTCGCTCGAATCCATGTTATTTTTTTGCTTCGTTCAGGATCTTCCCTTCTTTTTTTCTATTTTATCCAACGTGTCGTCGTCAAAGTAATGTCAAAGTTAATTGATGAGACGAGAGTCGATACTTTCACGCCTTCTTCGTTTTTTCCTTGCTTCTTACTACTACTCGGATATGTGTGTGTAAAAGTGACATCATCTGACAACTTCGGACAGCTCAAGACGATTTATATTTCAGCATTGAATACATCATTTTGTTTCGAAATATTTTTTGTAGCTCAATTCAAATGGGGCGGGTTTTGAGTCATTTCCTTTTTTCTCTCGAAAATCACATCATTCCACGTTGATTTGATTATGCTTGATCTATGTTTTTCTCAACATTTTCTTCAAGTGTTGATCAAGCCTATTCAAGAAAAAAAAACCAAAGTTTTAAAACTTCATGAATAGGCCATTTAGTCTCTTTTTTTTCGTTTGAAAAAAGTTGCGATTTTTGAATCAATTTTTAAAGCTTCAAAGCTCAACGCTTTTAACAAATGTTTTTATTTTTATTATGTATGTTTTTTCGAAAAAATTGTGCTTTTTGTTTTCAGGCTTTTTAAGAAACTTCTATTAGAGTGATACGGGTTTCCAAAAACTGTATATGTACAAACACTGAACACTGAAAAAGCTGTCGCAAAATTAAACTACAGTATGAGCTACAAAAATGAACTTTAAAGTTTGAATTTTCATGTGAGAAATTACTTTGATTCCTACAGTATAAATTTTATGTTGAAGATTTGGAGCTCAGCGGATAATTATCACAGCATCGTGTTCAACATATCGAGTTTATAAGGTTGCTTTCTCCCTTTTTAACCCGTTATCACTTTTTTGGAAATCTCTTGTGTACAAAAAAATCAAAAACAATTTTGTGCCACGTGAACTTTTATCCAAAAAAGAAAATCTCAAAACTTCTTCCTCGTTGTTTCCAACAAAAAACTCAAATTCTCATGAATTTTCAATGTTTCGCTGTTTCATGAAAATGTCTTTTCCAAGTTAGTCTAGTTTGACATTTTTCAAATCTCAGAAAATGTCCAGAATCTAACAATTTGTGTCGTACAATGACGAATTGTATATATTTGTTTTCCAATGAATATATTATTCTTTCTTTAATCCCACTTTTGTTGTCACTTCACTTTTTTTGTGCGTTTTTGAGTAAAAAATTATTGGGTAAGTAGAAAAATCTAATTTGAAGTTGGCTTTATTGCATTTCTCTTATTATTTTTGTCGCTAGAGTTAGAAAAGTGCTTTTCCTGAAAAATAAGTTGAGGAAATTAATTTTTTTCGGAAAAAAAAAATTTCAGCTTCTCATATTTAGTGCCGGATATTTTTTTTTAGATTTTTTTCTCCAAAAAATACTGTAGTTGAATAAAAATAATAATTATTGGGTAATAAATTTGAATAATTGTATGAGTTCTGAAAAAATCCCGTGCGTTTCTCCGAAAATCAAAACAAAAATTGGTTAGTTTTTGGCCCTCTGATTTGATTATTCATATAAATTTGCCTTTTCGATGATATGATGTGACACTTTTCGCTATGCATTTCTCTATTTTTTGCTTTTTTTGGCTGTTTCTAGTTTCTCCATCTATTTTTTGACCTTTCAGATGTATCTATTTTTCTAAGGGACTTGAAGAATGAACTTTTTTTTCGGAATTTTGGATGTTGAAGAAGAAGATGTCTTTTTTCAAAAGTTTTATTTGTCTACCGTATACTTTTAATAATCGTCATAGATCTTCTGAATTTCGAAATAATATAGTATAACATCAGCAGACAATTTGACTCATGATCGCAGGACATAATTATCTCAAAAATTCTAGGGCACAAAACTTGCTCAATGAAAATTTGTGACGTGGTTAAGTTTTATGTAAAAATTGTTTTCTAGATTTTTGAATACTTTTTTAGGCAGTTCGCCTCATTCTCATATTCCAGAATTTGTTTATACTTCGAGTCCACCATAGTATAAAAATACTTTCGTTAGTTTTTTCCCACAGTTTTTTGAACGTTTCCTTCGTGTAAGTACAAAATATTGTGAGAGTCTATGTAGAATATATATATTATTTTTGGACATTACTTGAGTAAACAATTTTCGTTGAGCTAACATAAGTAAATTTTCCAAAGTTCATTGCGTGATGGATAAAAAATGTCTTTGGTAAGATCAATCATCAGCTTAATTTTTTTATTCCAACACAAGATTTGTGTTGTTCATTCAAAGTGCATTCAGCTTTTTTATTAATATTTTTCTTACTCCCGCAAAAATATCAAATTTGTAATTCAAATTACTCTTCTTTTTTTCTTTCTTGACGTGTGTGTGTGTGTGAAAATTTATTTTTCATTTTTATTATAATAAATAGTATTTCTTTTTTTTTCATTTCATTTCAAAGTATCTATAATATAGTTATAATATTTTTTGTTTTGAATTATGTATTATTTTTTGCGCGGCCTTTTTTCTTCTCTAATGACAACGAGTCATGTATCAATTTATCATATCCGTAAAAAAGGAATGAATTTTATTTGATGTGTTTTTTTCTTTCAAAAACCTCACGTCACTTTTTCTATATTTTATTTCCTTTTGGTCACTCATTTTACCAACTTTTCTTTGTTTTTAGGTAACCCAGTGGGAAAAACATGTTGAAACATTTGGTGTTTTTGTGTGCAATTCAGACAACTCTTGTGTATTCATTTAGTATTCGCGATATTATCAACGGAAAACGAGGAGCCGATACACCAGCTCCTTGTCCAACGTGGCATCCATTTGCGTGTCCATCAGGGGAATGTGTACCAATCAAATATCTATGTGATGGTTCACCGGATTGTTCAGATGAGTATGATGAGAATAAGAGCATGTGTACAGCAGGTTGGTGGCCAAGGGAACTAAGCTCTTGGGGATCGGGAACATTTGCTGTATTTTTTGGTTAATTTATTCCTAGGTAGATCAAAATTGTTATGGAGTAGCAAAAATAAAGACTTTTCAAACACTCTAATTTTAAAAAATTGATTTTGAAAATTTGAATTTACGATTTTTAAAACTAAAAATTTTATCCGAAACAACATTTTTAATTCAAAAATATAGTTACAGAATTTGAAAAATTTATTTGTGACAAAAAGTTTTTGTTACGCCATAACTTTTTTTGGAACCATTATCCCCAAAATTCGGTAAACTATTTTCATTTCCTGTAAAATTCCAAATAAATATAAAATTTTCAGCCACTCGACCACCAGTCGAAGAAACTCAAGCCTTCCTCAAAGCCTTGATGTCAGCTCACGGAAAAGATTTCTTGGAAAAAGTATTCGGGCCGAAAGCCAAATCCGAATTAGCCGGAATGGGAGGAGTTGACAAAGTGGCTGTTGCACTTTCACGTAAGTATTTATCTGATTGTTTACGGAAAGTTTGTTGTTTTTGGCTCGTTCTCGCTCACAAAAAATAAATGTGTTGCCATTTTTAATCGAAAGAGGGGAAAAGCGAAATCTCATGAATTTTTCAGTTGAAAAACGACGTCGGCAAAAAAAACACAATTCAGAGTTGGATAAAAAGGGAGAAAAAGGAAGGGAATAGTTTATCTGGGAAATACATTTTGAGATATGTTAGAATTCAAACAATTAACTTTACCGATTTGCAGAAACTCCAACAGCTGATTTGTTCGCAAAGGAAATGGGATTAGATGAAAGTGAAGAGGGTCATATGATGGAAGTTATGGAAGGAATAATCAGTGGCTCAACAGACGAACTCACTTCAAACGAGGCCGCTGATTTCCGATTTTTCGTTCAGAAATTGCAAGACACTGGATTTTTCTAAACCAACAAAATCCGAAACATATCAAGTTTCTCTGCAATTCTTTGATTCGATTCGATCTGATCTCTCTCCAAATGTCTACGAGTGTGCTCCCCACGCATCCAAATCTAAATTCAATCCAATTTCTATCATAGATAAAAATTCGCTCTTTATCTAACTGACTACATTGTTTTTTCTCTCATCCGTTTTCCGTCGCAGTTTTTGTCTCTTTTCCCTTCTACATTGCAAACACTTTACATAACTAATAAATCATTTTTACATGTTATTCTGAAATATTAATTTTGATTTTTTTCCAGCAAAGTTTAAACTGACAGTTCGATTACTGTAGCTAGAAACATTTGAGGAAAAACTACTGTAGAAGAGTTTGTAAATCAAAAATAATTTCAAATTAAAAGTACTGTAGATTATAGGAATACAGTAGAGAAAACCGTAGATCTGAAGAATACTGTAGTTTCAAGAAAATCTGGTTCTCAGGGAGAGGAAGATTTTCGAAAATTGTGATTCAAAGATAAAAATAGCAAAGAGTGGCCGTTTAAAAAAGTTTCGTTTCACAAAAACTTTCAGAATCAACTGTTAGAAAAACTAGAGTCAGAAAAATATTTATTCGATATAAACTAATATCAAACATCGGATGCAGCAAGTGCAGCTTTCTTTTTTTCTTCTTTCGAAACTCTTGCCATTTTTCCTTGATCGTGTCCATATTTCTTCTTTCCAATTCCTTCCAAAGAATTATAACAAACTGTCAAAGCATCATTCAAATTTTCGATATTTCGAAAAATAATTTTGATAGTCGAAATATGTTCGGCTTGAACTTGCTCGATTGGATTGACTGTTTTATAAATCTTTTCGGAGATTTGTTTGAATTTGGCCAAACTCTTTTCAAAAGTGACTTTCTTTTTCGGATCAGTTGCGAAAAGATCTTCGAGATCTGATGTTTTCTTGCCAATATCTTCCATATCAGTTCGCATTTTTTCGTAACCATTGTGGAAGAAGTCTTGGAAGATTTGCAACGATTTCTTGTTTTGTTGTTGAGCATCGAGTTCGGTTTTGGCGGCAAATTCCAGGATTGGTTTGATCTCTTTGATCATTTGCTCTTCACCCATCTGGAAAAAACAAATATAAGTTTAGGGAGATATATTCAAGGATATCTGTGCAGAAGTTTGTGATCTACACTATATCGTTCATGCCATTATAAATACTTACCACATTTCTGCATTTCTGCCAATATCCAACCGACATTGCTTCCAACTCGTGCAACAAAACCATTGATTTTTGTTCATTTTTCGATTTCAATCTGAAATGTCCAATATCCCAATCCATAATATTTGACAATGGCGGCGAATTCTCCATTCCACAAACAACCAAAAGATTCCAATAAACCATTCGGAAACTTTTTCGATATTCTTCATACGGTTCGCATGCTTCGATTAATTTCCGGATTTCTGCTTGAATCGATTTACCCATTTTTCTTTGAAATTATATTGTTTTTCATACAATTTATTTAGGTTGGAATACAAAAAGTAGCTTGGATTATGATTTTTTACATCAGTTTATATAGCAGTTTTTGTAGATTGCCACGTTGAGATTACAATCGGGTCACGCTACAGAAATTATTAATTCCTTTTATTTTCAAAATTAAAAACAAAAACAAAACCCTATTTGATTTTTAAACGTGACCCAAAAATTGTTTCCAAAAAAAATGTGCCAACCAAGAAAGATTTCCTGTATTTCTACATTTTATCGTTTCATCGAAACAGTTCTTTGAAATTTCTTCTAACTATTATCTGGTTTTATTTATTTTTGAATAGATCTTATGTCCAACGAAACAGAAATATCGAAACAAGCATGGTTTCATGGATTATTACCAAGAGAAGATGTTATGATTATGCTTAAAAATAATGGAGATTTTCTGGTGAGAACTTCTGAACCAATTGCTGGTCGAGAAAGACATCTAATCTTGTCAGTATTGCAAAATCAGAATGATCCAGAAGGGGTGAGATTTGTTATTTGAAAAAATCGGATGAATAATGATAATTGTTATAGACTCGACATTATGTTATAATTGAGAATAATGGACGATTTTCTGTTGTCGAAAATGTTATTTTTGCTTCAATTCCTGATCTTCTCGAATTTTACAAACTTAACTTAATTAATCAATTAGAAGAGAGTTCATTATTAATCAATCCAATTTATCGCCAATTTTGGGAATTATCACATGATGATATTGTATTAACAAAAACATTAGGAGAAGGAGCATTTGGAGAAGTTAAAAAAGGTACATTAAAAACATTGAATGGTACGGTAGTTGAAGTTGCGGTGAAAGTGGCAAAATTAGAGAAATGTACAAAAGAGCAGATAAAAGAGATAATGGCAGAAGCAAGGCTTATGAGAAATTTCGATCATAAAAATGTGGTGAAATGTTATGGAACTGCAGCTGGACAAGAACCATTGTTGGTTGTGATGGAATTAGTTTGTGGAGGTGGACTTGATTCATTTCTTATCAAAAATCAAGTTTCGATTGAACAGAAAATTAATATAATTTATCAAATTGTTCAAGGAATTGATTATATTCATAAACAACAAGTTATTCATCGAGATATTGCTGCAAGAAATTGTTTGTATGGAAATGGAATTTGTAAAGTTTCGGATTTTGGATTATCTCGACGTGGAATAACTTATCAAATGAATCCGAAAAATAAAGTACCGATTCGATGGTTGGCTCCGGAAACACTTCAAACATTATTGTATTCTCCATCCTCTGATATTTTTGCATTTGGAATTTTATGCTGGGAAGTTTTGGAGAATGGAAAACAGCCATATCCAGATATGAGTGTGGCTGAAGTTCATATGAAAGTCCTCAAAGATGGATATCGAATGACAGTTCCTTCAGAAGCTCCAGAAGAGTTAGCCGATATCATTGTAAGTTTATCGAGAAATGTGATTCAGAAACTCTCATTTAAAAAAGTTTCCGTAATTTTTTTTCCAGAAAAAATGTTGGGAGAATAATCCAAATGATCGACCGTCAGCTTTTCAAATAATCACAATGATGAAAAACTTTGTGGTTATCACGGTCGGATCATTCGAAAAAGCACAACAACAACTTACTCGAAATACTTGCGCACCCACAAAAAAACCAAAGAAGAAAAATAAGAATGCTTCAAACTCGATGGAACAAACTGATTCGGAAGAAAAAACACAAAATGATACAAAAAATACAAAAAGATTGAAACCTGGAAAAGAAAAGAAATCAAAGTTCAAAAAAGGTGGAAAACATTCGAATGTATTCGATAAGTTTTTCAAGAAAAAAGGAGGACATACAGAAAATACTACAGTAATGGCTCCTGTGACAAAACAAATTGCACAAGAACCAAGACATCGAGAGAAAGAAGAATGTTCGGCACCTCCTAATATAAAACAAGGAACTCGTAGTCCAAAATCGAATGAAACGGCAAATACACAAGCTCAGAATCCAAAAGATAGTCTAATGATGGAACCTTCTTTCAATCCAGGAGCATTGAAAACTTCATTCCGCGCTGAAGTTGTTGAAATTGAGAAAAAGAATCAAAAGTCTCCCGAAAAAGATAAACCTGTTCAAAATCGAAATAAAGTGGTGAGCAACACAATTACTTGAATATTTTCAATTCAAGATTTTTTTAGAAACGAGAGAAGGAAAAGAAAAGATGTACAGCAAATTGAGGAGAGAAAAAGATTACGTAAATAAATATGTTAACATGATGTTAAGTTCGAAAAAGTGTAATTGGTTCCTTTGGGAACTGTGAAAGTGATAGATCAGAATATTTCATTTAGACAAAACAGACACACATAAAGTAGATCTAATGTTGGGCAAGAGTTGGACTTATATTCAGCATGTCACACAATTTACAACTGCCATCATTTCTTTCCTGATAAATTCAATACTAATTTTCCTCATTATTCAAAAAATCACCCAAAGCTCTCGGACCATACAAATATCTTCTTATTTACACCTCAATTTTCGAAATATGTTATTCGTTTATTGATTTTATCGCTTCTCCAAGTTTCTTTTCTCATGGTTCCGCTCTAATTTTATATATTGACATGAAAAATTCGTTCATTCAAAATCGATTTTTGATGAGTATTTTCAATTGTGTTTATTGTGGCACTTTTGGTATTTCAGTCGGTTTGTTTGCGGTTCAATTTATTTATCGATTTTTGGTTTTATCCGGGTAACTTTTAGTCTTTTTTTAATTTTCAGCAAAATCGTTATTTTTTTCAGAAATCCGTTGCTAAAAACATTCAATTCTTGGAAAATAGTCCTATGGTTGTCAATCTTAATTTTTCTCGGACTTCTTTGGGGAGCTATACCGTGGTTTTTCGGTAAAATGACTGATAAAAAATCGGAATATATTCGATATTATTTGTTAAAAACAATGGATGTTAATGTTGACGAGATCGTCTACAATGGTCCATATTTTTATGCACAAAAAGCGGATGGAACCTTTGATATTGATATGGAATCATTGATAGCCATAGTTGTCATGTATGGGTTTTTGGTGAGTCTAAAAGTTACACTGGCTAAAAATCTGAATAAATCACTTCTAGACTTTATCCTCTTCCATAATTATTTACTACGGTACAAAATGTTATCGAATAATAAGTCGAGACATGAACTTATCTTCACATTCTGAGAAATATAAAAAACTTCAAGCCCAATTATTTTATGCTCTCGTAACTCAAGCAGCAATTCCCTTGATTCTTCTTGATATTCCAGTTTTAATTGTTTTCGTGTTCTTATTTTTGAATCGTGATATTGGAATGCTCAGTGGAATAGTTACCATAACAATTGCACTTTACCCGGCAATTGATCCACTTCCAAATATTCTCATCATCAAAAATTATCGAAAAGCTGCAAAATGTGCGGTGAAAAAAACTTTGTTTTTTTTAAATGAAAGTCTCTCAATATTTTTTTTCAGTTTACATTCGACAACTATTTTGCATGAAAAATCCGGAGATTCCAATATTCTCGAATAAATCAGAAATACAAATAAAAATGTTTGACCTCCCGCGAAAAACGTGTTCTAAAACATTGACAAATAAATAAATCAATTTTTAAAAAATCAATTCATTTTTCAATTTCGCTTTCTCGATAACTCCACCAAATAGATTTCGAAAATGGTTAGAGTTTTGCGCGACAATGAGCCAATTTGGATTTCGAAAATAAATAGAAGAATGAGGTAAGTTAGCGGAAACCTTTTACAAACTCAAATAATATCAATATTGATTTTAGTTTCAACAAATTTCGCGAAAATGCCAGTCATTTTCGATCAATTGGTCAAGATTTCAGTCGTGTTTTGAAATATATCAATGAAGTGAAAGAGGTTTATGAAGTGACAATTGAAACGTGGTCAAAAGGGAGTATGAATATTTGGGTTGCGTCGAATTATGTCGAAACAACTGGCGAAATGTTGGAAAAATTTTTGGAAACTGATCAGGTACGATTTTGAGGGAGGGGAGGGGGGCTAGAGAAACAACAAAACAACAATACTCCGATAATACGTAAGAACGACACGCAAGCGGAAATTCAAATTCAGTTTTTTTCTTTTCTTTTTTTTTTAATTTGTTTTCCAACAAAGAATTGTCAAAAAAATATTTTTAGATGGAAGAATCAACATTGATGGAAAATGAAGTTACAATTTCGGATCTTATTGAAATTGGAACTCGAAGTGATGAAGATGGCGAAGAAAATGATAGTGATAACGAAGAAGAAGAAGAAAAAGAAATCGATTCAGATTTGGATGACTCGTGGTTTTCGGACGAAGCATAGAATATTTAATCTAATAGAACTTATTTTTCTTGTTGAATAGTGTAAATACATCAATTAATCAATAAATATTTATTGTGAAAGACTAGAAAATTGGTCCAGCCAAAATTTGGGTAAAAAATAAAGAAAGAGAAAATAGCTACAGGCTCATCGGGTTCAAATAACTCGTAATACAAAAAAATACACGTAAAGGGAAATGCGTTAAACATAAGTCATAGTTTGAGGATTTGGTGTTGGTGTTGTGTCGATTCTTGCACTTCCAGATGGACTTTTCCAACTTGGCGCAGTTCCATAACCACTTTCTCTTCCACCATTATCACCAGAATCATCTAATTCTGAACAAACTGGGGATGTTGTGATTGTTTGTGGTGGTTGTGGTGGTCGACAAGTTGGTGGTGGTCTTCGCATTGACATTCTTCCAATTGTTTGTATGTTTTGATGATAAGATGGATTCCGACCGGCTGTCATATAATGATTTACTTGAGCTGGTCCAATCTCTTCATAAACATCTGATTGGAGATTATTTCGAGCCAGGGATACGGTATGATATGCACTCGAATTATCATGAGGGTTTAAGCGAAGGGTGGTTGATTCTGAATGGCGGATTGGTGGGACTTGTGGGATCGCTGTATTTGAACCAATATAAGATCGTAGGGTTGTAGGAGTGTGGTGGAATAATCGACTTCCAGCATTCGAATTGTTGCTATACATCAATATACCATTCTGAAACATTTTTTTGAATTAATGTTCGAAGAAATGTTTTCTCAATAGAGCACATTCGCCTTTTCTAGTTTTATATTTAAAAATTCCAATAGCTTACCGGTTTCATTGAATTATATGTCCACAAGTGTTCACCAGCCACCAAAATCGAATCACTTGACATCTTTTTCGAATTTTCCGCATTTTCTTTTCTCCTCCTACAATAATAATTATTATATTTACAATTGACAATCGCCAGGCAGCCCCAAACTTTTACAATCTTCCAAAAGGTATGATTTACAATCCTCTGACCTTTATTTTCAAATGATGTCCAACAGCGAGGAAGCTGTTATGGCTGTTAGTTAATAAGTTTTACTCAAGTGTTTATTCGTGTGAGCACGACATGTTACATAATCAAGTTACATAATTAGACAGGCACTTAGTGAGATTTCAAGTGGTTGGAAGAATATTAATTTTTGCTACTTATTTACTTAATTAATTTTGATGTAGTATTTTCATCAACTAACCTCCTAATTCTTCCCAAAACTGCAATACAAACAACGAATAGCAATAAAATCGATAAAGTTGCGATAGCAAGAAGAATATTCACTGCGAAATCCGGGAGAACTTGTTGAACTTGTTCCAGTTTCAGATCCCGATCCTGAGTCGATATCCGAAATAGTTATAAAACTACTCGAAGAGCATTGTTCAGCCTGAAAAGAAAAAACATATATTTTTTTATAATAACAATATTATCCACTTCAGATTATATTCCCCCTTTTTTTTCATTCATAAACCACACTTGTAAAAAATGGAGAAGCATCTCAACATAAAAGCTTATTTAATTTATTAGGGGGCCCTTTAACATCTGCGCGATTGTTTTTCTTCTTCTGAAAAAATCTCGGCAAATAATATTTATTGGTTTACATTGAGATAACAAAAAGCCTTTTCACACCATGGTGTGAAATTTTTTTCAGATATTTGTATAGACCCCTGCTGAATTTATATATACGTAGATGTATGATGAATTATTTTGGATGGTCCCCCGGGGAAAAAGTCGAAATTCATTTCAAGTGTCTTTTCAACATTTATCTTTTTTCTTCTCCGCCTTTTTTATGCAAATTTTGGCGCTTCGCTGCGGCGCATAAATTCAATTTCTTCGAATAAAAATCCCGTTTTCTTTTTCTTGTAAGGTAGAAATGTTTTGTTAGATAAAAAATAACTAACCTGTTCATAGGGTTCATTTGAGATAAGATGCCAAATAAGTGATGGATCTGGAGGTGGAGGTAGATCAAAAATAGGTGGTTCACTTATACAATTGCACATTTTGGCACATTTATTCGAGCTGAAAAATGGAAAGAATTTAGTAGTTTGAGAAATCGGAAGTGTGTTGTGTTGAACAATAGATGTTTGAAGTAAATAAGAGTGGAAAATAACAAAAGAGACAATTAAATGGGTCTCGAAAGGGATTCAGGATGAAGAACAAAATTCAGTGAGGATGAAGTCTTGACCTTGAGGGCAAAAAAAGAAATGAGGGGTTAGTAAATAAACATCGGTGGATCGTTATGCCTAATTGAGGCAGGTAGGGAAAATGAGGAAAATGAGGAAATAATATAATAAAAAAATAAATTGAGTGAGACGGTTTGACCTCGGCTGAAAATGTTTTTTTATGGAAATTATTTTGAGAAGAAGAGGAAAAAATCAGGTATATAAATAAGGGTTACTGAAATTCTGAAAAAAAAGTTTCAGGATGGAACATTTCCTGAGAAAAATGATTTTTGTTCATAAAATTTGGAAGTACTGTAGGTTTCTCTTTTCAACTCTCACGGAATTTAAACAATTCCCAAATCAATCAATCAATTTCTATTAGATTTTTTTCGCAACCTCCAACTTGTATTTTAATTAAAAGGTAACCTAACTCAAATTGAGATATCCACACACAAAAAAAAGTTGCATAATTGGGGGCGCATGTCTTTTTTATTTTTGTTCTAAAAAGGACCGCTCAAAGGTAGTTTTTATAGAAAAGAAAAGAGTGACATAAAAGGTCAGAGCGGATTAGGATAAGTTTATTGTCCCTATTTTAGAAGAAGGAAAATGAGATCTACAAAAAAATAGCGGCACATGTTTTTTGTTTGAAGTTGGATTAGTGGATGTTCATGGGAATTGGATTTTTGGCAAAGTTTGCTAACACGGATTACAAGATACAAGTTAATACAAAAAACAATCTGAATTCGAAAAAAAAACTGCAGAAAATGAGTAAGCAGAAAAATTTCGAAACTTTTTTTGGTAATGAATTTTTAAACATCTGTGGCCAGAACAAAATATTTTTCCAATTTCGGAAAATAAAAATTTGAGTTTTTATCTAACAAGTTTGCCATAGAAACATAAAACTATTTTATAATTTTTTTCGGAAAACAAAGAAAAAAACAACAATAAATAATATGAATAACATGTTGTTTCTATTAACAATGTGGGTGAACGGGGAAAAAAAGAAGGAAGGATGAAGAAGAAAAAAGACTCCGCCCCCCATTTTGATGGTGTTTGGGGGGAAGAAAAAAGGGCGGAGCTTGTTTGACACCATGGTGGAAAATATGAAGAAATAAGGAGGAGAGGTTTTTGGATGGTGATTATTTCTGATAAGAAAAAAAAACACGGAAAGGCGATTAGGAAAATGGTGGGAATTTGAATAAAGCTAGGCTTGGTCATGGGTCAAATTTTTGAAAATAGTATTTTTCAGAAATTAGAAACTTGATTCAAATTGGGTCTAATTTTGTGAGAAAATTACAGTTTTTGGAAAATCGTAATTTTCGGTGAAAATGCAACCTAATTCTTGTGGGAAACATTTTGGAGTACTGTATAGATCTCTCGGTAGATCAAGATTTGTTTGTCTCTCTCGAATCTCTCCTGAAAATCTACAGTAGCCCTGTGATCTTATTTCAAAAATGGGAACAGTACTTCTTCTCAAGAGAACTAAATTCAAATTGTATAGCTCGCCTTCTTTTCTCCCAAAAAATAAATGATAATTTCCCAAAATTCATCTAACTTTAGATGACCCAAAAAACCAACCAAATATGCTAATTTTAGTGGCCTCACAGTTTATTGTATCAAAAATTGTTTAGCACCGGCTTAGGCTTGTCATAATTGCCACTTATTCTCAAGTGCGAACAGATTGTCTCGTTGTTCTGTTACATAATCATAAATAGGTGTGAAAAAACGGAGTTTTAGACTTGGACCTGGATTTAATCATAGGGTATTTGGGTATTTCTTCAAGTACATTACATCACCTTATGCTCCTTAAAGTCACACAAATTATGGGATATACATATTTAGAGATGTATTCTATTCTAGGCATAGGCTTAGACTTGTTTAGCAGCAGCTGATGATGTGACATTCTCCCGCTGGGAAGTTGTCAGCGGATTAAGAAAAGCCACGTCAATCAAAATTCAATCTGTTCACACCTCATCATTGTTTATTTACTTATTTATTTTTTCATTGTTTTGGACCAAGCAAATTTTTTGTTGAACAAAACATGAAAAGGAACCCCAAGGGTTGAGTTGGCAACAAAAAAGAAAAAAAACAAAAAGTTTTGGAAGAAAAAAAAACTTGTCAAGTGCACACGCCTCAACAAATTCATTTTCTTTCAAAGAAACGCAAAAAAGTGTTGGTGTTGGAGCAAAAAAAAAAAAGAAATAAGGATAGCCAAAATAAGAAAAAAACAAATCTGGAGCACCACACACATTTTTACGATGAGCCCATAAATTTTGGAATTTTTTATATGTAATTGCGCCAGAATAACAGTTATGCATTAGGAGAAGGGAGAAAATACAGATAGTTTGGTGATTTATGACTCGGATGCGCATGGTTACCACACATGCGTTTTTTTTGTTGGAAATTATTGGGATGATTTAGGGTTATTAGTGAACCAGAAGCAGGAAAGAAATTGTGCTCGGATTTTTTTTTGTGAGAATTTAGAAGATGTTATACTGAGAATTGAGCTGAGCTTTAGATAGAAATCAGATTTTTAGTAATATTTTTTCTGGAATTACAAAAAAATAGAAAATTTCAGAGCTTAGTTCCAATTTCGAAATATTCGAAACTCAAAAACCCCAAAACCTAGAAATTCCACAAAAACTCAAAAACGACAATAATAAGAAAATAAGCGGAAGGTCAATTGATAGAATATTCAAGACAAGGAAATGTGAGAATCTGCAGAAAAACCAGAAAATGTACAACTTTGGAATAAAAGCTGTGGTGAAATGAAATCCGAAGGAACCGAGTGACGGGGGTGCTAAATGGTTCATTAGTAAGCTATTTGTGTCCTCCCCTTTTTCTTCTTTCTCCGTTTTTATTAAATAATGGTCCGTCCCATTTTCTAAAAGAAGACGAAAGAAGGAAAAGCTATGAAGAAAAATCCTGACAAATTGAATCAGTTGCGAGAAAAAAGGAGAAGCTGTATACAGCTTGGTGAAAAATAAAAATAAAACTTTTTTTGTCGCGCGCTAGTATCTAAGAAGAGCAAGTAATCTCTTCTTTTTTCTATTCATAAGTGAAGAAAAGAAAAGAATAGAGAGATTACTGAAATGAGGCACTTTTTGAGGAGAAAAAATGAGGAAAAGTACACCTGTAGAATAAGAATGGAATAAAGAACAGCTGGTTTAAAGAATGGCCACCTGTGTGGGAGAAGGGAAACTCGAAACTGTACAGAACAAAAAATGAGATGGAGAATATTGTGTGAAGCTGGAGGAATTGAGGTTTTCGAATTTTGAGAAAAAACTTGGCCTTGGTAAATGGAAGGGAGAAATTTGCATGGATGAAGATTCGGGGTTTCAAGGAAAATTTATATTCGTTGTCAGATTTTTAAACTAAAATCAGAATTTCATATTTTTCGAAAGTTTCGAAGAATAGAGATTTATTGAAAATTCAAGAATAAACATTTGAGCTACAGTACTTCAAGAAATTTATCAGATCTGAAGATTCAGAACCTATTCAAACATTCGAAAAAAATCTATAGTGTTTTAAAAATTCATCTTGAACCTCAATAAAGAATTTCGAAGAACGACAAATTTCGTACAGACTTCAGAGCATGGTTTCAAACTCTAAACTATAATCTTTTCAAAGCTACAGTACAAAAACTGTACGCTGTTTCGGGTCAGGAATAAGTATCAGGATCCCCCAGTTTTTATCCAAAGTTTCTTACAAAAACCGAAACTGTTCTAAAATTCTATCAAAACCATTTAAAAATTCCCACGATACATTTCCAACTATCACCACCCACCAACACTGACACCAAAACATTAAAAATACTACACATTTTGTCGGATGTGTCATTGCTTTCGGCTGGTCGGCTACATCAAAAACGATAACCGATATAGTGTCATTTTTATTTATTGACATTAACACGCATACAGTCATCGATAGAAACAACACCAAAAAAAAGAAAAGAAAAGAGAGATGGTCAAGCACATTAGCACTTTGGGTGAAGTGTAAATAAATATTATAAAAAACCTAAAAAGGATACTTTGGTAATGAAAGTATGAAAAGGCGGTTAGGTAATAGAAAAAGGCGACCCGCTGGGAAAAAAGGAAATACACTTGAGTGAGAAAATATCTATGAAAATATCTAGGGCTCAAAAAAATATTTTATATTTTTTTTTCATTATGAAACATGAGCCTCAACCAAAAAGACAAAAAAAAATCCGATTTTGTTTTGTTTGCCTTTTTTCTTATGTTGCAATTATATATAGTTTTTGTGGGATATATGAAAAAGCTGAAGCAGAAGTTGAAGCAATGCCAAAATACCTTATAATTGTGCTCAATGAGCCAGAAGTGTTCGGTTATTATTGTTGGATGAAGAAGGAACGGAAATGTGAAATATGTTACTTTTGGTAGAAAAGAACATGGTGAATAAGAAAAAATTAATATTAAAAATATAGTTGTTGTACAAAAAAAAGACAGTGAGTCATATTCATATGTAATATATCGATAAGATAACAATAAAAATATGTATAATAGTAGTTGTGTAATGAGAATAATGGTCCGAAAGAACTACACATTAATTAGGTAGAGAAAAAAATTGGAAAGGAAAATGTATCGTTCAAATTTTGAGGCATCGCAAATTTTCAAATGTTTCTGAACTTTTAATTTTTAAGGGATATTCAGAAAATAAAAATCACAACTTATTGAATTTTTTTGTACAATTTTTCAAATCTACATTTTTCCTACGCACGATATTTTTGATAAAGAATAATCGACACGCTCTCCCCAAACAAAAAATATTCAAAAATGTGTTGATCCAAAATAAACAATGTTCGTATCATGGCACGAAAC